TGAGCCAACTTTAATGGTACCCATTTTGGGGTAGGTGCACCACCCATTTTAGAGCCCCTATTTTAGTGGTTGGATTGGTTGATGTTCTTGACCCATGGAAATCTCTCAGAGGATGAGCTATACCTGTGTGGATCCGCTGATCAACACCATGGTCACCATCAAGCGCGAGGTTTGGGCAACTCTGCCTGACTGTGAGCAGACCCGATCGTGTGCTGCCACCTCAGTGCCTTTTGGGTCCCATGCTTTTTTTATTCTGGGGATGGATCCAACACTTAACTTGGTGGCTCCCTGCCAGCCGGTTCAACTTAGCCTTTTAGATCCTTTTAGTGTTTAGTTTCCGTGCAACCCACTAAAAGTTAGTCTTTTAGCGGGGGATCTGAAAACGGACAGCCCGGTGAATTCCCCGGCTTTTGGCTCTTCGTGGTGTTTTTGCCCGAGGTGAACACGCCGCCGTCCATGTTTTTGCTGGGCGACGCTTCCGTGAAGATCACCAAGGCTCGTGCGTGTTCTCCGTGTCTCAGGATCGAGGTCCGCCGTGGAAGTGGCCCGACTTTCTCTTTCAGGGTACGTTTTCTTTTTTTGGCTTCAAGGAAAACCCAAAGGAAACCCACCATTGTATATATATATATATATACATGTGTTTTCGTATTTTTATTTGTATTTTTGTTTTTTGGGGGGGTACCAGTTTTCTAGGGCTTGATTCCTTTTCCATTCTTTTCAACCATCGTTCTTTTCAATCACCGGATCCGTTTTCCCTGGGATTCTGCAGGTTTTCTGGAAAGAAGGATCCCTGGAAAGAATGGAAATGGAAGGTACCCGTAGAAATGTCGCGCATGCTTTGGCCGCCGCAGGGCACGGGCTACGAAGACGCCGGCGTGGTTTGCCAAGACTCAGAGGATGGGCTCATCTCGCCGCTTCTTCCGAACAACGAGGAGCAACTCGACACGAGACTATAGAGGCGACCGCCTAAGTTGTTTTTTTTTTTTTTCTCCGGCTGAAAGCTAGCCGAGTGTCCAACTTTCAATTTCCCTCCGCCTAACGCTGAAGACATGGTGTTTTAGAAGCCCACGCACCATTTCTTAAAAGTGAATACAAACAGCCGTCATTTCGAGAAGTGGCCGCTTCTCGTCAAGCATCGGATGTTTCTGTAAACTCCGCTTCTCGTCAAAACATAAGTCGACTGCCCAGAGAGCAATGCAGTGGGAGAGACCATACGGTCGTGTCACCTGTCACGTTTCGTTTTTCTTTCCACTTTCGGTTCCAGGGCCCCCTCAAAGTGAAGATTTGGTGTAACACATCCATCTTTCCTCCTGGATGTTTGTGTGTTGCTCCTGGGGTTCGATCAGCCCGTGAGACTTGCTGAGGCTGGGGGCCCTTCCTGCTTCATGCTTTTGGTCGACAACCATGTGAAACCCCGGACAATCCCCTTGCTAGCCCCTGGCTTCTCGGCCGCCAGGGACGCCCCCAACCGCCAAGGCCTTTTCCCAGCCCCCAGGCCCAAGATCTCTAAGACTCTACCCCCCACCCCTTTCCTAAAAAACGGACCATCCCCTCTCTGCAAGCCGCCTTTAGGGGAGCCCTCGAGAGCCGGGAGCCGAGGATCATCGTCCCAGCGCGGATCTACACCTCCGCAGCGCTAGCCTTCGCCACGAACCGCGCGGCCGCGGACGGCGGCGCCAGCACCGCCTGCGGCAACTGCCAGGAGGTGGCCACAGGCCGCTTGCGAGCGACCAACATGGTGCCGGGGCGGTGGCTGTGGTCTTGATTTGGAGGTGTGTGGAGTAGTTCATGTATCTATATATATAATAGCTATATGAATTTATCTGTCTCAAATGCTTTTGTTCTTTTTGAAGAAACACACCATGAACAGGTGACTGCCTTGTTGCAAACTGGCAAGAGCCACCAGCACCAAAGCACGAGGTCGACCTCGGTTTGCTCTGCCCCCCCCCCCAAAAAAAAAAAAAACATCAAGCCGCGGCTCGAGTCGTCCAGGCCACGTGCGCTGGGTGATGCTGGACTTGGGCGCGGCGCGCAGCGTCACGGAGGTGCGCGTCAACACCCCGGAAGCCGGCGCCTGGCCTCCGCTTCAAGTTGTCCATTTAACCCTTGGATTCGACCCCCAGCAAAGGAATGGCAAGGACCCAACTTGGATGATGACAATCCTTAGGTAAATCATTGTGATATGAACCCCCATTGTTTGAATGGTGGTTTGAACGCCAGGGTTAAGGTGAAGCTCCTAAACAAGGAGGCTAGCCCCCTCTTTTTTCCATTTAAGGTGCCAGCTTGTTTTTCTTTTTCTGGGGCGCCACGTTTGTTTTCTGGGTGTAGAAGGACACCAACGGAAAAAACGAAGACCTTTTTCCTGGCTTCCCGTCCAGTAGCTTGCTCTCAGGTTACCCTTTGCTGGTGCTCAGTAGGTAGGGACTGTGGTTGAATGAACCCGGGAAAGGAAAGCACAAGAGATGGTTTGTAAGCGGCTGATTTGGATTGGTGGGAACTGAGGATTTGCAGCCCTGGTTTTTGTAGAGAGAGGAAAAAGGCCTCCTAACCTCCAATCCACCAAAACCAAGCCACCAATTGGGGGGAAGCTGATAAAAGCAACATGTGGGTGGCTCGTCCTTTTTTTGCGGACCAGCCCAAATGGCGCGCTGTCAACCTTCAGGTTTTTATTCAATACACCAGCCGAAAGAATGTTGTGACGGCTGTGCGTTCTTTGACATGGACGATACTTATCCCGTACGTTGCGTGGAAACATCATTCAAATGCGTGTATCTGCTTCCGACACAACCAAGGGGGCGGCTGAAAGAATGTTAGCCAAGCCCTAACAGTGAGTATTAGCCACCAGTGACTAGGGACGATTAAGGAGGATTTCGGGGAATGTGTTTTTAGTGGCTTTCGGGCCATGATTTTCCCACGAAGCGGTATTGAAGATCGGCTGGACTCATTTTGTGATACGGGGGTTCATCAATATTCCGTTCGGCTTTCAATTGACCCTTAGGTCTGTCCCGTTTTGTGGGGGAACGTCAGACATCTCTTTTTTTTTGGTTTTCCTGTTTTTCTCTTCTAAAGATGGATATTTGTTGTTATGTCCAGCGGACCTTGTCAGACCTTTTGGTCATTGTTCAGCGTACCTTTTGATCGAACCCATGGGCCTCTAAAGCGGACAGAGCTCGGTCGGCTGGTCGGCTGGGTCCTCCCGCACCGAGGGTTTCGAGTTCACGTGGCTCTTCTGCCGTGGCCGATCCAGGGCACGGAAAACGCGACCCTGTGCCTTCGGAGAGATGGATCGATCGATGGATCCGGAAACGCCGGGGAAATGAGGGGAAGTCTTTGCGTCCAGAAGTTTTTTGTGCTGCAGATCACTTCTTATGCCAGACTCTGGGGTAGAGTAGGTGCATGGAATTGGGGTGGGCATCCTTGTCCCTCTCACAAGGACTTTGACGCGAAACCCAAGCATGCGTAAGCCGCTGCCAGTGCCAAAGCCAACTGAGCCACTTGCTCAAAACCCGGGTAAGTGAAGGTTAGTACGGGCCAATCCCAGCCATAAATAGCTGCAGATATCCGCCTTCTTAATTCTTTACATGCTTCTGGGTCGACCATTTTGATACCAGGTTGACAGTTTGCGCTTGGCCCAATCAGATCTTTGATGCGCTGATCCCTCAGGTACGCGAGCACGACAGGCACTTGCAGCAGTGCTACTCGGCCTCAACGGCGTGGGGGCACGCCGTGTTTGCAAGAGCTGGTTTCTGGATTTGTTGAAGTCAAGAGCTTTCTCTACTTTCAAAGCCCTCAGCCAGCCGGGTTTGTGAAAACTGTTGTGGCTTCAAAGGGACATGAAAAGAACCACTTGCTTCATTCCTGCACCTTGGCGCAGTGTTCTCGCCTCTGCCTTCCAACCCCTTGCGCCAAGTTGAGGGTGTAAATTTGTCCAAGGGGTCCAAGCAAACCTCCCCTTTGCCCATCTAAATGTCCAACCAAACCTCTCCGGTGGCCAAACCTCCCAGTTGCCCATCTACATGTCCAAGGGCTCCAACCAAACCTCCCTCGTGCCGATCCTGCCTTTCAACCCCTTACGCCAACGAGAGTGAGCAAATTTGTCCATCAGGTTCAACCAAAAACCTCTCCCATCGAGGTGGCCAAACAGGAAATCTGGGACCTGGAGCTGTGCCAGCGCGCCGCCGAGCACCTCACCTTGAGCGTCACCTCAGCCGCCGCTTTCAGCTCCGCCACCGGCTCCGCCCACGCCTGCGTCTATGACAGCGGCTCGGAAACCGTGTGTGTCTTTTTTGTTTTTTAAAGTTGTTTTTCTTCGTGTTTCAACGTGTGTGTTTTTTGGGGGGAGGCTGCCAATGGAAATCAAGAAAGGTATCGCAGGCAATGAGTTGAGACTGTCATCCTGTCAGGGTGTTCGCCAGTTCGCCACGAACATGGGGCCAATTGGGGTAACGAATGAGAAGTTGCACGTTGGAGGGGCTGAAGGTGAGTCCAGGTTCTCCCTCCCATTTATTGCAGGCTTATACGGACCGAGCCACATCTGTTTTTCTGTGGAATGTATTTCCTAGGCCCTAAAGGCGAGCAAGCAAGATGGACCCATCATATGAAAGACCCTCGCGAACTCTGGCCAGTTGACATGGCGAGTTCGCTTTGCGGGGCAACCCAGTTAGAATTGGGCTAAAGTTGGTTACACATGTATCAAAAGGTGGGGTGAAAGAGTGTGCGGTGCGGTCGCACGATGCCACAGCAAGGGGGTCATCAATCAAGACTTGCAACTCATGTTGAGACTGCCTGGGAGGTTAACTTGCCTGTTAGTAGGAACCACAATGTATCTTGCACGAGTTTCACTTGTATTGGCGGAAGATTCCTGTAGACCCTAAGGAAAACACCCTCTTTCGGGCTAAAAACAGATGGTACTGGTTTATATGGGTTTTATTCCGTTTGCCAGGGCAAACCATCAACTTGTCCAAAAGGCCTATGGAAGTTGTTCAGTGTGCCTCCAGTTTTCTGCCAAAGCTTTGTGAGGCTCCGACAAGAGCCTCAAGATTCAGCTGGGGGACGCGCGGGGCACTTATGGAGCAGCTCGGCCATGGGGCTGAGCCAGGTCAGTCAAGGGTCCACCTTCTGACCCCAGACATCCAGGGATGGTTCATCACAATCAGGGTTCCCTGGGTTCAAGTCAGAACCCATTTCGGGGGTGCAACCACTGGGGGAGATGAACCATCCCTGGATTTTAAGTCATTCTTGGGGTCCAAAAGTGGAGCCCTGCCAGAGTTGGCAGAGCCCAAGCCTGACGCTGATCTATCAGCCAGCCCAAAGTTGGAACGACGAAGACATGGGGCAGCCTGGTTACTCAACCGCGTGAGCGCGCAGTCAACCCGGTACTTAACCGACCTTTGCGTTTGTGTGAATGTGCCTAGATAAGAAGAAATGCATCAATCGGGAACTAACCACTAGTGTGGGGCGTCATGGCAGCTTGGACCACATCATTTCAAGGACTTCACAAGAACTTGTTGAAGTGGCCGTGAGTAATTGTCAGTCCATGTCAGTCCTGACACCCAACATTCTCTAGACAACCAAGCTTGGCGCGCCAAGAAGCAGCCAATTTGAACGACTGTGAAGACAGGCTAACGTGCTTGTATCTTGTTGTATACTAGGTTGCTTGGTTTCACTACTCTTCTAAATATTGTCACACACACACACATACACACAAATACATTTGGGTGAGTTATAACGACCTCACACGACCTCACCCCAAATGGTGGTTTATGTTGGGAATAGCCCCCAACCACCTCATTTCTTGGTGACATATTATAACTCACCCAGAAGAGAAAAAAAAAAAAAAAAAAAAAAAAAAAAAAAAGAGCTGCCTTTTTGCTCCCCGCCGATCCAGACCCCTCGCCTTCGGGACCGCCTGGACTTGTCGCATGTTTGCTCGGATGCCGCGAAGGGTCGGATGGTTTCCCATGACGAAATCCAGCACGAAATTGAAGCCATGGGAAACCATTGCTAGGTCCCCCAGTGCAAGCTTTACCAACCTTTTGCGGGGAGGGGTTCCCTACTAAAATAGGCCACAGAAAAAGGGGTGCCCTTATTCTGGCCTCTCTACTGGAGGACCTAGATTGTTTGGTGGTATTGAGGGGAATCATAATTCCAAGGTTTCTTTAGGTGGGGCAGGTTTTCGTCCACGACAGTATCTTGGCAACGCATCTCTTTTCAGTGGGATTGCTTAAGTTGGGCCCACAAATCAAATGAACCAACGCCCATAGACATTTGAGTGTTCCAAACTCCCATTTAACTAGGTGGTTCATCATGTTCATCAAGATTCCATTTTGCAGTGTATTTAAACAAAAAGACACGTAAGGCCAGTATAAAAGCATTGTAGTTTTTTAAAGCCATATACAAAAACCAGTCTAGAAGCATTATACCCCTAGCACACGGCGTATATATATATACATATATATATAAGCCAAAAAAGACCCCAACAAAAGAAACGCCCGCAGAACCGGCAGGCCGGCCGCTCGCTCGCTTGATCTCGTTTGGTTTGCTTCGGTTCCGGGGGCGGACGGTCCGACGGCGCGGACGCCGCGGAGGCTGGGCTCAGCGGCAAGAGCGCCACGGCGGAGGCCACGCTGAGCGGCACGCAGACGCGGATCTGCGGGCCGCTGGCGCCCTACACGCGGATACAGGCGGGGAGGGGACGCCACGCGGAGCGCGTGCTTGATTTGTTGGTCCTTGAGAGAGGGAACCGGGCCCAAAGGGGGTCAGTTTTCGTTGGAAGCGCACAATGTGTTTCCTTCCATTTGCTGAAATGAGGTTGTTTTGTGTATGTGTTTTCCCCGGTTGGTTTCAAAGGGAAGCGATGTCAATACTGAAGATTAGGTTGTCAGTTTTTCCTGGGGACTTCCAGCACATGGAGATTTCTCTTCAGGGAACCCCTCCAAAAGTAAGCATCGATCGTTTCTTTGAAACCTTCGGGCTGTTGGAACCTCCAGCGGCAAAAGTAAATTGATGAGCTTTACGGGGAATCCAGGCCCCCTATGAGGGAAGTCACGAGGCGGTGGATTTATTTGGCTATGGGTCAAAACCCCAGTTACCCCCCAGTGAACATCCCAATCCAACCACTAAAATAGGTTCTAAAATGGGTGGTGCACCTACCCGAAAATGGTACCATTTATTGTTGACCCACGGCCATTTGTGTTCAGTAGGGGATGACGTGGCACAGTCTCCAAACAGATAGAAAAGGGCAGGGGGATGCTCACCAAAGTCGAATGCCATTGGGAATACTTTTTGCTGTGGCGCATGTACAAAGGTCTCACACGTTGTTGTTTTTTCCAGTTCCGGGAGGGTTCTCAATGGGAGGACTCGGCGACGAAAAGTACAAGGCACTCAATGGTTTGAGTGTTGTTGACATAACCAGTGTCATGGTCACATGGCCTAGTCTACTTGCAGCTCTAAATGGCCATGGTTCAAAACCAATGGGATCCCATTTTGGGATAGGTGAATTCACCACCCATTTTAGTCAAAAGTGGGGATTGGGATGTTCACTGGGGGGTAACCGGGGTTTTGACCCATGGCCAAATGTTCCAGAGGCGTTTTTTTTGGGGGGGAAAGACGGTTCACATGTTCCTTGCCAAGTCCTGCTTTCCAGGCCCGTAAAGGAGGTGGTTCGCAGGGACCAAGAGAAGGCACTGCCCAAAGTAATCCGTTCAAGTCAGAATTTCAAGTTGTAGAGCTTTCGGGACCGGGCTTTGCTTGTAAAGCACGCAGCCATGTGAGCCACTTGCTCAAAACCCGGCTAGATGAAGGCTAGAACGGGCCAATCCCCACCATCAATAGCTGCGGATATCCGCCTTCTTGATTCTTTACATGGTTCTGGGTCGGCCATTTCAATACCGGGTATTGATTATGACTCATGTGTCAAAATGCCAATCATTATGACCAGACGGGCTCAGACAGGAGAGGTGTTAGCGGAGCAAAACAAACTCGAAAAAACTCGGAAAAAACTCAGCAACAAACTCAACTGAAAACACAGACTCAAAAAACTCAAAAATACACAGCAGGAAACTCAAAAAAACACAAGAAAAAACACAGCAGGAGACTCAAACAAAACACAACAAAAAACACAGCAGGAGATTTGAGTTTTTGAGTTGTTTTTTGAGTCTGTTTTGAGTATTGTTTGAGTATTTTCTGAGTTGTTTTTGAGTTGTTTTTGTGTTTTCTGCGGTTGTTTTTGCATTTTGCCCCTCCCCCACCCCCGACCCCTCCCCGACCCCCAGAACCCTCCCCAGACCCCTGCTTGAGTTGTTGCTTGAGTTGTTTTTGAGATTTTTTGAGTTTTTTTTCCCAGATTCAGACTATTTCAGATTGAGTTTTTCGGATTGTTTATTTTTTGTGTTTTTGCAAATTCCTGGATTTGCGGCCTGTGTGGGCGAGATCAGGTCTTAAGCCAATCATGCCAGAATGCTCACACTGCTGGCAGGAACTGTCCCAATCTGGTGAACGACGTTCAGCTTGCTACATCCCAGTTCCCCGAATAAATCCGCAAGCCAGTGTCGCAGTTGATTTGTTCAGGGCCTTTCATCCCGTGACTCGTTGCGTGACATTGCGAGGCGGGCTTCTGCGAGGATGTCGGCTATCAGCCCATCCGCACTGCAGTGCTTTAGCTGTTCTGAGCCAAAGGGAATTGAGAACTTTTCCACCCCGACTCCCAGGTCTTTTTCACATACCCCCAAAGCAAACGGAAGGAACCTGGACATTAGTACAGTTTTTTGGGGGTGGGTCAAACTGCAACCTTATGCAGGGCCGTTTGTCCAGCATCCTAATACTGTATATTTGTTTGCAAGCTCATCATGATGAATGCGCTTTTCATTGGCGTGTCTCATTGTCGAGTGAACTATCATACTTCGCCCAGATTGCCAAACCCATTTAATGTGTGTCGAAGCCCCAAACCACAAACCCCGATGTCAAGACCAAACTCGGTCCCATTCTCAAATATTTCTGGCATTTCAGACTCACCCCAAAACCCCCAAAGCCCAACCCGAATCTCGTCTTTCAATTCTACGCTTAGCAAAGGCCGACACCTTTCTTCTCTCCGCGGGACATGGCGGGATGGGTCGGTTTCGAGCTCTCAAGCCGAGGTGCGATGCGGTATGGCGGCGAGAAGTCTGGGCCTCACCATGAACGCCCACAGCTCCACCGCCTCTGCAGTGGCGCCGGGAGGCTGGGGGTCAAGAGCTGGGATTTGTCTCCGGCGTGTTGCCAAAGGTCCCTTGAAGGTCAATTTTGGGACGTGGGATCCATAAAGGGACATAAGTGAGAACGATGAATCCCAATTGCGGGAATTGGGGTTCAGGGTTTTTTAGTGTTTGACTTCCCCAAGATAGACTTAAACCCAGGGGTGGTTCATGAACCCCCTGGGTTTAAGTCTTACCCTGTAGTGAAAAAAGTGGAACCCTGTAAGGGTTTGTCTCTGAATGAGGGAACTGTTGGACTGCTTCCCTTTGGGTCTCAATCAAGCCACGCGCACACACACACACACAGAAATGAGAATGGGTACGCCCCCAGTTGACGAGCTGATCAAACGCTGAAGGTTGATTCAGGCGGACATGTATCAAAAGCAGTTGGACCCAAGTACTTGGCTTCTCCTAAAAGGTCACAGGCTTAAAAACACACACAAAAAAAGAAAACACACCTGGTGGGGGCGCAAGCCGCGTCACACGTGGTTTTATCCCCGGATTTTTTTGCCATTTGGTTATCTCTGGCTCATGCTTGGCAGTGAAGAGCGCTGTCCCTCTAAACGCTTTGGGCTTCTTCGTTGCCCAGTGGTGCCCTCTCTTCTCCTTTTTTTGGGGTAAGGGTTCCCCTTTTTTTCCTTTAAACTCAACCAACCCAAAAAAGGGGTGCAAGGTGTTTTTTGTTTTTAAGCAAAACAAAAGAAAAATGAGAAACAATATGTTTTTCTCTCGAAAACCTCAGTGCCCTTTTTTCCACCTGGAAATCCACTGCGCATTGGGTTTTCAAACCCAGGATGCTACCTCTACAGCTCGGATTGGAGTATCCGACTGAACCAAGCGCAAGGCTCCAAGGAGCAGCTGGGCACGGGAAGAGAACTGAGCTTATAGCAGTGCTCCTAAGATCGATACATTTTGCAACCACTTGAAACATGTGGCTTTTTCCACCAGAAAGGGAAACCACCATTTACAAGTTGCAATGTTCAGGTGTATAATGTAAGGATCCCTGCGTAGACCTACTGCAAGGGCGATCGGGTACTTGGCAAGTGGAGTTAGTAGGCCAGGTTGTAGGTTATAAGTCTCCGTTCAGTGGGTTATAACCTGGCTTACTGACCGCTTACTAAGTACCCTGCCCCTTTAAGTACCGTAGAGCCCATTACCCGTTAATAGTGACGGGGTCAGACTCTGTTTTGTTGGATTTAGCACGATTCCTGTTAATACTGTGAACGCAATCCGTTCGCACCACGAAATGACACCATGGTTGAAACCAGTAAATTTGTTGGGAGTTGGGGAATCAGAAACCAGGGTTTCTGAATGGTGGTCTAGGGATTGGGTCAGACTCTGTTTTGGACTTTCACAAGCCCAAAGGTAAGGGCATAATAGCTCCGCATCAGTTCGGCAGGCTCGGTTGAAGCACTGTATGCGAGCAGAGCCGGGCTACGAGTCGTCTCCAAAACGCGTTTCAAGGTTGACCAAACTGGTCTCCCCAGCTTTCGCACTTCCCGGCTGCCAAGGTATGTGTCCTCCACGGCTTTGTCCTCACTTTGCCAGCTGCCAGGCTCCTGCATTGAGCTCCTCGCTTGCTTTGGTCAATGTCGACCCCGGATTTTAAGAAGAACCTGTTTATTAATATGGGGGTGTCTCTGGTTTTAGTGGGGATTTATCACTTTTGGAGGGGAACACCCCCATGTTAATAAACAGGTTCTTCTTAAAATCCGGGGTCAACATTAGGGGGATAGAGAGAGGGGAGCTGGTGGGGAGCTGGTGCCGGAACTGAGTTTCTACACCAGCTACCCAGACGGCAGCATGGTGTCTGGCACGAGTTCAGCTACCAAAGACACTTGGGGGGATTGCCGCTTGGCAGCTGGGAATTGGATTGGAAGATGGCTGTGGGTTGAAACCAATGGGATCCCATTTTGGGGTAGGTGCACCACCTTTTTTAGTCTTTTTGAGTGGGGATTGGGATGTTCACGGGGGGTACGGGATTTGGACCCATGGCCAGATCCGCATTTGCCCTGTCTTCTGTTGTGTTTGATTTGCTATGCCCAGAAGGGCGCTCGAATTTCCACGAATGGTTTCTGTCAGGCACCGCTCGTTGGCGACTTGAATCTGCGTGCACTTGAGGCGCAGTCCTCTTTTAGGGGAAGTATGGGGAGCCCAGAGCAACAGGGAGGCTCAAGTCGTCCCCCCACTTATCTGTGATTTGACAGCATGTTTGCCCAGCACTTTCTTCAGATGGCCCAAACAACGCCTGGAGTCCTGACGCTGTTGTTGACTCTTTTTGCAGCCATAGGTTGTGCTTTTTGATTTGGTAGACAATCCATGGCGATTCTTGGCTAGGTTGACCTGGTTTCATCATATCCAGGAAAAAATCACCATCGATTTTCTCACCCCAAAAACGGAGCTATGCTGGAGATTTAAGGCATGGCGACCTGCGCGAGCAACTCCGGGTGTGGAGTGTGGAGCTACGACAGCTCCTCCCAAGCCTGCAAACTTTTTGTGCCCGGCGCTGTAGGCCAGGCGCTTCAGAGAAGCGAGCGTGTGGGAAGGTTATTGTTCTGTGCTTTGCCCTCTTCCTGAGCAGAGCGGCAGTTCAGGACGCCAAGCCAAGTGTCCAACGGATTCCTCGTTTTGCGGAGTTTGTCAGTGCTACGTTGGTCCCATTCTTCCCTTGTTAAACCATGCAACAAGAGGGTTTTATTATCTTAGGACATGCCCGAGCAGGCAATACTGAAAAGGAGGGGCCCTTCTGACCGCAACTGAGAACCTTCTCTCCATCCTCATGGGCAGGGCCTTGGCGGGACAGCCTTCGAGTTGACGCCTTTGTGTCATGGAAGTTCTAGGCAGACGTTTTGAAACGTTTGGATCCACGGAAGATGTCCATCGCCTCTTCTTTTCAGAGGGCCCTTACTTGGGTTTGTCTCAAAGGAGAACCGCCAAAATTGGCTTCGGCTGCTTTTTCGTTTCCTTTTTGCCAACCCCTAACAATACCGACACACCCACCCCCCCCCCCCCCCCGCAACCCCGGCGTTTGCGAGGCAGCGCCAGCACCGATGCCAATCTTCTCTCTGGGCCGCCATTCTGCCAGGAGAGGGGAGCGAGTGCCAGAAGTGGGCCACATCCATGACCAACTCAAGAGTTGGAGCCAGCCTTTTAACATGATTCCCCTAGTCCACCCTGGTGGCTCTGCTAAAATTTACACACTTTGTCTTGTGATTTTCGAGTGTCCAACCTGGCATCTTCTCCAGGGGTTGAACCGAGAATCAAGCTTTGACTCGCGAAGCGACCAAGAGAACTCGACTAGGGAGGGCCGGTTTTTGAATACATTTCTGGGTTTGGAATGGACAATGCAAGCATTGGGATCGTTGGATCTTTTCCTTTTTTTTCTTCGGGATACCTGCAAACCCACCTTGTGTGTTTTGGGTTCCCATGCTACGAGCCATGCCACGTGAATTGCTTAGGCCTCCATCCGCATCTTTTTTTCGGACAGCCGGGTGAACCAACCACGTAGACTCGACGTAGACGGCTCCGTGCGCGACTCTTTCCGGATCCGCTGCGTTTGGCCGCCAGGAAGTGCCCGGGGTCAGCTGCCACGAGGAGTTTTCCGCCTCCACAGGCCGCGGAAATCGAAACTGGAGCTATGGAAAGCGATAGGCCAACCGCACAGCTCCCTTCCAATCCCAAAAGGGACAAGTGGTCTGCGTGGGGTTGTGGCCTTTGTTTGTTTAACGTTTTCGCGCGTTTTTTCTCTTCTAGCCAGCCTTTTTTGTGAGCAACTCTGTTTTCAGTTTATGTCTCATCTTGTTGTTCCCATTGCTTTTTAATCATATGAGCAGCACCATACACCCTTTCGCCTCCGCAAAAGCCCAAACGCAGGCCGCGAAAGTGCAAACCAAACCGCCCCTCCCGAAGGCCCGAAGGTGCCCAGAGCAGGTCCCGCGAAAGCCCCGGCGAAAGTTCGGATTGGGAGTTTTATTGTAGCTGGTGGTCTTCGACTGCTGGTGCAGTCGCATGGGGGTTCAAAGCTGTCCGTATAGCAATCAATGTGGTTTTTGGCTCGTCCTCGGTTGAAGCGCAAAAAAAAGAACATCAAAGCGAAGAGTGTGTTTTTGTTTTCCTCCGCGAAAGCAACACCCGGCCCAGAAAGGGGCGCCCCCGCTGCGAGCCGACCTTTGCGCTCAGCTCCAGTGTGCGAAAGCGCAGCGAAACAAATACGCGATCCGTGTTTTGCAAATTCATAGTATGCCGCTTTTTGCTTTACCAAAGAGTTGAGTCGGCACTGCTCATATTGATTTTGAAGGGGCCTTGTTCATGTTTGTTTGTGTGTGTGTGTTTTGTTTTGAGTCCTAAGAGCAGATGTGCAAGAGGTCGCTGCAAGCAAGATCTAAATGTTGAACTGGTTTAGCTGGCGTTTTGCCGACGATCAATTCGCATGCGCTGGGGCGTGCAGAGAGATCTCCCTTGCTTGGGCGTGATACACATTGCATGGCGTTCATTGATACTGAGGATATCAGATGTGCGACGTGGCTTAGCCCAGGATGTTCTTGACTGAACATGGCTGTCTCACTTTTGCTCAGCCCAGATGTACCTGAACCACTTGCATGATGTCTGAAGCAGCTGAACATGTGGTTGATACAATATACATATATAATATATATTATATAATACATATATATATATATCTATGTACATACAATACACTATATATGTATGGTCCCGTGTTCCGTGTTGCTCCCCCCCCCCCCCCCGCATATGGTATGGGTCCCCCGAAGAACCCCCCCCCCGGCCCGAGACCCCGAGCCCCCGGATCCTGGCACCTACGGTCCCACCCCCACCCCGACCCCCTGAACTCGCACCCCGACACCCCGGCACCCCCACCCCCAGGACAAGCCAACCCGCAACCAACCATAAACCAACCCTAAACTAACCCTAAACCAACCCTAATTACACCCTAAACCAAACCCTAAACCGTAGACCTCTAAACCTAAACCAACCCTAAATCAACATAAGCCAACTCTAAACTAACCCTAAACCAACCCTAAACTAACCCCAAATACACCCTAAATTATTCCCTAAACAATAAACCCTACACCTAAACCAACCCTAAACCAACCCAACCAACCCTAAACCAACCCCTAAACTAACCCTAAATACACCCTAAATATACCCTAAACCAATTCTAAACCAACCCTAAACCACCACAACCCAACCACAGGACCACAACCACAGGGGGGGGTACTTGTCTGACCCATGACCTTTTGGGGGGGGGGGGGGGCTGGCAACGCTGTACCATATATGTATATACATAGATGCATTTTTGCAACGCCCGGAGGCTGGATCAATAACACGTGCCTGGCTCCGACAGTGGGGCGCTATGTGACTGTGTGGACAAGAGGCCTGGCTCAAAGTTGGAGGTAAGCCAAACAGACGGGAGATGGGCTCTGAACATGATCTGTCCCATGGTTGTTCGGGGCCCCCTCAAAGGGGGCCACTTCTCCAAATACACCTTGGATCAAAATGTGTGTGCTCATAGTCAGATGTAAGATTCTACCAAGCCTTGCCCAGGTCTGTAGCCAAATCGGACTGGAGGAAAAGGCCTTATCATTCGCCACTTGTCCCTATTGGGATTGGGAATCCCGCACTAAGACCCCCCTGACAACCATAACCTTTAGAACGACTCGCTCAGGAAGGGCGGCTGCGAAGATGACGGTTTGCGACGTGGAGGCTAGGGGTTCATTCAGCTGGGACACCCTCGCCAGATGCCTTATTGCTTTGTTTGCACAAGTTCTGAGGAAATGAGCTCCCGGATGCATGCTGCCGGGGATTCCTCATTTCCAGTTGCAGCATGATAGTATTACTTTGTGCAGATCTGGTTTGCGCGTTGCAAGTGTCACAGCCAAATTCGAACCTCTGAACATGAACGACCTCTACATCAATTGCCGAACGTAAAAAACAACTTGCACGCTGCGAGCAGTCGCCGACCAGATGCTGACGAATACTTGCATCAACGACGGTCAATGTGCGATATCCTCTCCCATTGGTGAATATTTACATATATACTGTATATGTAGTACATGTTCACATATAGAGAGAGAGAGAGAGGAAGAGAAACAGAAAAGATACAAGTATTGATGCAAGCCATGCGGTTGATAGTTCCAGTTGCCCAACGCGCATCAACATGTGTTTTTCTTCATATCCCAGGTTTGGCCAGCCATTGCCACTTGCCCAATACGCAACTCGTTTGAGTCATGTTTTGACAATGTTTGAAGTCTGGGTTCATCAAAACATCTGCTTGCGATGTGAACATACCTTCAACCATCCACAAAAAAGCTTTTGCAGGGGTCAGAGTGGCCCCTGAGGCAGTTGGTTGGCCGAAGTTTGACCTCTGGCAAACATGGGCAACCAGCTTGGATTCCGACCAACCTCGCTTTTTTGACGATGGTGGGGAGCCAAGAGGAACACCAGCCATTCTGCGGGTACCTTAACCAAACCAAAAAAAAGACGCACCGGACAGGGCCGGTCAGTTTCTCCCCGCGCGTCCGCGGGTGGATTTTTTTTTTCTCCGCCGTCCGACGTCGCGCGGCGCGGGTTTTTTTTCAGGTGAGGGGCGGCCTGGCCCCGAAGCCGCCGGAGACCTTCTCGATTTCCTTGGGCTGCAGCGGCGCCAGCATCTCAGGCCTCGCGTCCGTTCCGTTTCAGGGAGGCTGAGTGGAAGATTTCTCGCGCGGCTGGTGAGACCTGTGGCAAGAAAATCTGGGGAAGACCTGCTAAAAGATGGTTTGGATTTGCGAATGACGGCAAGGATTCCGGGGAAGACCTGCTTGGTTTGGATTTGCGGATCATGTAAATGGTATGTCGGAAGGGTCCCGAGTTGTGAAACACACCCAAAGAGCATTGAGGGAATGAATGAAATTGGAACCATGGCCAATCGTTTTGGAAGGGCTTGATGCTGGCAAGGATCTTTGGATCCATTGACACGACTCAACAGTGTTTCGCTAGTGGCCCTGGGGAAAGCAGAGCAACCACAAGTCTTGGTCAGGTTGCCCTCGTTGGACTGTTTGGTCGTTGACGGGCGGAAGGTGATTTGACCGCGGTTGAGGATAGCTCCTCCTTTTTAAACCAGAAAGGAAGGATGGGTAAAGCATCAGGCACAAGGTTCTATTTTTGTGACTACCCCAAGTAGACTTAAACCCAGGCGTAGTTGATAGGTCGAAGACGGCACCCCCTCGGTTTTAGCCTACCCTGCAAGGTAGGCCAATGACCCGGAAAGGGCCCTTTTCGGCAAATCAACTACCCCTGGGTTTGAGAGTTACGACATGGAACCCTGTTTTTGTGACATTTACACCCAGCATGGTGAACCGCATTGTGGTTGAGCTGCTAGCTTTGTATTACCTATTCGGAAGGTCTTGGCGTTTGTGTAACTTTCATCACCCTGGATGCTGAAAGTCACTCGCAGGAAACTTCATCCTGAACACAGATGCAGATGGCTGGCCGATGTACCAATATCCACAGGAGGCGCCCGATTTGTCCGAGACATTCTGCCAAGGTACGCGCGAGTTGATATATCGCTTGTGGCAAGCGAGGGGGCCGTATTTGGGGTTTTGCCTTTTCAAGATGTTCAGATGTTTCCAAAGTATGCAAGCCCCTTCCTGCACTTCAGCTACAGTTTTGTTGCAGCTGAGAGTTGGTTGTGCCCTTTGGGTTCCCGCCGATTTTCATCAACCACGTTGTGGTTTTCTATTTTGCAGAGGCAAGCATTTTTTCCGCCTTGCAGAGCGTGTTCGAAGTGGAGATGGGGCAAGAGACCGCCAACTACACCTACGACGCCGTGAATCAGCGATGGGCTCCTTGCAGTTCGCAGGGTCAAGGGGCGGTTGCCTTTGCTTAGCCCTGAATGTTCGTTTTTCGACGCGTTGCAACCATCGTGGCTTTGGGCGGAACGAATCGATTTGCTGATGGGTCCGGCCTGACACAGCAGCGGCCTAGTAAACATTCAAAGCATTCAGCCATGGCATACTAGGCTAGTATGCCATGGCTGAATGTTTTGAATGTGTTCAGCAAGCGGAATTTGAAAGTTGCAGTCCACATGTCGCCCTTGAAATCTCTAAGGCTGTGGCTCAAATGATTTTGAACCAAAATGGCCCCTTGGTAACTGGAACCACAGACTCAAACCTGCGGTTTGCCCCAGCTCTTTAATTTTGAGCCACACAATCTTAAGGTGCTCTCAGTCCTCGCCTCCAGCACCATCTCCGAAGTGGCCTATGCCTACACGGCCGCGGCGCTGCCGGAGCAGGTGCCGAGCTCAGGTTCATGATGCGATTGGCACGACCCGAGCGGCAAACAAAGGCCACCTTGCAGGCCGTTTGGCAAAGCCAGTGGTTTGCCCCCGCATTCAGCACATGCAAGTTCATTGAACGCAACACGCTTCCATTTCAGAAACGATCCTTGCCAACTTTATGTTTCTTCACTTCCCTCCTCCGAAGAAAAAAACCAAGGGAAAACTCCCCCCACCCCCCAAAAAAGCATGTAAAATATACATTATTTACTTAAACAAGCACAGAGCAAGCCAACCTCCGCGCCATGCGGCGCTTTCTTCCTTCCCTTCTGGCGCCTTCGGCGTCCGCGGTCGTCGGCGTGGCCTACGACGGCGGCGAGGCGTTTCTGGGGCTCCGCTACGCGCGGAGCCCGCGGCGCTTCGCGGCCGCGGAGTTGACGGAGTTGCAGGCGGACGCGGAGGCCACACGGCAGGGGCCCAGGTGTTGGAGCCTCGGAGCTGAGAAAAAGGCCGTTCCCTCGTTGTTGTTTTTTTTGGGGGGGGGGGGAGTTTGAAGCTTTTTGGGATTTATTTTGTGGAGTTTGAAGCTTTTTGGGATTTTTTGTTTCGGGAGTTTCGAGTTTGGCTTATTTCTTAAGTCTTCTTGGGGGTTTAGTGGTTGTTTCCAGTTTAGTGGGAGTTTTCGTGTGTGTTTTTTTGGTTTCGTGGTAGTTTTTGTTTCCTTGGTTTCGTGGTTTGGTTGGAGCCGAAGAAGTCCGCAAATGTTCGGGGCATAGGCTGAAGTGGTTCATTCGCAAGCCTGGTGGTTCCAACTCAAGCCGATGGTCATCAGTCTCCGTGGGTTCTGCAGGCAAACGAGCCGCTTAAGCACAGTGCCCCTTTCAGCAGCCGTTCGCTGAAGTCAGTGGGTTTGGTTTGGGTCTTAGCCAAGAAAGCTTTTTGGTGGGTTCCTAGCCATCCGGTTTCTTAGTTTTTGGTTTGGACTTTCTGGGGAGTTGAGTGATCGTTTCCACCTGAACTACGAAAAGTTAGACTTTGAGCAGGGGATCTGAGGACGGCAGTTTGGAGAATTGAATTGAAATTAACTAGTTCTGGAGTAGGGGTTCTGGAAGGGACTGCATTTCTCGTGACTCAATGAAGCGTCGATTTTGGTACGAATCTTGATTGCCCTGTGACGTGGATCTCGCGGGGCATAAGGAGCCCTGGGGCATTTGCCAGGGTTCTCAAGACGGGAACTGTCGGTTCTCACTTTTGCCGGGCTGGGTTACTTCTTGCTTCCCTTTCAAAGGCTTAAAGATCAAACATGGAGGCCGTTCGGGTGACAATGTTTGTGGCATTATGTGTACCTGTCAGCTTGTGTTTTTGGCGAACAACAGAGACATCATTTTTTTTGCGCGCAAAATGTGCCGGGCGGCTCAGGAGCCCCGACGATTTTCCCTGCGTGCCGACTCCGGGCAACTTGCCATCGGAGGCTTGCAAGTCGCCCCAGGCCGCGGAGATGTCGGAGGACTGCCTATTCTTGGACATCTACCGGCCCAGCGGGGGATCCTGGCCCAAAGCAGTTACTTCCATTTGCAAAAGCAATACGTTGTCTTTTCCCCTGTGGGTTTTAAAGGGAATCTATCATGTTTCCGCCGATTTCACTACTTGTTTTTTTCCGGGGGCGAAAACGCAAATCACTACTTTTTTTGCAGGGGGCAAAAAAGCAAATCAGTACTGGGCATATTTTTTGACTAGCTTTTTTTCCAGAGGGAGCTTAAAAACGCAACTGGCAGGTTATGGTTTGGATCCACGGCGGCGGCATGACTCTGGGGGACTCAGGCGGAGGCGTGGGCAATGGCACCAGCCTCTCCGGGCAGGACGTGATCGTGGTGTCCATCAACTATCGCCTGGGCCCCCTGGGCTTTTTGCCCTTGCGGCCCTTCGGGGCCGCGACCGGCACGGGGGGCATGAATGGCCTGCACGACCAGATTCAGGCATCCCGAAAGAAAGTCGAAACGCGCCGTGCGGCGTTTCCTTCCAGCCCCCGATTTCTTTACTTAAATGATCTTAAATGCTTTGAACACGTCTCGCTTAATTCTTGTTCTTGTTTTTTGTTTTTTTTCTCCGCTTGTTTTCTTTTCCTACAGATCTCCCTGTATGTCACGCCTGCCTTTTTGTTGGTCCCCTCTCGGCCTTTGTCTGCCACGTCTCAGAGGCGCTGCGCTGGATCCAGCGGTACATCGGGGCCTTCGGCGGGGACGCGAAGCGCGTGACGCTCTTCGGGTGCTCCGCCGGGAGTTTGTCCATCTGCACGCTGGCGGTGTCGCCGCTGGCGAAAGGCCTCTTTCACCAGGACAGGGAAGGGTGCCCCGATGTGCCCCGGGTGCCCTTCCCCCCGTGAGACCATTCCCCTCCCTTCCCGCCCAAAAAAAGAAAAGAAAGAAGAGAAGAGACATGATAGGAAGATGGCGATGTTTTGTTTTCTGTGGGGGTCCAGAATTGTTATAAAAAACAAAGTGGTTGGTGAGGGATCCACAGGCAGAGAACAAAGTTGTGTCCAGCCAGAAAGGGCGTTTCTAACAAAGGGTTTGGTGCAATGTTGACCCAGGATTCATCAACCACCCCTTGATGAGGAGCTGTTGATGTGAGTCCTTCACACCTGTCAATCTGCCATCAACGAGCTTGAGGGGTTGGAGAAGATTTGTTGCTTTGCTCTGCAATCAACAAGCCTGAGATGGGTTGGAAAATGGGTGAGGTGTGGATCCTCACTGCTTGGAAAATGGGTTCCCCTTGCTTGGGGTGGATTCTTGCATGGGTTTGCTTAGGTTTGCTTAGGGTTTGCCTAGGGTTTGCTTGGGTGTGCTTAGGCTTGCTGAGGTTTGCTTAGGGCTTGCTTAGGGTTTGCCTAGGGTGGATTCTGTTTCAGTCATTGGCCATGGTGGTCTCGATCTCCTCGCAGCTTCTCGCTAGGCTGTGCTGCAGTCCGGGCCTTGTTTGGGGCCGTGGGGCCCTGGAACGGTGGAGGAGGGCGAAGAGGTGGGGCGTCAGAAGAGAAAAGCCAGGCGAAAATCAGATCCGTTCCGGAGGGTTTGGTTCCGGATGGTAGAAATCCCAATTCATATCCTTTGAAACTTTTTGACTTGGAACTTTTTGATTCGGATGGTTTGGTTCCGGATGTTTCTCCTTGGACTTTTGGGGCAGGACTCATTTCACCAAGATGGAGTTTGCTTCACCAGGCAAGTGAGAATTGATGTCTCCTTGGCTTTGTGGGGAGGGTGTATTTGCAGACGGAGTTTCGCGGGTCAGACAAGCCTTTGGGATGTGATGGGAGGTGAGGCGGCGGTTCATGCGCTCGGCCAACGTGAGCTCCTTGGAGGAGCTTCACGATCTTCCGGCCTCAGCCATGCTCTGGGGCCAGGGTCAGGACCAGTATGACATCGAGTTCCCGGGGTATTCTTCCCATTTAAATTAATCACGTTTTTATGTTATTTTCCCCTGGAAATGTGTTTTTGGTTAAGAATAATGTTTTTATTTTATTTTTTCCCCTGGAAATATGTTTTTTGTTGGGTTAGGAATATTTGGTTTGGCATTTTTTTACAATTTATTTTCCCCTGTTGGTTTTGAAGGGAATAGATTTCACTACTGGACATTTTTTGTTTTTTTGCAGGGGGCGACAAAAGCAAATGGAGGTATTGGATCGATGGCTGGGTGGTGTCAGAGCATCCGCACCGGCTGTTCCAGCAGGGCCCGGTCACGCCGAGGGCTTTCCTCATGGGGGCCAACTCCCGGGATGGCGTCTTGACTGCTATGGGGTTGGATCTTTAGACCTTAACTTTTTGGTTGAGGTCAAGGGGTTTTGCACGCAACCCACCAAAAGTTACCCTTCCTCCAACTACCATGGCACCTGTGGGTAGGTACCTGGAAGATTCCTTTCCCTTTGAAGGGAGCCCCTGTCAGTTGCCATTTTAGTTGGAGGGAGGGTGAACTTTTTGCAGAGGGTTCAACAGCACCCAAGGCGTGCTGGGCTCCGACTACGTGGCGTCGTCCAAGATGCCGATCACCACCACTGCCTACCGGCCAGACCTCTTGACGCATTGGCGACCGGTGAACGGCACCGGGGGCGTCTTCGGGGTGAATCGGCTGCTGCCCGCCTCTGTGGGGACCGAGGTGTTTTCTGCATACCCCTTGGCCGACTACTTGCATCTGGGTGGCCCGGCTGCGGCGTTCAAAGCCGCGGACGGGGATTACCACGTGGTTTGCGCCATGCATCGCCTGGCCTTGCTGGCCGCAAACCAGGCCGGGAAGGTGTTTTTCTACCACTTCACCCACGGGCCGCTGCTGTCGCCCGGCTGCGACCGCCCAGAGGTGGCTGCGGGTCAAAACCAATGGGATCCCATTTTGGTAGGCGAATTCACCACCCATGTTAGGCTTTATTTTACTGGTTGGATTGGTTGATGTTCACTGGGGGTACGGGCTTTTGATTTTGCTCCATGGCCAGGTGGGCAACTTCTCGCTGCCGAGGACCGGCTGGGCCAACCACGGGGCGGAGCAGGACTTCGTCTTCGGCAACCGCAACAAGAGCGCCAGCTGCCAACTGCGGCCCGAGGAGCTGCGGCTGTCGCAGAAAATCCAGCGCTTCTGGGCCTCCTTCGCCCAGTTTGGGCGGCCTGTTTCGGAGCCGGCGGAAAGGGCGTGGGGAGCCTTCCAGCCCCACCGCGCCTTCCAGCTGGGCCTGGAATCGCAAGAGATCGACCTGACGAGGTGCGAATTCTGGGATCGGCTCACTGGGAACTATTGGCCCAGGACCGTCCTCTTCGCCTGACGGCGAAAAAAACACCGGAGCGCGAGGCGCATAGGTGTCCGTTTTGGTTGTTTTGGTTGAAAAATAGATGGCGATTCCTGGTTTCCCTGGCGGTTGAATCATCTACCAGGGCCATCTATTTCCCCGAAAAGGACACCTATGGCGGGGAGCACATTGCAATTTTGCCGCTTTTTGAGGTTGTGAAGAACTCAAGGCGCCGATAGCACTGCGCTGTTTGGAGAGTTTGCAGCTGAGCGCTCACATTCTTGGGATGCGGGAGTTCATCACATGTTCGGATCCGGCATTCGGGTTTTTTCCTCCTTTCCTCAGGGTTCTGATCCTCTTCAGGGTCCGGCTCTGTGCTGAAAGCAGCGTCTCGCGCAGCTTCGAATCACCTAGGCTCTGGTGATGACCGCGGAGACGGGCACGTCCCTGAAGTGCCAGTGGCCCTTGGTGCGGCCGGATCCCGCCGCCAGCTCCCCGCCCAAAGGAAATGGGCGTGGGCAAATTTGGCGCATGGCAGAGGTCAAGTTTTGAGGAAGCTCCGAGGCTCAGAGACAGGAGCTGAACAGTCTTGGGACCAGAGAATTGAGAATGACCTATGACGCCACCCATTGGAAAGCCGCTTGAAAAATTACCGTGGCATTTTTTTTGCAAAGACAAAAACAAAACACTTCCTCCCCCCTCAAAAATATCCCGCCTCCCCTCCCCCGCCGAATACGTGGCGTCTTAGTTGCAGAGGGAGCTGACCAGGCGACTGCTTCTAACTGCTTGCACCCGAGCTTCCGAGCTTCCAAGGCTGCTCTTGGCGCTTTGGCTTTACCCCCAAGGCTGGGAAGTACGAGTGTAGAGACTTGGCCAAAAAAGAGCCAAGGGGCGAAGGGGGGGGGGGCAGATCGGTTTAAGATGCCGAGGTGGTTTTCAACCAGGTGACAAAAGACTGTCCGCCAAGGTCTCATTCTTGTGGGTTTGACAAGTGACTTGTGTGTGTGTGTGTCTGTGTCTGTGTCTGTGCCTGTGCGCTTGTGCCTGTGCTTGCGTTTGTGAGCGGCAAGCAATGGACCACTAAGGAGACGGCACGTTGTGCGATACCGACTGCTGCGCTAGCAACGGAGGCCGCCTGGCAATATGAGTCACAATCAAAACCGGGTAGATGAAGGTTAGTAAGGGGCAGTCCCAGCCGGAAATAGTTGCGGCTGCCTTTCTAATTCTTTACATGGTTCTGGGTTCACCATTTTTTGTACCAGGTTTTGATTGTGACTGATATGGCATTTTCACGAACCCGGGTGACTTGCGCTCGCTCAAGCTGAGGCCTTTATCGCTGCCCTTACAATCTTCCCATCATGTGCGAGACCGCCGCCGCCTCAGGGCGCACAGAACACTAGAATCTACTCACTCTGCAACCCTCGTCTTTCAACGAAGTCCTTCTTATGAACGTTGCAGAGGTCAAACCCACAAAACTCAAAATGCGCCTGATCTCCTGCAATGTGAGTTTTTCTATGAAGATCCCGCCTAATCTCACAAAGCGAGATCGGTCTGGAATACACCGCATGAACAAGGCTCAAACCTACCCTCCTTCCAACAATCATGGAAGTGGACGATCGGGGGCTTCCCCAAAAGGAAAGTAGTCAGTCTCCCTAAACCCTCAGGCCCTCGGATGGTCTGCTTTGACTGTAGGGAGGGTAGCCGGAGATCTTTAGGGTTCCTCCATTTTCATTGAAACCAAACCACCAGTGAACTCATCAACTTTTGACTGGGGGAACTCCAGTGACCCGTGGAAGGTGCCTTTGTGAGGCAGTTTACTGCCACTGGCTTAGGGTCCTACATGATTGCCATGGGTGGTTTGAAGACCTCCAGCGACCAGAGGAGAGGTATCAGGGTTTCCGAGCCATTTCCCTTCAAAGGGAACCTGCACAAATTAGTAGTTGTTTCGTGGAGGCCCCGGTAAATTGATCAGCTTTTGATTTGGGTAGGCAGTTTGAACAGGGAATCAGGGTGTCTGATTTCCGAGGACACCACCACTGTCCTCCATTTCCCTTTCAAGGGAGAATCGAAAAGTCGAAGTTTTTCATGGACACCACCCTCACCAGTAAACTGATCAGTAGGAAGAATCCTCTGATCTCCGTGGACACCCACCGGTAAGTTGATCAACCTTTCCAGGGGTTGATTCCTTTTCCATTCTGTTCAACCATCGTTCTTTTCAAAAGCCGGATCCGTTCCCCGGGGTTTGGGTGGTTTAGAAAGACTCGGACGCCGGAATGGAAGTGGAAGGTACCTTCCTAGAACCATCCGAGCAAAAAATCCGGAAAAAGAACAAATGAGAAAAAAAACACACACACAAATCCCTAGAGCCATCAGAGAGAGAAAAAATCCGAAAACAAAAATCCCCAGGCCGCCCCTTGGGAGCCAGCCGTGCGTCCGCGTGAACGTCTCTCTCACTCGCGCTCGTCGTGCGCTCGAGGCCAGCAGCGGCCTCTACACCTGCGCCACGGATTGCGGCTCCGCGGGCGGGCCCCGGACCTGCCAGGCGCGGACCTGACATGAGTCGTGGCAAGAGGCGTTTCTCACGGGGAGGGAAAGGCCGAAGTAAATCGAATAAGTTGCAACAAAGCTGATATATTTATTTTATTCAGTTAGTTATTTGTGTATTTGTTGATTTATTTATTTGTGTGTTTGTTTGTTTGTTTGTTTATTTGTTTATGCTTTATTATTTATGTGTTTATTTGGTGTTTATTTATTTGTTTATTTGTTTATTTATGTATTTATTGTTTTTTTTTGATTTACAAATATACATGTTACATATACATATGTACATGTTACACACACATATATATATATATATATTCACATTATGTATATATATATATACACATTATATATATAGTATATGTCTACGTAAATATGAGTCATTCGAAGACGCGAACGTCATCAGCGAACATGCCATGAGCCCACTGAGGCCACAGATTCGATGGCTTCAAGCTGCTTTGCATCAGGCCACCGGCAAGCAAGGGGCCCGTCGGGGAGCATGTGGTCGTTGTGCCCGGGTGCCCGTTTTGGGAGTGGTAAGTAGGGCTCCTTAAAAGATCTCCATTTTGCAACCATTTGAAACATGTTGTTTTTTTTTCACCAAAATCAAGGGAAACCACATGAAACCACTATTTACAAGTTGCAATGTCCAGGTGTATAATGCATCCGGATCCCTGGCAAGGGAAACCAGAAGGAGAACCACCATTTTGGGGCCCTAAAAAAGAGACACCCCCAGTTGGGGAGACAACTCGCATGCTGAAGCACAACCCGCTGACTTAGTTCCCGGAATGTGGGGCTCGCGTATATTGGGTATGGCTCCGAAAGGTCAGCCTTTGTATCCGAACTGAATTTGAGGAACATGTAGGGAACGTTCCGCACGTGGGAAGCGCTATCTTCAAAGTTGGGGCAGTACCGGCCTCCTTTGCCAAATGTATGGGTGGTTCCGTATGTTTGAACCAGCCGTCCCCATGTTTGCCTGTGGTCGGGTCCATTTTTTGTGTCAATTCCCGGCAAACGACTCTCCCAGGTAACAGGGTTTGTGGTTGATGACTCGTGGTTTGTCCAACCACCCCGGCGATACTTTTGGGAATCTCCCCCTATAATAATGGGGCTTAGTGTTTGGGAAACCCTTTCTGTATCACAGAACAGCAGAAAGCGGTCATTTCCCTTGGCGGTTCCTAGCCAGCCACTTAGTCTTGTAGTCTTTGGGAAGGTGGATTTCCATCTCCAGCCCTGCAAAGGTATAAACGGAAAGACCTACTCCACGGTGCTGAGCACGCTCACCGCCTCCAGCACGGAGGAGCTCAGTTTTTTCTCCGTGCACGCGTCCGACGCGCGAGGGGTTGGCCAAAAAGGGGCAGCCGACACTGCGACCCGCGTTGGCTGCCAACCCTTTTAAAGGCGCCATGACACGGCAAGGCAAAAGGGGCCCAAGCTATAGCACCTCATGATCAGACTTCTGATTGTACACTGTACAGGGAAGGGAATCCCATGAATCGCTGAAAAAGAGAACCCCCATGAATCCCTGCAGCTTGACGTGTCGAACCCCCCCCCCAAGAAAGACGGACCTTGGCTCGCAGGACTGTCAACAGCGGTGCAGGCGCACCGGGGGGTGCGCGCACTTCTCGTATTATCCCACCTCAACGGCCAGCAACTGCAAGCTCCACGACTTTACCGCCACGGAGTCCACGGAATCAGGACACATTTTTGCTCGCTCGCGAGAAGAACACTTGTGGCGGAAGGCATTGGAGTTTCTTTGCGCCAGGACAGTCCGTGTGATGCGTAAGCACCTCCATGCTAGAGTCAGCCTAGGTTTGCAAGCCGCTCGGGAGTCCGGCGTTTGGCCAGTCCGGTTGAGTGTTGGCCCAATATTTTTGTTGCCCGTGTGACCCCCGTGGCACCCGAAGGTTTTCCATGGATTTACCGCTGACACGACCCTTGAGTTTTTGGGTGAGCATGTATCGACTTCCACGAGTGGCAGAACAGGTGGCATTTCAGACCTCGGTGGCAAGCAAGGAGGCAAAGTTGCAAGACTGATGTTGCCAGATCTTCTTGGTGGACAAGTCAGCAGTTTTTTTTGGGTTTGCGGGCGAGGAGGGGGAGGGGCGGTGTTCTGCTTTTCTGCACGCCAGGAACCACCTCAGGGCCCCCCACCTGTTTGGCCAGCGTGTCCATCGTGAACAACGTGAATGCCAACCAGATCGGCTTCTTCCGCCTGTGCCCTCGGGCGCTTCGCTTCAGCCAGTTGGGTTTCTATTTGTTTCTTGACCGCGGAAACCGGTTGCCTTTGGTTCCCTTTCAACACTGACAGGGGGCGCAACCAGTCGGGCGCAACCACAAGGAAGATTTGGACCTGGGGATTCCAAGCGTGTTTCCAGGAAGGCTAGTGGTGAGCTTTGCTGTACCACCCTTGGCATGGTAGCAAGAAAACACGTTCTTCTTGGAAGCCCGCTATCAAAAACGAGCAGAACCAAAAAAACATGAGAACCTAAACGTGCCGACAACAGCGAAGTCTAGTACAAACAAGAAAGCCTTGTTTGTTCTTTTGGGACATGGGCGCTTTGCTTTTTACGCATGCTTGCTTGTCCATTGAATTTACTGCTGCTCTTCTGCCAGCACCCACTCTTGACTCTTCCCCCCGAGCCGCCGCGGAAACGGGTGTCCGAACTTGCCCGGGCTTGGGCTTCAGAAGCAGAAGCAGTTGATACACTGGCCCTGTGAAAAACGCCCCGTAGCCGAAAGCAAAGTCTTGTAGGGCCATGGTCTAAAGAGTCCTCACTTGAACGTGACTCAAAATCCAGCAAGGACACGCCGCAGACTGCAGATTCTGTTGCCAGAAGCCAAGGTGCAGGGCCGCAGGGTTCCACGTTTTTCACTGGACTTCAACCCAGGGCCTTTCGGGAACTAAAAGATCCCCGGGTTGAAGTCTTGTGCGGCGCCCCAAAATTGAGCCATGGATCATCCGATGGCCAGGTACTACCTCTGCACCGACTCCCTGGGTGTCCAGTCGGGCTTCTCCCGGGTAGTGGAAGTGGGCTGTGAGGGCCCCAATCCGGGAGGCCGCTCGGCTCGGGCCACAGAAGCCTCTCTCTTTTTTTTGGGGGGGGGAGAGGGGCTTCACAAAGCAAAGACGGGTGTACTCCACTTGTTGTTGTTGTTGTTTTTTTGGGGGGGGGTGGCTCCACAAAGCCAAGTTGGGTTTGAATTTGCAGCGGATCCCGCAAGCTCACTTCGCAGCGGATCCCAGGAGTCTATGGCGGGAATACCATCACCTGCGAGAAAGTGCAATCGGGGCCAGCGGTGATGGCTGACTACTTGGCCTGCGTCAAGGAATGCACCGGTGACAGTGTCTGTGGCTTGGAATCGACACCTTGTCCAGTACGTTGTGGTTCCCTTTGTTGGAGGCTGCACCTTCTTTATTGTTGGGTGGCTTTTTTTCGGGGAATCCATTGACAACGGCCATCTTTTTGGTGGCTTTTTGTTTGGAAACCAAGAACCCCCCAGCCATTTTGTGTTGCGCGACCTTTCAAAAACAGAAAGGCGAGGCACCATCACCAGCCGGCCTCCTTTCGGGCCTCGGGCCTCGGGCTCCGGCCGCCTGCTTTGAGGCGAGGCCTACGAGTTCATGGGCTTCAGTGGCGGTCAGGGCAACTGCACCACTTGGTCCGGCTGCGATGGGAAGTACGGCACCGATTTGGAGACCATGCGCCAGGCAGAAAAAGAGAAGTCTCCCCCGGAAAACAGAATCCATAAGTCTAGGGGATGATTGCCCATTCTTTTCAACCATCGTTCTTTTCAACAACCATTTGTTTTCCCATGGTTTTTGGTGGTTTTCTAGAAAGAAGGATCCCTGGAAAGAATGGGGAAGCTAACCTTAGAATAAGAACACAACCAACTCGGTGCTTCCAATTTCCCAACGAATTGATGCTCTGCGCCAACACGGCCAAAGGGTTGCTAGTAGCCGAAAACATAGCTTCCCTACATGTTTGTTTCTTGAGGTTCTGCATATTGATCTTTGTTCCGAGGACCATGCCAGAACAGGACTGGAGCAGCCATTCCCGATAAGTGAGCATTAACATATTAGGCATCGCAATCGTGAATGTGGCAAATGGGTATGGGTCAAAATCAAACCACCAGGATATGGACCGCAGGTTTTAGTCCTTGGTTCCATTTACCAGGGCAAGCCATTCAGGGGGTTACCCTATGTGTGACCCACAGCCAAATGAAGATGTTTGGAGGTGAGCTCCTTAAAAGATACATTTTGCCCATTTGAACCATGGCTTTGTCCACCAAAATACAGGGAAACCACCATAGGCAATGTTCAGGTGTGTAATGTAAGGATCCCTGGAGGTGGGCTATTGCCAGCGCATCAACCACTACCCCAAGATCTTCGTCACGCCATCTGACCGAACCGTCAACGTGGGCAACGCATATGCGGAAGGCGCCGTCGCATGCACGGACTATGAGGATCCATATCCACCAGTTCCGACCACCGTGACGTCCTTCGACGTGAACGTGCCTGGGCAGTACATGTTCTATTACACGTGCAAGGACTGGGCGGGCGTCGGGTGGATTGCGCGGCTGTTGCTTTTCTGACCTCGTGGTCGCATGCTGTGGTATCAGCCAGCCACTGACTCAAGTGAAGAGTCGAGACCTGTAGAGAAATATGAGGTGCGCTTTTTCATTCGAGTCCAGGTGAAAAAGGCAGAGACCCTCCAAACGTGTGATGCAGCTTTCTTCTTGACCTTCTAGCACTACCTTCTAGGGAAACAGCTGGTTTTTGAAAAGAACCATGATTGAAAAGAATGGAGAGAAGGAATCAACCCCTAGAGACCGGCAAAACAAAAATCAATCCGCCAGCCCCGGTTTTGACTAAAGCGCCGAACGGATCCACGCCTGCGAGGATCAGATCGGGCAAGAGACCCTGGGCAACCGGACGGTCACCGTGAAGGCCAACTGCTCCTCGCCCTCAGGCGCCGCCGGAGGGCGCGGGCGCGCGTTTGCCGTTTGCCGTTTGCCGACGTCCAAAGGTCGCATACGTCGAGGGGAGAGCCATGAGAAGGCTCAAGATGACCATGATGTGGAGATATGGGGCAAAAACAAAGAAAATCCGCCAGCGCAGCTGCAGTTATTTGAGTCCTTGTTTCCATTTACCAGGGCAACCCGTGTTGGGTCTAGCATCACGTGGCGAAGGGCGCCGGGGGGCTGTTCAACCGACAACTCAGCCCTTCAGAGCAGGGCAACCGGTCCTTGTAGGGCACTAGACGACCCTCCCAGCAAACATGGAACCTGCAAGATGCTCCTTGTTGGAGGAAGTGGTGTTCCTCCGGGTCCCTTCAAGTTCTATGTTTGTGGGAGTGCTTGGGTTGGATTTGGGATAACCAGGTTGTGAGGGTCTGACCTGGGGCTTCCCACCCAATGAACCTCCATTGGTATATGTTTGGATGGATTTGGGGATACCCAACCTGGTTCTTCCCTCTCTGATATTTCCCCCCCGTTTGAAGCTCCACACCATTCCAAAGCCGAGGGCTCGAGGCTGAAGTGAGACCTCAGGTGTGGCCAATGCGGCCGACCCGCCGTGCCAAGAGGGGCTCGCGACCTTTGCGCACGGCGGCACCTGCACCACGGTGTGCCTGACTGGCTACACCCAGTCCCGCCCCTCGCTCAGACCCGACAACCCGAAGACGCGGGTCTTCCCAAAGGCTGTGGTGGGCTGTGTGCTATGCTACGGGCCTGCTTTAAAGGCCGTTTTGGGGCTGCATGCTGCGGGCCGCAAAACGTGGGCGCCCCGTTTTTTGGTGAGTGAAAAAAGGGGAATACCAAAAGGAAGGCCGACGCCATGTTGGGAGAGCCAGACTAATTGAGACTTTGCTGGACTGCAGAACGACAATGCCAGCTTTTTTTTGCTTGAACCTGGACAAGGACTCCTCCCAACACTGATATCACTGCAAGTGAGGCAGAACCAAGCATGTAGATGAAGATTAGTAGGGCAGTCCCATCCCGAAATGGGCGCGGCCGCCATCTCTTCTTTCTCTTTGTAGACCACCTTGGTGCACCAGGCTTTGCTTGTGCAACTCTTTGAAAAGGGTCCAAAGAGCACGGCCCGGCATCCCTCCGAGGAACCTCCGTGACGTGCACAACCAACAGCGATGCAGACTTTGCCTCCGACTGGGACAACACCTTCGTGTGCGGCGACTCCCCGTGCGACGCCCCTCTGAACGTGAAGAATTTGAAGGAAGCCACAGGCACGTGGGCTTTGCGAAACTCTCCAATGGGTGCTGTGCCAAATCTCCAATTTGGGTGGTTTATACCACTTTTCTTAGCTTATCATGTCAACGTTTCACAAGAAAAGGAGGTTCGTACCATGCAGGGCAAGCAGGTTTGTTCGACCCCCCCCCCCCAAAAAAAAGAAAGAAGAAGGACAAAACAGAAGGTGGGCATTTGGAGAAGGGGAGAACATCAGCCTTTGGGCTGCCAGGCAGTGAGACGATCTATTCGTGCTCGGAAGGATCACAAGTGGTGTCCGGCGCAAGTTGCACGCCTAACTGCAAGCGCCTCGGATCGCGATCGCCGTTGGGCTTTCCGAGCCATGTCCCTTTAAAGGGAACCTCCGAAAGTGGCGATTTGCATGGACACCACCAGTGAGTTACAATCTTTGAAGGGGAAATCGTTGAACTTCAAGCCCTAGCCATGTTGGGGGTTGCTTAGGGCACACCAACAATCGCCATCCCACCCCCACCCCGCCCCCGCCCCGGTTTACCGGAGCCCGAGGGAGGGCGACGACCCCAAGTACGTGCCCACCGTGGCCTCCCTGGCGTGCAGCAAAGAGGTGCTGACGCCCAGCACCTACGAGTGCCACTCGGTGGCCTACATGCCCCAGTACGTGCAGTACAAGGCGGGGGGGAGGGGATGGGAGGGGAGGGGGAGGGAGGGGGAGGAGGGGGAGGGAGAAGGAGGGAGAAGGAGGGAGAAGGAGGGAGGGAGTTTGAGTTTTGAGCTTCTTCTTTTTTCTTGGGTGGCTCGTCCTGTTCTATTTTGTAAAGGTAGCCCCTTTTTGCTGTTTGGTGGGTTGGAGGGAGGAGGGAGCTTGGGAGGCGTTTTTTGGGTGGCTCGTCCCTGCTTGTAGGGGGTGATTCCCCCTTTTTGGTGGTGTTACAGGCAAGCCAAAGGAAAACCAAACTTCTTTTTGTTTTTGTTTGGGGGGGAGGTCGCTCAAAAGAAGGCATTCCCATAGGTTCCCTGCATCCCCTTGCCCGGTGAACTTGAAACAGAGTTGTTGCCATATTTTCCAAAGCGACTTGCCGGGCAGAGGATTCATGTTGCACCACTCGGCATATATCTCATGCTTCCGAATGTATATCTCGTATCATGTGTGCTTATAATAATATATGGCTGTGGGTCAAAATGTATCCCTGGTGAACATCAAAATAGGTGGTACATAGGTGTTCACACGGCATAGGTTATGACCCATGGCCATATTATGTGCATCCCTCCGGCCTGGGCAAGGTGGTGTCCCTCGATTCCCGAGAGCAACAAAACCCTTCAAAAAAAAAGAGACGTTCCCATAGGTTCCCTCCATTTGCCTGGGTGCACCTGGCTGCCATTCCGCGGTCAACCCCGTGGACTCCAAGCCGCGCTCAACGCGCAGGAGCGCGATGTGGACAAGATCGTGGTGAAGTGGGCCATCGGAAGTCCCTCCGACTGCCGGATGCCTCAGCTCCGGGCACGGGTGTTCGCGGTGCTGCGCGGATCTTGGTCCAGCAATTGGTGCCCTTCCCTCACCGTTTTTTTTTTCGGTTGGGAGGGTTCCCCTGCTAAAACAGACTACAGAAAAAAGAAGGGCACCCTTATTCTAACCTCTCAAATCTGGAGGACCTGGGCGATCTTTTTTGTTGCCTTTGTCGCGTCTCAGGGTTGGGAGCCTGTGACATGAAGTTGCTCTGTGGGAGGAACAATCAGTGGTATAAAAGGGGCCCCTTTGGACGCCGGAATCAAATTGTTGATATCGACCTAGTTGCATGTCCAAGAACAAACCTGGACTCTCTCTTTGCTTTGTTTTGCTTTGTGATGCCACAGCTGGACCTGATCTCCAACCTCTCCATCCCGCAAGTTCCAAGGGTGTTTGTATTACACCCTGGGAATACATCCACTGGGCATTGACCCCATTTAGGCACATTTCAGGATAAAACCGTGTTATTTTGAGCCATTCAGGTCAATACGCAGTGGGTGTAATCCCATGCCCCCTCCAATGCAGGCCCCCGGGCCCTCCAATGAAGAACCCCGACCCCTCAGGGGCCCTTGAAAACAACCCATCTTGAGGGCCCAAAAATCATCGGGAGCCTTAGGGTGGGTGTAATCCCAGGGTGTAATCCAAAACTCTCAGAACTTCAATTCCTCCGCGTGAGGCGTGTTCGCGAACTGGCGCCTGGAGTACATCTTGATCACTTCCAGTAGCGGGCAAAGCGCCTGGAGCGACTGGCTGGAGCTTCTGGGCTCAAAAGAAGCCGGCGCTGGGGTCAAAAGCGCTGGAGTCGGTTTGTTTACCTCAGTTCTTCAAAGCGAATCGACCGGATCTGACCTTTTGATTTTCCCAGGTGGGTCCGTATTTAGTCATTGCCCTAAAAGGTGATCACCTTTTAGTTCCAGGTCCCTAAGAGGCAACTAAGTTACAGGGCGGGACCGCCAGAAAGCCATTTCCTGGTGGCGTCCTCGCGTAAGCCATGAAACAGAGCATGCAATTCTTAGGGCCATCCGTACCCCCAGTGAACATCTCAATCCCCACTAATATAGGTTCTAAAATGGGTGGTGCACGGTGATCCCAAAACGGTTTTGAACCATGGCCAATAATAGAATAGGATTTGTGTTTGCTCTGCCACGGCGCATGGTTCAGGCTACAGAACCTTCAAGGATCGCACGATCTTATGTCAGTCGCAATGTCCCACCTGTCCATAGGCAAGGGCTCCATTTGGCCATGGGGCACAACCTATGGCGATCCCATTTTGGGTGGATGGACATCCATTTGCCACTTATTTTGACGTTCACCAGGGGTACAGGGTTTTGACCCACAGCCACTTTTCTTCATATCCGTTTCAGCCCAATGTCAATCAGCCGGCGTGCTGGGCTGAGGAACCCCAACTGCCCCATCTCTGCGCTGGGCGGCACCGCCAGGCGAGCCGAATCGCATCAAAATTCTTGGAAGCGGACCCCCCCAAAACGGAGCCTTGACGGTTTCTCCTCCCACCCAACAAAGGGGTGGCAACTCCAACACATGACCCAAGTGCGGGAAATCCCCGATTTGTTGCGGTGAATTTGGTAAGGGACATGAACTCAACGAGTTGTTCACCAGCGGGAAGACTCACTCTCCTGCCTTTGATTCTCTAATTCTGGCTCGTTGCAGGGCCTGAACGTTCTTTGCATGAATGAATGGGGCAGCCAGGCTTCTGACTTCGGAAAATGGGCCGAAGGGACCTCCCGGATGTGATGCGTGGAAGTCCCAACGTTTGAAGCATGGATTTGAGAGGCCCGAATGCCACCAGTCGCAGGGGTTAGGCTCCCGCCGTTGGGATTTGTTGGGTCTCCTTTTGGGGACCAGTTTTCGGGTCCGGCCAAAGTTTTAGTCAACCCTCATCTGATGGAAATTCGGAGTCCAATACCAGTTAGGACTCGGAAACCAGGACGCCCGTTTTTCGGAAAACACAACTCAAATGCCCTCACTTCTCCTGGCGCCCCCCCCTTCCCTTCTTGCGCGCGACGTGCAGAGGACCGACGTGTTGGAGTGCACCGCCAACACACTGGAGGAGGGAAGTACCTACAAGTTCCGTGTGCGGCAGGCGGGAGTCCATCCACACTGGGTATTCTTCAGTGTATCAGTCACTTGGATGGGTCAGAAGAAGCAACACACGTGTGAACACCTGCCCGCACGATCCACATCCCCACGAGGGAAACTTGATCATGCAGACCAGTGTGCGGATGTCACCATGAAATCGATCCTCCAACTTCCGCGCCTGCCCCTGTGAAGGAATGCACCAACACCGATCTGAACTCAGCCGCTCGGCTCAGCCACGACCAAAGCCTTGCTAAAGTCCCGGCGACCGAAGCCGGGATCCAAAGATCGGTGACCCTTGTCACCCACAGCCCAATGATTTGCCTCTATCAGGCACCAGGTCCTGCACAACTGGAGTTCTGCTTTCCCCGGCTACGCGAACAGGTATGCATGGCCCCAAGATATTGTTTGAATGAACAGTCTCATGGTTTTATGTCATGGTACCAAATATGGGGATGCATTTCAGTTCGGGACCCTTTGGTGGACATCACTAAGGTGGAGATTCATGTCCACCAGCCACTTTTGACGCCTCACTAAGATTCATAGACAGGTTGCTGCTTCGCTTCGCAGCGGCAGAGATTTTCTCTCGACCCCAGGATTGGCAAACCTCGGAGGAGATTGCGACCACCATCCTGACGCCACCAGTGCCGCCCGGAAGCAAGACGGATGCTTCCGCATGTGCGAAATGCAGCTGGGGGCTTTGTTCGTTGGGGAAGGTTGCCGGAAGGTTCGCAGGTCTGAGGTAAGGGTCGCGCAAGAAGCAGGCGTCCGCCTTTCAGAGAAGTGGCTGCTTGTTCTGCTCAATTTGACTTGGTGCAGGAAGCCTTTTAATCTTAGGTGTTAACCCCGGTTTGATTTCTTCAGGTGCTGAAGGCCGGTTACCTCTGACAGACCACCAAAATTATGCGACAATCGCTCCGCTTCCAACCAGACAATTCCAGCTGAACCAGTGGACAACAAATCACTTGGCTTGGACCAATGACTGATCTTCCTCCTGATCTTTTTTTTTTCCGGGGGAAATCTAGGTTTCCTCTTGGGGTTATCTCCGTTTTTTCCTCGTTTGTTCAGGAAGTCTATGTTTTTTTCGTTGGGTTTGTTGGTTGGAAATTTGGTCAGGGAAGCCGAACCGAGTCGAACCCCACCCTGCCCCACCCCGCGAAACCCCCACCCCCCCACCCCATTCCCACCCCAACCCACCGCCACCCCCCACCCCACTTCCCACTTCCCACTCCCACCCCCACCCCACTTCCCACTTCCCACCCCCCACCCACCCCCCCACCCCCACCCCCCACCACAACACCCCACCGCCCCCACCACTTCACCCCCCACCCTGCCCCACCCAGGACCATCTTCACGCTGCCCAACGCCGACGTCTACGGCAGCCCGGGCAGCGTCATGGTAGCCTTTGACCAGGCGGTGCAGCCCGGCTACGCGGACCGGAAGGTGGAGCTCATCAAGCGCCCCGACCTTCCAACTCATTCCGACCCGTCGGTCGGACCCCGCAAAGAGGGCGCCAAACGCCGGGTCGATATGCGTGACTTTTGTGTTGTCCGCGTCGTTCTGCGTCGTGTTTGTTCTTTTGTGTTTGTTTTCATGGGATGTGGTGGTGGCCGTGCACGTGTTTGTTTGGTGGGGAGGTCTTTTGTTTTTTTTGGTTTTCTCCCCGGTGCGGCGTTCTTTTTTTGGGATGTGACGTGGTCGCCGACTTTTTTGGCGCCTCCACATTGACTGGTGACAGCAAAGCACCAGAAGGGGTGACCCAGTCTCAATCTGAGACCCGAAACTGGACTGACACCGAGGCTTTGGATGCAATGAGCAGACATCTTCTTTGACTGGTTCAACATTCTCATGATTCCATCTTTTACAAAGCTGTGATGCTCTCCTCTTTTCCTCGTTGCGCCTTTGGTTTAACCCCATGTGGCAGAGTGTCCTCCCCCAATGGAGTTGTCGGAAACTATGCCTATCTGGCTGCATGGATCATTCTAGGGTAGCTCAATTTTTTAAAGGATGCCAGGGTGGCTCCGTATCAACAAGAAGCATTGCCATTTGGGCGCGCCCTAGATAGCCAAGTTGCAGCTTTTTTCAGGACACTTTACCCCAAAGTCAGTCACAGTTGCTGGAGGAAAAAGCGGGTGTCCTCTTTACAACCCCTGGGTGTGTCGTGTTTAGGGGACTCCAAAATTGTGGGTTTTTTGGTGTTCCTTTTGGCTTCCCTGGACAACAGACGCCGACAGAAGAGGCCCTCCCTCTCAGTGGAACAGGCTCCATGCTTCGTGCGTTCAGATTCGGATGAAACTTGTGTTTCCGCGCTCTTCTTGCGCATCCAGGGCTCGCTTGTGAGAAGCTGGCTTTAGGATCCCATCATGTTTCAAGGTCCAAAACCAGGGACTGGCCAGCGTTGTCGTACGGGCAAAACTTCGACGCTTCAGGACGGCCCTCTTGGGTGTTTGGTGGCTCCCAGCCATCCCCTCAGCTTTTTAGCCTAGTGTTTAGTGGTAGTTTCCATTTAACCCACTAAACGTTAACTTTTAGCGGGGGGATCTCAGGGCAGCCCTCTTGGGTGTTTGCTGGCAGAGGGCCGAACTTCGGGGTTGAGGTTCGGCGAGAATTGCCAGCCCTCGGCGGACGGCACCTACAACTTCACCAAGTACGCCCCGGAGATGAAGACCACGTCCTTGGAGGGAGCCAGTGGTATGGAGATCGCAGGCGCATCGAAAATCCGGCGGATCCGTTAGAAAATGAAGCCAAGGGGCCACGAGATGTTATTTTTTTTTCTCACTCCCGGTTGGGTCCACGGACTTTGCGGGGACTGGCAGTTGGAGCTTGGAATATGTTGCGCTTTAAAGGGAAAAAAAAACAAAGCAGGGGTGGGTGTCTCGTGCAAAGCCCAAACCAAGAACCAGGAAATGGTTCCAAACGGGTGGCTTCTCGTGTAAAAGCCTCTACAAGAACTGGGAACGGGTTCCAAATCCCAAACCAAGCCAGACCACGAAGTAAGGGTTGCCTGAGAAATATGCCTCGAACACCGCGGAAGGGTGCAAAAGACAACGAATACGCAACGGCTTGAAGCCAAACGCCAGCCGGGAGTTGCGGGTGCGGGTAATCTTACAAGCCCTGCGTGCCAAGTGACTTCTATTGAAGCCGCATGACCGTGCTCCACTCACTTTCCAGTTGCGCCCAAACGCCCAGCGCGAACCGCGCGCAGGCTGGGTGAGGCTTTGCATGGTCGCCGAGAGCAAACCAAACGCCAGCGGCTCCCAACCCACGGGAATCCGCCGATGCCCGAATCCGCCAGGCTCGCGGATCCTCATCGTCACGCCTTTCGCGGAGTACTTCACGGGGAGCTGCACCTACAACGTGAGCTTCGAAGCGGCGCCTCAAGCGCCAAAACGCGCGGCGGCGGTTTGTTCTTGTTTTTTTGTTTCTTTTCTCGGAGCGTAAATCTGGAACCCATCCCCCCCCACACCTGCGGTTTTGGTGTTTTGATTTCTACATGTTTTTCAGGGAAGCTTTGGGAACCACCCTGGAGTTTGTGCTTTCTTTGTTTTACAGCAAACCTTTGGGACCGCGCCAGAGCTTGTGTTCGATGTTTTGTTCAAGGGAAACGCCGGCAGGATTGGGTGGATGTAATGCCGAGGCGAGCATTCTGCCGGACACCACAGGGACGATCAAAGAGCTCGTGGCCTTCTGGTACAACTTCACCTATATCGAAGTGCCACCTTCCCTGACATACATCACGCGCAATGCCTCTTGCCTGGATTTGAAAATTTGGTTTGTCCCGTTGAGAGGGGCTGCAACACGAAACGGGGCAAAAATTGTTCCTTGAGGACTCTGCGACTTCCACAACTGCGATCGGGTGGCTTGGCGTAATCTTCCATTTGCTTAAGGATATGTTTGTATTTTCCCCGATTGGTTTTGAAGGGACTCTATCACTACTGGAAATATATGTTTTTCCTGCAGACATAAGCAAATGGGAATAGTCTGTTTTTTTGAGAGTGAAGGACAAGCTCGAAGTCTTCAGCCCAGGTACAACATCCTTTGGACCAAGAGGACGCGATGAGCCAATAGATGAGGTTTGTGCGTGTCAATCACAATCCTTGCTTCCGACATATCTCATGTTAGTGGCGACTCTTTGAGTTGTGTGTGCAGCTGATTGTTTTATCCAAAAGAACAGAGGTGCATTTTGCTTGGATGTTAGGACCTGAACTTTTTGCCAACGAATGGGTTTTCCATTAAACCACTAAAAGTTATTTTTTTGGGCAGGGAAGCAGAAAGCAACCGAGACAAGTTTCTCAGAGCATTGTTCAGGTGCAAGCTTTCATTTGCCAGTACTACGTCTAACCAAAGCCCTTGCCTAGTTTGACCATGGTTGACCTCTAGTCAGGGAACGTTTGATCTCCCAGATGATCATTTGAGCCACAACCAAAACCCGGGTAGAAGGTTACCACGGGACAATCCCAACCATAAAAAGGTGCGGCCGCCTTCTTAATTTTTTACATGGTTCTGGGTAGACCAGTTTAATACCGCGTTTTGATTATGACTCATCTCAATATCAGGCGCTTGTTCCAGCTCCTGTTTTGGATTCGTTTTCCTAAAACCTCTGGGACCTATATCAGTGGCTCGCGTCACCACGCCCATTTCGGGTTTCTTGCTTGCCTGGAAGAACTTCCTTGAAACTGTCCTTTGTTCTCCTGCGAACCGAGGTTTGTTTGCTTGTTTGTTTGTTTGTTTGCTTTTGGTTTGTTTGGTTGTTTGTTTGTTTGTTTGTTTGGTTGGTTGTTTGTTTGTTTGTTTGTTTGTTTTGTGTTTCCCACCATTTGCAATTGGTTCTCCGGTTTTCCCCCTTTGACCCAAACTGGGTTCCTCCTTTTCTTTTTGCCGTTTTCCTCGTCCATACTGTGGATGGACGAAATCCGCACCACCTAAGAAACCCTGGAATGATGATCCCCCTGTTCTCACCCATAAACAATGGTTTCAACCATAGTTTCAAAGTGGTGCGAACGGATTTTGCCCATCCACAGTAGGGTCAACACCAATGGTACCATTTTGGGGTAGGTCAATTCACCACCCATTTTAGGCTATAGTGGGGATTGAACCGGATGACACTGGGGGTACGGGATTTTAGTGTTTTGACCCATGGCCATTTGGCTTCTTTCCCGTCCATACTGTGGATGGACTAAATCCTGCACCACTTTGAAACCATGGGAAACTATTGTTTGTTGGTATTTGCAGGGGAGTCATCCTTCCAGGGTTTCTTAGGTGGTGCGAAATGGATTTCGTCCACAGTATGGGACTTCCGACTCCAAACCGAAGGACGCAGATGAACTGCACGGCGAGCCCCAAGGACGCCAGCAGCTGCCAAGCCAAGGCCAGCACCGCGGCGCTGTCCCCCACCATCGCCCGGCGCTGTGAGTCCAGGAACTCCACCAATGATATGATCCAGGAGACCGAGAAGAACCAAAAAACCCAACCCCCTCCAATTGTTTTTTTTTACCCAACTCCATCCCAAGTGCAGGGGGTGTCCGAATAGATGGCGATTCCTGGTTTACCTGGTGGTCTAATCATCCACCAGGGCCATCTAAAGGACACCTACGGAGCGAAACCTAACCCCTCCAAAGTGGGGGGATGTTCGCATGTTTCGGAAAACGGGAGGTTGAGACCAAATGCAGGGGTCCTCCATTTGAGCCACGTAGGGTTTCCCTTCATGAAAAGTTGCTGCCGTAGTCCGAGAAAAAGAAAACACAACGGCCGTATGTGTGTCAAAGAGACTTGCCACGCAAAGGTCTCAAGCGACATGTTTTCCCAAAGGTTCTAGGGGTAGCTTCCCCATTCTTTCCAGGCATCTTTTTTTCTTGAAAAAACACCCAAACCCCTGTAAAAACAGCTGGTTGTTGAAAAGAACGATGGTTGAAAAGAATGGGGAATCAACCCCTAGAAAGGTATTTGTTTTTAGTTTTTGTTTTTGGGTAAGACTTGGATGTAAGGAGTGGCTTCCCGTTAGGAGCTGGATACGCCCTTAAGCTTCACCATCGATGATCTCTACCCAGGCTCGGCCGTTCCGCCGGGATCTCGCGGGCTTTTGCCTCGTCCCTTCAGACTGAAACGCTCAAGGGGGGTCTCTCGAAATTCAGATGGGCGCCACCTGAATGACATTGGACAATGGAATTCCATTCCCCCCCCCCCCCAGCTCCATTTAACGGGAAAGGTCCTCGGATCAACCGGAGTTTTTGCTCGCCGCAACCGACTCAAGGCGTGCAGTACTTCGTGGTATGCGCCGGCTGGATCCCGGGCCAGTTTTGGGTCCCCACAGCCGCTCGGACGGTTTCGCGCGGTTGGGCCACAGTGGAAGTGGGGCCAAAAGACCTGCTGGTTTCTAGGCACTCAGTTGTTCAAAGCGAATCGACCTTTTGACCTTTTGGTTTTCGCACTGTTTGGTCCATTTTTTTTAGGCATGGCCCCAAAAGGTTAACCTTTTAGTTCCAGGTCCGTTGGGCAACTGAGGGCGGCATGGATTCTTCTGGCGGTTAGATGATAAGACTCCCGTGAGCACCACGGACATCCCCCTTTTCCATGCGGTTTGTTCGCCAGCCAAGTGGTGCAGCGTCAAAGAGAGGCAAGCCAGCAGAGTGGGAGATTTATCAAAGGACCGATGTCCCCAATGGCAATCCGTAGTTTCAACTTGGGGCTCCTACGATATCAACCCCGAAATCCAATTTGTGCGCTCGTCTTTTCTTCGGTTTGACGAACCCCCCATGGCTTGACGGTTTTCCTTTTGGATTCCCTTTAAAGCCACCAAGAAGGTGGCAGCCTCCAAAAAGCGCCACAAGCCATTTCGAGAAACCAACCCGCATCTTGACTGCTATTGGGTTGGATCTTTAGGCTTTTTGTTTTTGCAAATTACAGGGTTTTCCACTAAACCCACAAAAAGTGACAAACTTTTTGCTGAGGGATCGTTGCAGCAACCAAGGCATGTGCAACATGATGGAACCACTCCGCAGCTCTGAGGTAGACATCGATGCCTCCCAGGAGATCCATCAGACTGTCACCACGGACCAGGACACCGAGGCGCAAAATGCAAAACAGCCGGTGCCATAGGCATTTGCGTAACCCAGCAATTGATCAGACCCTCCATTGGATACTCCGGGAATGTTTGGGGGTCTCAAAGCCTGGCTATTTGAGGACCCTAAATCAATCGGGAGTCGGGAATGAGGAAATGAACCTGGGGATTTCCTGAAAGGAAACCACAAAGTAGGGAATGACCTTTCAGGTGGTGGAATGAGCCGGTTTGTGGGATTCACTTATAAAGGGGATGGTTTATCTCGGGGTCAGACCTTTTTGTTTCATTCCCTGCATGTCTCATTCCCTGCATCTCTCGCACCGATCGCGAGATGAAATGGCTGGGCGGCTGGGCCCTAGGGTTGCCATGAAAAGAGAAGCTTACCTCTTAAAAACACAACTTTTCAACTTTTGGGTAACATGGGCTATATGTCTGTAAAAGATTAACTTCCCCAGGGCTTGGAGTTCTAAAAGGTAAGGAAGGGCCAGGACCCAATTTGGACGAAACTCCTTAACCCCCTTGCTTTCAATGGTGGTTTGAAGCCCGGCCGGGGCAAGCCGCAGGTTTTGGCCTTGGCTCTCGCTGCGATTTGGGGGATTCCTTTTTTTTTGAGCCACCAGGTGTTGTCATCCTGTTTGAAGGTTTGGGTGCGGGGTTCCCCATTTGACTACCCCAAGTAGGCTTGACCCCAGGGTGCTGTGACCACAGGGTTTGGATGACAGATGCAAGGCTGCAGCCAGCTGCCCGGTTTGGAGTAGGTGGATGGCTTGGCACCAAGAGCCAAGGGTTCAAATCCCCGAGCCAAATGGGTGTGGGTCAGAATGAAACCAGCAGGATACGGACCGCAGGTTTTAGTCTATGTTTGCATTTACCAGGGTAGCATATTTGGGTACCTATGTTTGACCCACAGGAAAAAAATACAAGAGACATAAAAATAAGAAAACAAAAAGCCATCAAAGGCTTGATTCCCCAAACCCATCCAGACCCCCCCCCATTTTTGGGTGGCTTCCCCCCGGACTCGATCGCTCGATCGCCCGCGAGCGCGAGCGTCAGGTGGGCATCTCGAGCTTTCGGCTCACCGTCTTCGCCGTGTGCGAGGACGGCAGCGAGGGCCAGGTGTACCAAGCCTACTTGCGCACCAGCGCCTCGATTGCTCAGGATATAAAAACGGAGACTGGAGTTCTTTGGCTGGTTTTTTGATGAGTTCGGGGTGGGTCAAGTTAAAAAAAGGAGAAGCACAGGTGATGTGGGTATGTTTGATGATTCATAGAAACGGCATGACCATAGGCCAAGGGATGTTTTCACCATGGCATTGGGGTATGGGTCAAAATTAGTCGCCACCAAAATATGGACCGCAGGTTTTAGTCCATGTTTCCATTCGGGCCAGCCATTCGGGCGGCGCATTTTTGAGGAACGCCGCAGCCATTTCGGCGGAGAGCTGAGAAGCTTCGGGTCGAGCACAAATTTCTGGACCTTCCCCCCGAATTTCCTCCCCAACCACCACTGCATGTTTTGTTCTCGGTTCAACCTATTGTGGATGGAGGAAATCCGTTCGCACCACTTTGAAACCATGGGAATGGGAAGCCATTGTTTATGATTATTTCCAGAAGAATCAAATCATTCCAGGGTTCTTGGGTGGCGCGAAATGGATTTCGTCCACTGTATCTCCCGATGGAATACGAGCCCCGTGTCGAGCTCCCTCAGGCGAGTTTGACCTGGGCTACACCACGCAGATCGATCACTGGCTTGGAGCTTGCCGTGTAGGCGAATGGCCCCTCCGGGTTGCTCCTGGCAACCCCCAACGCCGGGCGCGACATGTGGCGAATGGCGAATGGCCAACCACAGCGAGAGAGGGCATGGCATGGCAAGAGGAGCAAGCATGATCTCTTGCTGACTAATGCACCCCATTGATACGCATGGATTTCTTTTTTCTCCGTTTTTGTTGGGGGGGGGGGGCCTCCTTTCATTCAATTCAGGTGCCTTTCTTGAAGCAAAAAACCCACCGGGGGAGAAAGGGGGGGGGGCGGTCCGCGATTCGACGGGATCTGAAGCCGATCTTCGGCAGGTGGCACGTTGGCCCTGGAGGAGAGCGTGAACTTCCGGTGGCTGGGTGAGGTGGTGACCGCCGGACTGCCCAGAAGCGGCCAGAAGTTTTTTTTCTTCGATCGCGTGGGATCCGGGGCTCTCAGAAAAAGAAAAAACAAACCTTGGTGCGTTGGTGGCTCCCGAACTTAGCTTTCTTTTAGCTTTTTTTTGTTTTAGCTTTTTTGTGTTTAGCGGTTTTTTTCAAATTTGGCCCACTAAAAGTTCAGCTTTTAGCGGGGGATCTCAGGACAGCCCAGGCCCCCACAACCTGAAACCAAACAAAATGAGCGAGTCGCAGGGCCCCCCGGATTGCTGGTTGGGGCTGGTTTTTGTAGACGGTAAATGGGAGGCCCCCCCAAGAAATTCAACAAACCACCAATTAGAGGGAAGCATTAAGTATATATATATATATATCTTTTCTTGTTGCCTGCCTGTGTTGGAGCCAAGTCGGGTGGTGCATTTGATCATCGCCAGTGAGGTCAGCGCCAACGCTTACGTGCAGTGGGACGCCGGGCCCAGCTTGGTTGTAACCTACACGAAGCCAGCGGACGCGACCGCGCCTCGGAAATTCGCTGGGCCTGGGCCTCGAAGAGGGGCGGGGGGGCTACGGGGAGGGAGGCTAGAGGTCCTGGTCGGCGTCAAGGCCTGCGGTCAAACCCAATAAAAAGAAAACGCGCGGTGAGGCAAAGGAGGCTCTATGCCCTTAGCCCCCTTAGGGGTCCATGAAAATATATGAAAATTGGTCGTCGGTGCAAGGCTTGCAGTTGACCGAGTTGGGCTCGCGTATTCCCTGGCGACTGGAAATCATGCCTCCCCCCCCAATACACGAGTTTTTCCTTTTTCCAGGGCAAATGTGTACAGCGGAGGCTCTGTACAGATGCGCCCACCCCCCACCCCTCAGATGCCGATTCCGAGGAGAGTGCGATTGTCACAAACCACCTGAAGTTTACCATCCTCTCGCTGGCTTGGTGGGAGGAAAACCGCGACACCTACAAGCAGGCTCATCAGGCAGGCCTGATGAAAACTGATACGCCCTGCCAAGTCGAGTTGACCAATCTTTTCCAGGAGGGTCCCGGACGCTTTGCACCCAGCATCACCCAGCAAAAACACATGAGAACATGAATCGAAGAGAAGTGCGATGGCCAAGCTTTCCGGGAGCCTCCCGGATGCTTTGGGAACACAAATTGCCTTCGGACTGGGAGGTACAGCTGCAGATTGTGGACATTGGCTTCAGCTACCCGGCGCCTGCTGGCTTCTCAAAGGCCTACAGTATCCAAAGCATCTCGGAAAGACTTGGAGCGACCGACGGGGGGACGCCAAGCGATCCTGGTGAAGTTTTAAGGCCCATCTCGGAAAGCGCGGACAGCTGTCCGCGCTACAAAAAGCACTGGAGCGGATCTGACCCCATCTGATGCATGTAAGTTGTGGAGCTTAGACTTGCGGACATGACCTGCCTATGAACACCATGAACACCTGTTCGCTGGTGTTCATGGCAAGACAATTTTCGGTCAGAGCTGGGTTTTGTACATTCAATTTTACTTTGGGACAATCCACGCCCCGATGAAAGCTGTACACGCGTGTTATGGCGAGTAGTCCTTGTGCATACTATAATTTTCCTGACTCATTGCATCCTCTACACATCAACGTGGAAACCCAAAGCAACGTTTGTTGGGAGGAATCGTCTTTTTCTTGCTGGTCCTCAGCCGGGGATGAGAAATGGAATGATCCCTGTACAGCATCCCTTGTGGTTTGATCCCCAAACGGTTCATTCCCAACACCCGAGCGCGTTGTCATTCCCTAGCGAGATCGCAGAGGTCGCAAGTCTTTTGGGGGACCTGGGAGTTGGGCTTCATTCACCTTTGATATAGTATGTCTTTGCGATGTTTCTCTTGAAAGCACTTTCCATTAAACAACAAAAGCCTCAAAGAGTCCCAGGGTCTTAGGACGAAAACACCTGCTCCGACTTCAAGTGAGAAGTGAAGGCGCCAACCAAATGGCTGGGTAAGTGCACCACCCATTTTTTTTGTCTATTTTAGTTGGGCTTGAATCGGATGTTCACTGGGGGTACGGGCTCACGCGCGCATGGCTGGAGAAAGGCGGCGGAAGCGGCCTGGCGCCGCTGTACCAGAGCTCCGGGGAGGCCCTGCCCTCGGGCTACGAGGAGCCGCGGCCCAAGCAAAACGAGCCGCGCTTCGGGTTCAGGAGGCTTCTACGGGAACCTGGAGCCTTTGGTTTTCATCTTCCACCAAAATCAAGGGAAACCACCATTTACAAGGCAATGTTCAGGCCTTATAGTGTAAGGATCCCTGTTGGATGGAGATATTTCTTTGGTTTTCTTTTCGCCAAGGGAGGTTACTGAATAACTTTTGGCCAACTAATGGGTTTTTCGAATTAAACCACCCAAGGTTGAACTTTTAGCAGGGGAGCAGAAAGCAACCAAGAAAGCTGGGACTACCCAGAACAAAAAGGGAATCCACCTCAGACGTTTGGGGGCGATCACCCGGTTTGAAGGGAATTCTTTGAGGGTCCGGAGTTTGTCAGGAGATGGAAGCCTCCTCCACTTTCTGAATCGGCCCCATGGGCGACTCTGTGAAACTGAGGGATGAATCTCCTTGGGTCTCCAGGGGTCTGTTGTTTTGATCGCATCCGAATCGTCAAGCTTGAGCAAGCTACGAATTTGAGGTGCGCCAGCCAAGCATGTTTACGAGTTTTAGTCCACCTTCGACTGGCAGTTGAGCTATTTGAACTCGACCTAGGCTGGTTCTGGATGTGGGTGCCTTGCTGCACTTCAACATCAAGGCACCGCAGCTTTGGGTTTGGAATCGTTTTGTTTTATTTTTGCAAGCGGATTGCAAAGACAGTCGATTTCGCCAATGAAGGAGAATTCATATTTTTCTGCTACATCGTAGAACACGTGGTAGCTCCGCGGCTCAGAGGGGAAAGTCATCTCTTCGAGTTAAACTCCCACCAACTAACATGGCTTGGTGCAAAAAGGCCAACCAAGAGGAAAGTCGTCGGGGTCCGAAGGCTTGGCACTAACCCATGGAATCGTCTGGGAGGGTACAGCTGGACTTCCAGCAGAAAGCGACCATTTTCAGAACTTCGGAATGTTAGATTGCCCAGAAAATCGAAAAATGTGGGGGTTGTTGCTTGAATCGGGAGCTCCTTTCTGTGCTTTCAGCTTGGCTTAGCGACACCTAGAGGAAAACCCGCAAGCTTGGGAGCTGAGCTTTGATGCTTGCGGTTTGCTTCAGCTCCGATGGGAGGTGAAGCAACGGCCTAGGTCCATGTGAGCAGCGTTTTTTAATCAAATGAAAGGGTTTATACAAAAAGGGAACTGCATGTACTTTGCGGAGGCAATCCTGGTTGGGGGCGTAGGCTCGCGTAGGCTTCAGCGCGTAGGCTGTTGTGTCACCCCTCGCGTAGGCTTTTCGCGTAGGCGTTTGCTGAACAAATCATGACTCAGTGCTGTTTGCCAAGTATAAATGAATTTGCTTCTTTTGCCTTCCTTCTGTTTGTTCTGGAGTCTTCGCGTAGGCTCCGCGTAGGCCCCGCGTAGGCATTCGCGTAGGCTTTCAAGGCATTTTGGGTACGTAGACCTGTTCTGGCAGCCAGATCCTTGGACAGATGCGGGCTTCTCACTTGTACTGCAATTCTGATCTTAGAGCCGGAGCTGCCAAAACTGAAAAGTTGCGATTTTCCAGCTGGAGCTGCCACAGTGCACTTCGACACTCGAACTCAACATTTGCCCGCGTAGGCATTCGCGTAGGCACCTGGAAGCTGACTTGTGCTCGCGTAGGCACCCCTCGCAGGCCGCGTAGGTTTGCGTAGGCCTTCGCGTAGGCATGCAAGTAGTGTATAGGCCTCGAACCACCAAAAAAAACACTGCTCATGTGTCCAGTTTTGGCAAACATCATCTTAGCTAAGATATGCCCCCACTTGGAAGGTTCGCAAGCTGAGTCAGATTTGTTTTGGAAGGTGGTTTCGGTCCGTTTTGGAAGGGCCCGGACCTCGCAGACTTGGAAAGTTCATGCGAGAGGAGAATCCGCGTGTTGTTTTGTCTATGCTTTTGTACATAGAGTACCAATTGGGGATCTGAAGTCAGCACATGGGGAAAAGTTTGCTTTTCTACATATACAGTATTAATTGGGGATCTTGATGAGTGAGATGGAAGAACAGAAGGGAGATTCAAAGGGTTGGGTTACAGGAAACTCTACAGGGAAACCGCTAAAGTCGTAAAGTAGGGTATCTGTTTTTGCAGTTTCCCGTAAGTTAACCCTCGAGATACCCCTCCAATTGTTTTGGATGAGTTCCTCTTCGATCCGACTAGCCGACTCGCGGGTTCGCGTGCGCAGGTGTCGCAGTCCAGCTTCGATTGGGGCGATGCGACTCAGCCTGGCAAAACCATTCGGTTCCGTTTGGTTTCTAGGTGTTTAGCTGGTTTGGGGGGGGTGTCCACTGTTCCATTTAACCCACTCACAGTTGGTGTGAGTTTTCCATGTCCGTTGTTTTTGCTAGCCTTTTTTAGTTGGTTTCGTGGGTTGTTCCTATTAAGCCGCCAAAAGTCAGGCTTTCGGCAGGGGATCTGAGGACAGCCCAGTCTCAGGTCGCAGTCGTCCACCTCATTTCGGCGATATTTGAACGCCCTGCACCAATCCAAACCAGCGCAGTTCCCATCCCATCACCAAAAGGGTCCTGGAAGCTCATTTTCCTTAGAGACCATGGCAACGCGGACCAGAGGTGAAGCTCTCCAAGAAAAAGCCGGGCATTGGGAAGCTCAACTGAGTCCGCAAGAGTTGTCTGTGTTTTTGGTGGGTACCCTTTCCGGGGTGGTTTTCAAGGAAAACATGGGAAACCAAAAGGACAACTGCAACTTTGTGGTTCCCAATTTCAACACACAAGCAGACCCATTTGGAACGGGCAGCTTTTGCCAAAGAGGAACCGCACACGACAGTTTGACACTACTGTGGATGGACGAAATCCATTTCGCACCACCTAAGAAGCCCGGGAATGTTTCCCTGTAAATTCCAACAAACGTTCTGGTTTCAACCATGGTTTCCAAGTGGTGTGAACAGATTTCGTCCATCCACATGACTGAGCGCCGCGGTGGCTGATGCGGGTCACTAGAACCTCCTATGCTCTGCTTTTGTGCTATCACCGCAAGTTTGGCTGTCACATGGGCTTGCGGGATTCAACAACTACTTCTCAGAAGCTCTCTTAGAAGGAGAAGAGGCACTGCACTTGGCTACAGTTACGTTCGGTTCAGGCATGCTCAAGAGTGCTGGGATTCTATTTGGTTCATTCCTGCACTTCCCTCGGTTTATGGCTCGTGACAATGCCGTAGGTTGACAGAAGGCTCGGTTTTTCCGCTCCGGTCGACTTCAGGTGAGTCTGCACCTGAAGTCGGTGACAGTGGGCTTCCCGGTGCCCATGGTCAAGGTATCTGAGAACGGGCAAGAGGCCCTCTGGGCGCTGAACTTCACGGGCCAGGGAACACAGCGACTTGGCCAAAAGGTGATGGGTGAGGAGACAAGGCGAAGGCCGGGGGGAGGTGTGAACCAAACTGGTGAAACTGGAAGTGGAGAGGGATCATTCTAGAGATGCGCTTTTCTTGAGCGCTTTGAAGCGGGAAGTGGAGTGGGATTACTTTCAATAGAGTTACCATGTTTTTTTGGTGTGTTTTTTCGAATAGTCCTTGAGCCAAAGCCTTGCCGCATGGCCAGAACCCGAAGCAGCCAGTGGGCTGGCTCCACTGGCTCATATGGCACTCTGAATGCGTCAGGCTGAGTTTGGCCGAGATTTTGGCAAATGGCCATGGGTCAAAACCGTTTTGGGGGCCCATTTTGGTTGGTAGGTGAATTCACCACCCAAATTTTAGTCTATTTTAGGTGCACCACCCATTTTAGGACCTTTTTTAGTGGTTGGATTGGGATGCTCCTTGAAAGTCCGATTTGGATTTTGACCCATCGCCAAGTGACAAAAGGTACCTTGCAAGTCTGATGTTGAAAACAAGTTGGCCGAGGTCTGATTTTTTCACAGGTAGCAACTCGCAAGTCCTGAGGTCACCACAATGTCAACCCCGGAGGAATAAACTCCTGGTTGATTTTCATCGGGGGGTGTCCCGATCCTTTTAGTGGGGTCTCATCACTTTTGGAGGGAACACGCGCCCCCCAAGAATGGGACGGGTTTATTGATCCTGAGGTCAACATTATGGACCGCAGGGGAAAAGTCCCCGTAGCAACTCCCTGCCAAGAGATGAGCTGGGCCAATTTTTCAGCCAAGAGATGAGCTGGGCCAATTTTTCAGCCAAGAGATGAGCTGGGTTCCTTGTTGGGCATTTATTTGTGACCAGCCATATGATGGATCCATGAATGAGAGCCTTGCCCGTAGCTCAATAGAAAGGGCTCTTTTACCAGGGTTGCATGTTGGGTACAAGTTCTTGACCACAGCCAGCACCATTTTCGTCCTTGGTCCTTTCCCTCCAGGATGCGGGAGGGCCATTTCCCTATTTTTGGACAACAGCCAGCTGACTGAAGCTGTGAGGCTGCCCTTTATATTGAGACACCAGGTCACGGGTTAGTCCTGAGGTCACGATTGACACCAGGTTTTAGTCCTTTCCATTCACCAGAGCAAGCCATGTTTGTGTTGCCCTATTTGGGTATGGGTCAAAATTAAACCACCAGGGAACCGCAGGTTTTAGTCCATGTCTCCATTTAGTAATTAGGGTTCGTTTTGGGTACATATTTTTCACCCGCCATGTTCACCGGCTGCGAGGCTGCCTTTTATCTTGCGCTGGAAGTCCGCCCTCTTCGTGATCCCTCTTTGGATCACCTTCTCGCCGCCTCTCATGGCCATCAACAGCTTGCAAGCCAGCCTGAACACGGCCACCCCCGTCACAGCCTGGGACCTGGGACTGAGAGCCCCGGGCAAGCGCTTTGGGGGGGTTTTGGGGTTTTGGGGGGGCTGGGTCTGGAGAGCCATGGTGAGAAGACCCAAAAAAAACGTCCATCTGCGGAGATTTGAAGACTTGTTCTTGTGCATTGTGGCTTTTATTTTTGCCCTGTAGGCTGTAAAGGGATTGTTAATTTCCCTTTTTGGTCTTAATCGGACACACGTCCTCTGGATTTTGCGGGTTCCCCCAGAGAAGCGTGCCTCAAGGGTTGGCATGTCTGTTTGTCAGCCTTGGCGCTAACCAGATACCTTTAGGCATCACCAGTTCAGAGGCATCACCAGCATCAGAGGCATCACCAGCATCAGTCAGTAGTAGCACAGGCATCGCCAGCAGCCATGGTGCGGATTCGCACGTCGCACATCGCCAAACAAAACATTTATAGTTGTTTTTTCCCGGGCCTTCTCCGGATTTTGCGGGCCTTCTCCAGGTTTTGCGGGCCTTCTCCGGGTTTGCGTGCTCCCCCAACCTTTGCGTGCTCGCTCATTTTTTTTTAAAAAATAAAAGGTTGAGAAGGCACTGTCCACTTGGGAAAAGCCTATGGCCAAAAATAAGGTACCTTACAACAAAAACACACATCGGCTTTTCCCCGGAGTATCGTGCCTTCTCAGTTTTTTTTCTTCTTCTTTTTCAGCGCGGTTCCTCCCCAGCCGGTTCTGCGTCGGCCTGATCGGGTCCCCCGATTGGTTTCTTTGGGATCCTAGCTGGTTTTGACCACAGGGAAACAACAGGGTTCCATTTCCAGTCCCAGGGGCCCAGATTGCTTGTGAAACAGCGCCCAAAGAGAACTCAGTGCGTTGAACCTTCGTGTGCGCCCTTTAGAGGCGGTTCCAAGCATTGAGAAGGCATGGTCCCCTGGAGAAGCCTCGGGGATGGGGGTCCAGACCCTGGACTTAAAGGGAATCTGTCACTACTGGTAATGACTTTGATGTTTCCAAGGGGCTTAAGCCTTTCATTGGCGTCAACAGGGATGGCCTTTACAAGGATCCTCAATGATTATTATCGCTATTATGACATTGATTCCTTTAAGGGAACCATTACCATTGACCATGAGCCATGACTGTTTGTCGATTGAACCTGCTACTCCGAGGAGACTTAAGTGAATCCACCATGTATGAGACTGAGAGGTAAATCCACATTCTGTTTAATCATTTTTAAGCAAGGGCATGATTTGTTTTTCCACCATGCTGTTTTGGCAAGTCTTATTTTAGCAAGGACACATTTCGTGAAGCCACCCACGTTTTGCTTTTTCCCCCAAGTTCCCTTAGAGATGCCAACACCAAACCGCCCCGCTTCAAGCTCTCACGGCCCTGAAGCCATCCCCAACGCGTCAGGCCACCTTCAGCAACGTCCCGGGCTTCGGCAGCGAGGCCTTCGCGCTGCCCGCGAGCTCCGTGCAGCTCTTCATAGAGAAGAACGGCGGCCCGGCCGAAGGATGCCGAAGGATGCCAAATGAGCTGGGGCATCTACAGCACCCACGTTTATGGGCCCAGGTTTTGATTATGAAGCACCTTTCTGGGTTTTTTCCATGTTTTTCCCACTGCGCTGGATCCAAGGGATGCCCCTGGACCATCAAAACCCGGATAGATGAAGGTTAGGGATACTCCCAACCAGAATTAGCCGCGGATATTCGCCTTCTTAATTCTTGAAGCATGGTTCTGGGTAGACCTTTTTAATACCGGGCTTTGATTATGACTCAAATGGAAGTCGAATGGGTCTGGTCTATTCTTATAGGAATCGGACCCCCAGAATGGCCCAGACGTTTTTTTGCCCCAAAATGGCAAAACAAGTAGTCGTTTTGGTTTCCCTTTGCAACCACGAAAAAAGCCTCAACAAAGACGAGCCACCAAATTGATCCCTTCGACAAGAAGGCTCCCTCCAGGAACCAAGCAGAGGCCGAAACCCGAGTTTAAGATTGCTTTCAGTCATCCGAGGTTGGAGCTACAACTTATGTGGCTCCACTTCGTTCGACAGTACCTGGGGTACTGGTCTTTGCTCCCTCCGTCCGGCAGCGCTCACAGATACCTGTCCTGAAATGCCGGCATTCGCAGCAGCGCAGGGTAGCTCTTTGAAGATCCGCCCATAAGTTGCGTTGTCTTAGGAGACAGGAGAGACTGGCATGAAGCATGGACCGGAACCACCAGGGACTCTCAGTGCCGGAGTGGTGCAAACCTGTGTGTTTGCTCAGGATATTGTCATCAAGCTGCAGGTTCACAATCACCAGAAGGACACATTTCTCTTCGTTGCTCGGCTTGGCTTCATGCGAGCTCAAGTCGGTTCCAGTCTATGGTCCATTTTGGGCGGGCGAGGGGTGGGCAGGTGTTTTTCCTATGTCCTCCTGGCCAAACCCATTTTTTCTGCGCACGCCTCCGGGGTTGGCCACGAAGGTGTCTTTCATGGGTATGTCTCTTTATAAATCGGACCCCCAAACTGGCCCAACGGTTGTCCTGATCGTTTTCCTTTAAACCCCAACCCCAAGAAACAGGGACACCAAGCCTCAAAAACGACGAGCCACCCTGCTGGTGTCCCTCCCCCCACCCCAACAATCAGAAAGGGGTGGGGGGGTTACCCGAGCCTCCAAAAAAGAAAGACGAGCCCCACGCAGATGAGATGTGTCAACGTAAGGCATGATCCCAGTTGTTTTGGACCTATCAAATCAGCTGCACCGTCGCTTGTAATTTGAAGGGCGGGAGTGTGTTGCAGGAGCGACCGCGCAAACTTGGGGCGCAGCTGAGTAAAGATCAAGTGACGCGCAAGTGACGCAGTGATGATTCATCATCATCATCATCGTCATCATCCCCATGGCCCAAAGATTAACAAGTTTTCGCGCAAGTCCCGCGCAAGTCGCGCGCAGCCCGCAGATGCCCCCAAACTGCTTGGAGCAGGAGTAGCCCACTTCTGTATTTTTTTTCTTCTGCAGATCCCAGCAATTTTGCCGAGTGAATTGTTCGCAGAAAATGTGCAGCGGTGTATACACATGAGACCTCATGCACTTAAACGGGCATGCTGTTGGGGGGCCGCTTGGATTGCAATGAAGACAACTTGGGATAAGAGTTTTGATACCATGTTTTTCCCAATAAGATTGGATGCTACATTGGCAATCAATAGATGAGCACTCATTTTAGTCTATCTTAGTGGAAATTGAGATGTTCACTGGGGGGTAACCGGGGTTTTGACCCATGGCCATATGTTTGGGCAATGCTGCCCTCAGGTGGAAGGCCCTCAGGCGGCCGGGCTTTCGAACGTCATCACCTACGCCAACCCGCTGCCCACGGGCATGGACGCCGCGGTCTTTGGCGCGGTGCGCGAGAACGTGCTAGACCTGGGGATGGTGATCCATGTGCCTTGAGCCTTGAGTGGAGCCCACATAAACACTATACTTATGTTAATGTTATACATGTTTGTATATATATTTATATGTCAGAAAAGATCCACCTGGAACTATGTATGTCAAGAAGTCAATGACGTGCTATATGTGTTTCTTTGATGCATGGGGTTGCATGTTTCTATACGAGCCAGAGCATGCTTGCTCGCCTCTCTTGCCTATGTCGACTACACTTGATTGGTCAGCCAATCACCGTATGCCTTTTGCTTTTCTTGGCGTGCCACTCCCAAACGCATACTTTCCAGATTCACGAACCCAAAGCGCCGTCTAAAGACACCTTTGAATCGGTCCATTGGGGGGTTGATCAATATTCCAATGAGGGCCCCCAGTTTTGACCCAGGTCAACGGTTTTCCCCCTTTAGTGGTTGAAACATCATCTTTGTCGTGGTTTTCCCAATGGTCATCACCTCTCGCGGAGCTTCGGATCAGCTTTCATTTAGTTGTTCAGGGAGTTGCAATTGGCCGTCGCCATTCACATTCTTTTGCGTCTCCTGAAAACCAGGAGACTGAGATTGAGTGGTCTCCAGTCAGTTGGTACAGGGCTTGGGGCGAATCTGAGGCGAAGCCTCCGCTGATCTACATCACGGGGAACACCTTCCCCGCCCCGGCGAGCTTGGACCTGAAGGGGGCAGCAGTGCCGGGCACCTCGGCACCGCGTTCAGGTCGATGGCCAGAAGGGGCGGGCGCCATGTTTTGTTTTTCGTGGTTGGCTTGGAGTGGACACCCCTTGGGCTTGGTGCGGAGATCCAACATGGCTCATGCCAAGCCAATCTCATGCCCAGCCAAAGAAACTTGGCCAGTGTGAGGGACATCCACCATGTTTGTGGGGGGGTTTTCCCAGATCAAAGACAATCTCATGCCGAGCTAAAGAAACTCGGCCAGGTCAGCGCCATTCAAACAAAACCGTTTGGGCCAGTCCCGACTGGGGTCATGATTTTGATCATTTCTGGGGGTTATCAAAGTCAGCTGGGGTGGTTTCCCTTTAGCCCACCCACTGAACGGAGGTGACTTTGATACGGGTAGAACAAATTTCCATGTGCTTCTGAGTATGTTTTATGTTCCCCTGGTTTTAAAGGGCATCGATTTCACTAAACTTATTTTTTCATTTTTTCCCGGGGGCTGAAAAAACAACGCAGACGGCCGAAGACCGCGGCCAGTCCCGAGGATACAAGGTGGAGCTGGTTTCGCCGGAGGGCTGGCAGAGCTGCGGCGCGGTGCCGCTCTGCGCCTCGGGGGAATTTGTTTGGTCCAGCGCCGGGTTCAGAGTTCGGCCAAAGAGCTCGGCCAAAGAAGTACCGCAGAAGGAGTTTTCTTTTTCCGCTTCTGGGCTAACACCCCTAGAAAGGTGGGTTTACCTAATCTTCTGGGTGAATCAGAGCGACCTCACACGGCCGAGTTTTCACCCCAAACGGGTGGTTTATGTGGGGAATAGCCCGAAAAAAAAAAAAAAAAAAAAAAAAAAAAAAAAAAACGCCGCAAGTGTCAGGATGGTGAAATAATGCACCCGGAAAGAGTCAGAAACACAGCGCAGCCGCCGGAACTTTGGGGTCTGTCTTTTGTTGAGGCTCGGTGCCACCTGGTTGGTGTTAAAGGAGGCCAACAAAAGGAACACCCCCCCATTTTGGGGGCCCCTATTTTGAGACAAACCCATTTGGCGCGATTTGCATCTGGTGGAACATGACAACCTATAGTAGGCCTTGTCCAGCAGAAATGTTTGTTCCGCCACAAAAGGTACAGTGAACAAGCTGGAATACTGGAAACTCTAAAAAGCTGAAGGTTGAAAAGACAGCTTGGTTTGGCTTGAGAACAGCATGAACACTGAAGCGATTGAAGGAGTAGCAGAAGATTCGCGGTTTCGGTCGCCTGAGATGCAGCTCACGGCATCATGTTTTTGGGCCGCTTGCGCCGCCGGGGTGCGCAGGGAGTGGCAAATTGTCCGTGGCAGAAGGATGCGGGTTGACCCAAGAGGTTCGCCATGTGAGGCAAGACCCTCGCGTGGCAGAACGAGAGCCACTTGGAGTGCCACACCAATGCTTGCCTGGACATCACCTGTCTGCCGCGCCAGCCAAACGTGAAGCTCTACCTCGGCGAGCCTGGGCAATTTGTGGCTGAGACACCATGGGTGAACAGATCGCTCGGAATCCTCAAAGAACCATGTTGTTTCCCCTCACATTCCACCCCAAGTGCAGGCAAACAAATCAAAGGTTGACCAACTTAGACCCGAATTTCCGGACGCCTTGCGGGCGTTTCTCAGCTTTGCTCCAGCTCATAAGGGGAACTAATTACCCTGGTAGATGGATGGCATTAAACCCACCAGGTTTCACCCATGGTAAATGGAGTTATGTAAATCCATCACCAGTTTCACCCTTGTCTTATACCAAGCTCAGCCATCAAAAGGACACCCTCGTTCCCAGGCTGGAATACCGCCACCCTAAGGCCAATATTTTGTTTTGAGACCCCGAAAGCAAGCGGGGTCCCAGTCTGCGTACCAAGCCCCGATCGGAGCCCTAGGGCCTGTAAGTTCCAGGTTTCAGTCCCGATCGGAGCCTTAGGGCCTGTAAGTTCCAGGTTTCAAGTGGTGCGAAGGGATGTCGTCCATCCACAGCGAGCGCCGGGGTGGCTGCGGGTTTTCTAGCTGAGGACTTGTTGGGCGACACGGAGCTCAGCGAGAAGATTAACTTCCCGAGGCCCCGGATCGACAGCTTCGCCCCCACGGCGCTGGAAGCGCCTCGAGGGAAGCTGGGAGGGGGGCTGGGGGGCGGGCTGGGATGGGGGGGGATGGGATGGGGGAGGAGGGGATGGGGGGGAGGGGATGGGTGGGGAGGGGATGAGGGGGGGGATGGGGGGGGGTGGGGTGGGTGCAAAAGGTGTGTGAGGTGCGTTTTCAGACCCAAGGAACAAGGATCAGATGCTCCGGAATTGGTGGTGTGGATCGGTGGTTTGGGGATTTGAAGCCTCGGCTCTGGAGGGTTTATGGGAAACCACCCCCGAACCAGTAACCAACTACTGAGAGGGGTTGACCCAAGTTGATTCTGCTTGCAGATTCCAAGAAAGGTCTTGACCCAAGGACGATTTTGTCAGCTAAGTTACAAGCGCACCGCTACAAAGTTTGATAGTGTTTCAGGGAAACAGGGAAGGTGCAAGAACTGGGCGCTCCCAGCTTTGACACATTTTCTGGGGTCTATGTGTGCTGTTCGTTGACCGGTTCCTTACTGACATCACGCCCCCTTCACAAGTTGTCATTGGCTTGCCCGCCACGTCACCCCTTGTACAAGGGTCAAGGATGATTAACCTCACATTCTCATGTTTAACCATTCTGGCCTTTATGAGGGCCCTGATTGCCTGATTGTGCATATATGGGTGTGTCTTTTCTCTAGTTTGTTTTTCCTCCCAAAAGAGTGTGGGGTTCCTGTTGGTTTCCCAGCCACAAAAACTCCTAAGGCTACCTTCCCCATTTCTTTCTGGGGTTCCTTCTTTCCAGGGAAAGCGGATCAGGTCTTTGAAAAGAACGAGGGTCGAAAGGAAGCGAAGCGGAATCGACCCCTGGAAAACTGGTACCCCCCTCCCCCAAAAGTAAACAAACAAATTGCATAAGTTGGTGGGTTTTTTTTGGGGGTTCCCTTGAAACCACAGAAAACAAAACAGAACACGTACCCTGAAAGAAGAAGCAAAGCCGACGGGGGCCGCTTCGGACCGGACGTTCCACGGTCCAACGTGGAGGACGTGGGCTTGCACCGCTACGTCTCCTTCTGGGGCTCCTACTTCTCGGAGCCGGAGTGCAAGTCCGAGCACGCGGAGAGCCTGCAGTTCGCGGCTCGGATGACTCGGATCTCGGATCTCGGCCGGCCACGCTGAGGACTCGGGTCGACGCTCCGGGGTTTGGAGGGGCGGGGAGAATTTTGGGGCGGAGTCCCACTCGGTGAGAGGACAGAAAACGTCGGAAGGGGGGGTTCTGGGTCGGATGTTTGGCCCTCCCATCAATTCAAATTCGCCCCTCACAGGCAAATGGTCGTGGAAGAAAACACTGATCCCCCAACTACCCTCCCAGGTGCCAGGTTAGTGGGAGGAAGGGTATCTGATTCTGTCCCCCTCCAAGAGGAAACTCCTCCAAGTACCCACCCTCAGGGGTCACGTTTCCGGTTGTCGCTTTGCACCCTGCGCACAGCGGTACGAGTCCTGGACCTTCTCGCACGACTCCAGTCTGCCAGCGTTCACATTCGATCCCCATTCTTTCCAGGAATCCAAATCTTTCTAGAGAACCTTCAGAAACCAAGGGAACACGGATGGTTGTTGAAAAGATCGATGGTCGAACAGAATGGAAATGGAATCAAGCCCTAGAAAACTGTATCGCCCTTGAGGTGAGCAGCAGCAGCAGCACTCAGCTCTTGATGGGGGAGTTCAAAGCGCCTTGCACCATCAAGGAGCAGAACAGCACCTACCTGCAATGCGCTCCTCGGATTGAGATGCAGCTTTTGAGAGCGAGCGCGTGAGGCGAAGAGGCGAAGATATTTTCCCGGATTCCAGCGAGACGGAGCCCATGGATTCTCCACTATTGTTATGTAACCCATTTGTATCCCAATTGATGTAGCCCCTATTATCCCTATTTGTCATGTAGCACCATTTGTAGCCCATGTATCCCAATTGATTGATGGTTCCCTCATTGGAGTCCCCTGAAGTTCTTGCCTCTTGTACCTATCAGGTGATCCACCCACAGACCCAGGAGTTTCGTCCACTTCCCACTAAAAAACATCAGCCATTAAACAGATGCTGTTTTCCACTAAATGGTACCATTGGCGTTTTTGACCACAGCGAGGTGATTGTACCTACTGTGGACGGACGAAATCCGTTCGCCCCAAGCGGAAACCATGGCAAGCCATCATTTGTTGGTACTTACCGGAGAATCATCAGACACCAGGGTTTCTTTGCGAGAAACAGGATGTCGCAAGCATCCGCATGGCCAGGTGATCGTGGACCCCATCCGCAACGTGCGGAACCTGGCGGACTCCGTGAGCACCGTGCCGCCGGTGCTGCTCGCCTCCGCGCAGACGCTCAGCTGGACGCTCTGCGGCCACTACTCCCCGCTGAATGGGGACGCCACGGCAGGCCGGAGGTCGCGATCCCTGAAGGCCCCAAGAGGGAATACAGTCCCGAGTGATTTCCCTTGGTTTGAAGCATCACCTTTTTGGCAACCACGGTGCATCACCTTTTGGGCAACCATGAAAGGTGAGTGTTTTTGGTGGGTGTGATGTTTGTTTTGGGGGAAACAACTCGGGAGCCCTGCTAAATAGCCCGAGATGTCCTTTTTGGTGTGCTTCCCAGGGGCTCCAACTCGATTGATTTAGGGCCCCCAAACAAATTCGGGGTGTCTAATGCAGGGGTCGGGTCTTCCATTGAAAGTTTCAGGAGCCTCTGGGTTAAATAGAGGGCACTGGTTTAGATGGGGCTTATGCCCCATTTACCAGCGCCATCTATTTTTCCAAAAGGCCACGTATGCAAGCCACGTTAAGGGGAAAGAGCTGCGGCTCAAAAAATGGAATCCCCGACATGGCCCCCTGGCAAATGGAAACAAGGACCAAAACCTCCGTAACCCTGGCTTTTAACCTTGAGCTACACCCAAATAAGGAAAGACCTACAAGATTGTAGCTGAGCAAGCTTTTCGGAGGGGGCCCCCTTTTGGTGGCCAAACGGAAATCCATTTTTGGGGGGTCCACTCCAAGAAAGACACGCAGTCTACATCTGAAAGGTTGGCAGAGCAAGCCAAAACTTGCTGATGCTCAGTAGGGAATGTGGGAATGACCCTATAAACCATCCCTTCTGGTTCCTTGAACGGGACCAAAGCCTGGGTTCATTCCAATTCTCACTTCCTACCGATTTCGCACCAACAAGAAACAGTGTGAGCCACAATCAAAGCCCGGGTAGATGGAGGTTAGGGACACTCCCAGCCATAAATAGCTGCCGATATCCGCCTTCTTTATTCTCGAAGCATGGTTCTGGGATTACGCCCATTCTAATGATTCATGTTCTGGGTATACATCGTTCTGGGTTTTAGTTATGGTTTTGATTAAAACTCATGTGGACGTGCTCCGGGTATATATTGTTTTGCGCGCGCCTCTGGCGCCGCTGTACCCCAGGCACCTTCGCCTCGGAGATCGATCTCAGCACCAACGCTCTGTATCAGCGGGGCGCGCTGGCGCCCTGATGCAAAGCCAAGCGAGTTGGGCGCAAGGCTTGACTCCAGTTCCCTTCCCCCCCCCCCCCCTCAGTTTCCCGTAGTTCACCTTTTTTTGTTCGGGGTATTTGAGATATCTCTTTGAACAACCCCAGGTTTCCCATCACTCTCTTTTGTTCGTCCCTGGCCGCTGGCCCATCTCGGCCCCGAAAAACCCGCGGAGAAGTCGAGTCTCGGGCAAAATGGGATCCGAGACCTTCAACATCAACCTGCTGACCTGCAGCGATGGCTACCGCCGCTACAGTGCCGTGGCGCATTGCGGTAGGTGCCATACGGAAGGAGAAATGGAGCCGATTTGTCCGGGGTTTGGAAAGGCATTCCGAAGAATGGACACCGGCAAGGGATGGGTTTATCTTGGGGTCAGACTCCATGTCTCATGGCCTGACTATCGCACCAGCAAGTTTGGCACTTGGGATAGATGCAACCCTACAGATAATGGTATAGACGCCACCGAGCGGTGTTTCTCCAACTGCTTTGCCTATGCTACTTTTCAACTGTATAAACCCCTTTAGCTTTGAGTCATGTTGTGAACAGGATCAAAAAAGAACGGGCCCCAGGCCAAAAGCGACGATAAATCGCATTGAAGGGCAAACTTGCTGGCTCTGAGCCAGGGAATGAGGCTTGGAACCCCAAGATAAACCATCCAACTGCTGGTTTCCTTTCTTCGGGAATCCAACCAAAACCGGTAATCATTCCCAACACCCGGACTCGTTCTCATTCCTTCCCAACCTAGCGCAGCGGCAAGCGGCAAGTGAGGTGACTACTCCTACACCTGCATCAAATGCGAAAAGGGGTTTTGGATCACCACAACCCAGGCAGGGCATAGGCACTGATTTCGTCCAGGCGCCCAACTTGACGTGTACAGCCGAGTCCGAGTCCGAGTCCGAGTCCGCTGCACCTGGCCAAGTCCCTCGTTCGTGGATGGTCGTGGATTCGTTGCGGATGATTGTGTGTTGAATTCTGGCGCCAGTCACTCCATCGCCTTGCATGTGCCAAAGACTTTGCTGCACGCGTGAATCGGCGTGAAACAGCAGTGTGCAACTCTTTGCTCACAGCTCACAAATCTTTGCGGGGGCCAGGCGGAGTGGCCATTGCGGTGCAACCCCTGTGCACCTTGGACGAGATTCATGAGAGCGGGGTGAGGCTGCCATGCTGAGTGGCAGCGACGATGTTGTTTTCGTCGCCGAGGCCAACCAATGTCATGTGCCGAAGAAGTGATTAGTCACCCTTGTGTGCGGAGGTTGGAGATGCAATCTCAAGGAATAGTCAAGTCCTGGCAAATTGGACAGAGTGTTCATGAAATGGTGTTCCTGTATATAAACTCAACTGAAGCTCATTACCCTCAGGGAGGTACACGGCACACTTGTCCAATAGTCAAAGATGCCATTCACCAGGCCTCAAGCATCAGGCAGGCAAGAATTTCTTTAAGCCAGGTTGATGTACATGGTTGTTCCTAAGGTCCAGCCGGAACTTCGAGATTTGATTCACGTCTCGACGCGCGCGGTTCTAAAGATTTGCATGATCAAGCGGGTTCCATATCCTATTGCGCTGCCGATGTTCGAAGAATCAGCTTGGAAAGAGTCCCATTTCTGCCCATCGGCAGCTTTAGAAGACTCGCTGGTGCGATAGGGAATGACAACGCGTCCGGGTTTTGGGGATGACCTGTTCGGGGATTCCCGAATAAAGAAAAAAACCACTTGGGGCAACGCGCGCGGTTCTGAGAGGCCGTGGGGAAGTACCAGGACAACGAGGCCTCCCAGTCCTGCAAGAGCTGCCCTGCATACACCACTTCTCCACAAGGAGCCTCCGATGTGACCCACTGCACCTGCTGCTGGGCGGCAGAGACATGGCTGTGGCCAGCTTTTGGGTTGCGCAACATGTTCTTCTCCCTTGGTTCCATTTACCAAGCCGCCACTTTGGTACATTTTGGTACTTTTATTTGAGCCACAGCCACGTTTTCTAAATTGGCGAGTTGCTGGTGGGAAGGGCGGGGTTTGAGTCTAGGAGCGTTGCCCCAAACCATCACACCAGCCAAAACCCTCCCACAGAACCACGCCTACGGCACCCATGAGCACTGCTCAAACCAGCTCCGGCGTCTCAAAGAACTGAGCCCCGTGTTGGGGATGCTGCCCAGAAGCCGCTCCTAGACTCGGAAAAAGCAAAATACAAGCAACGTTTGGGCACGGACCAAGAATGAAACGATCGGAGGGGCAAACCGCAGGAATTTTGGTCCATGTTTCCACTTACCAGGGCAACCCATTTTGGTACAGTTTTTTGAGCCACAGCCATATAAGTAAGCATCTTGGCAGGTTCGCCCGGCTACTTCTCGCCCTACTACAACATGACCACGGGCCGAACAGTTCCGGGAACACCCTGCACCTCCTGCCACCACACGGACTACATGCAGGAAGTGGAAACTGGCGAGTCCTGCGGCGAAGCCAGGCTGCACGTGGAAAAGGATATGAAGACTCACATTCCTCACTTCCATTGGGTTAAGTTTTTTTTGTTTTCCCCGGTTGGTTTTAAGGGAATCTATCACTACTGGAAATATATTTTTCCAGGGGACTTAAGCAAATGGAGGCTCAGTAGCCAGGTTCCTCAGATTTTATTTGGATGGTGATCCCGAACCTTGCGCGCCACCATTCCTTGTTTTTGGGGGATCTTCCTCTGGGTTAACGACCTCACGCAGATGTTCCAACTCTCTCGAATTCTTGACTGCTATTGGGTTGGATTGTTTTCGACTTTATCTTTTGGTTGAAATCAGGCAAGGGGTTTTCCACTACACCCCCAGAAAGTTAAATCAACTGTTTTTGCAGAGGTCTCGGTGCACCCGAGAGCCGAGCAAATGCCTTAAGCGCGCGCATGCAAGGACGGCGGGTACATGACGGGAGACACATGTACGGCCAAGGAGGAGGACCTTTGTGCATCTCGGCTCAGCTCTTAACATACTGTGTATGGTGGCGAAATCCGCTTCTCGCACCACCGTTCAGAAACCTGGACTTATGATTCCTCTGAAATTATCAACAAGCATTGGTTTCCCATGGTTTCAAAGTGGTGCAGGATTTCGTCCATCCACAGTATTATGGGTCTATCTTGTGCTTGGACCCTCCCCCAAACACGTAAAACTTGTTATTGAGTTTCCGCTTAAAACCACCCAACAACGGGTACCCTCAAGAAAAGACCCAGCCATAGTCAGCTCTTAACATCTTCTGGGCATAGGTGTCTAGGTCCCCCAGCCATTGGTGCCGACTTTCTCACCGTTTCTTTTTTGGTTGGGAGGGTTCAAACCTACTAAAATAGACTACAGAAAAATGGGTACCCTTATTTCAACCTCTCTAGTGGAGGTGTGGGTGTGGGTCAACACTTTAGAGCCTCCGGCTCAGTCCGCCGACATTGTCCTCTCCCTTTTCTCCTTCTTCCTCTCTCCCTTGTCTCCCTCGTGTGTTCTGTCGTCCTCTCTCCCTCCCTCTGCTCCCCATCCTCCCCATCCCCCCCAAGCCTCTCTCTCCTCAGTCTCCCTCTCTCTGTCTCTCTCTGTCTCTCTCTCTCTGTCCCTCTCTATTTGTTGTTGTTTTCAATTTCGCCCGCTAAAAGTTCGGCGCCCACTAAAAGTTCGTCACTTTTAGCGAAACAAACAACCCCATGGCCGCCGTACCTCGCGCAAACCCTTCGCCAGGTCAATGTGGCAACCACCTCCGTGGACTTCCGCATTTGCGCCTCGTCGTGGACCTCGAGTCGGTTTTTTTGTCGGTGAAAGTTGGGCTAAAAACGTCTTTGTTTGGGTTCATTATGTCTTTGTGGTTTCTTATCAAGGTCAAGTAGTCTGGTTTTGTCGACCAAAGTCTGGGGTTCTTGAAGCAAGTTGATGAAGCAAGATCTTTTTTTTTTACTTGGTTCTTGTGGTTGTCAAAGTGAGTGAATCTGGTTGGTTCCCTTTGACCACTGAACGGGGGTGACTTTGATCATGGCAAAATCACGAGGCCTGAAAGTGGCTGAACGTCCAGTCAGATGATTCACGTCCAATCAACACTGATTCGGGTAGATGGAGGTTAGTAAGGGATAGTCCCAACCAGAAAAGTCGGTGCGGATATGTTTGCCTTTTCAGTTCTTAAAGCATGGTGTTGGTAATTTACCATTTCAATACCGATCGGTGTTGATCATGGCTCAGATGGGGGATGTTGGATTCTGTGTCGGATAGATCCAGTTGTTTGGCATCCGTTCCGCTGATTGACCAGCCAAATGCTAGTTGTTGCTCAAACTGGCTGTAGGTTGCCCGCAGCACGTCCGCCTGGTAGTTCGCCTCAGAAATTTCTTCGGGCTTGAGGTATTGGAATGGGAACCGGGCCGCTCGACTGGTACTGACATTCCATGGGGACTCCTAACAAGCTTGTGCGACCAAAACATGGCACTGGCACAGCGCCTCCCGTTTGTTTGCTCAGTACTCTAAGGTGGTTTGCAGTACCCCCCAAACCGAGTCTACCCCCAGGATAAATTGTTAGCGGTTGATCTAGTCGCTGCCCATTGAACCTCCGCAGGCAATGGTTTGGGGGTAGTGGAAACCATCTTCGCGGCACGTTTACGTTGAGGCCAAATAAAAGCGGCTCTGGCCCGAAGCCGTTGCCTTCACATCCCACTCATTGTCCCGCAACTTCCGCAGAATCCCAGCAGGTTGATCAAAACACCCGTTCAAGCCCTCCAGTTTTGACCATGAGTTTTTTACTTTTCCCACGTTGAAATATCAAAAATATTGTTAGTGGTTATTTCAATGGTCATTCCATGACGACCTTTTCATAAAACCAGCTGAGTTTCCACTGGACCCTTTTGGCAAGAAAGGCGCATTTTTTTGGCTCACACGCCCTGAGAGATCGCGTGGCGCGAAGTTTCTGCGATTGAAATTAGATGGTGGAATACCCGGAGGTCAGTTTGGCTGAAAACAGATGGCACTAGTTGCAGGTTGGTTCTTTTACTCTCTTACCAGTGCCATCTATTTTTCCGATTCTCATCATCTACCAGTGCCATCTTTATTTTTTCCCTAAACGGACACCGAAAAGCTTATCGGACCCTCTCAAGAACCCCAACAACCATCGAGGCCCTTAGGGCAGGAGGAAAACACATGGTCAAATGGTCCTTTCCTTGTGTTTCGTCTCCCTTTGAACCATGGGCCAGCAGCAATACATCTAAAAGGTCATATGAGCCATGCCAGATGGCGATTTTGCGGAAATCATGCCCTTACACATTGACATTAGTACCATTGGTTTTGACAACCACAGCCACATGTCAAAAGCCTGGTCAAAAGCTCCAATGGTTGGAAAAAACACCAGTTTGGAAGGCCCAAAAACCATTGAGACCCTCAAAAACAGGAGCAAACACCTGGTCAACTTCTTGGCTTCGTGGCTTCCCTTCGCCTCGATCGATAGGCAAGCTGTACTGCCCGGGTGGCACTGCCTGGCCCACGGCCAAGCGGACCTTTTGGCACTTCAGGCGGTGTGTGTCTTGTCTTTTTTTTGGGGGGATCCCCCAAAATAAGTGGTTTTCCTCTTTGAAAACCACAAACATGGGGGACCCTCCAGACAATTGGACCCAGGTGGGTGGGTGTGGCTTCGTTTTGGGGTTGGTACCTGGCTTTTGGGGTTTTGAAAGGGAAACCGCAAGGACACCCTTGCCATTTTCTGGGGGGTTAACCTTAAAGAGACGCCCAGGCAGGCTCTTTGGCAAAGGCTCGGAAACCCTTTGAACAGTTCGGGCTTCCAGGGCGGGCCTCCAAGCACAGCCGAGGACACTCATTTGACCTGAAGTATCGCAGTTGAGCAACTGAATCGGGTTGGTCGTCTGAACGCGGAGCCCAAATGTGGTTGGTGCGAACATCCCTGCACCTTATGTTCCACTTGAAAGTATGGAACATGGAACTGTTCCAAAGCCCTGGGCGCTGTTTTCGCAAGTTGCGGGGTACCCCTCAGTAGCCAAGATGATGTACACCTGCCTCTGCAACACTTGACCACCGGCTTTCCCCCGTTTCGACGTCCCCTAATTCACGGAAAGGCACGCCCCTTTTTCACGGCTGGCCAAGTTTGGCCGTTACCGTCGTTGCTTCGAAGCGAGCTTCAGACCCATTGAAAGGTCTAAGATCCCACCCACACGTCCATTCCTCAAGACACTTCCTAAGTCGGGAGGCCTTATGTCGCCTCGTGTGTCGACATAGTGTCAACTTTCTTCACAGTTTGCCAGCTCGTTCTTTAGATCAGATGGGTGTGGGTCAAAAAAATGGTAAACCCAGAATGGCTTGCCATGGTAGATGGAAAGGACTAAAACCTGCTTGGCGGTGAGCACTTTTGACCCAGACCCAGATGATTCCTCCGAGACCTCAGACTTCAGATCTTGAACATGTGTGATTTTCCCATGCGCCAGGCACTCCCCGGACACTTCGTACATTTCCGGGGTGGACGCCTATAAGCCCATGATGCGGAGGCCGGTTTCGACTTTTTGTTTGTTTGATGGCTTTTTTGGTTGGAAGGTGGTTCAACTTTTCCGGAGCCACCCGAAAAGTTTGAACTCCTTGGATTTCCGAGCCACTTCCATGTTTGGAACCTCCAAAAAGTGGTAGTTTGGATGGACACCAAACACTGCAACCTTTGGGAAGTCCAGTGACCCCAGCCCTTGTAGTTTTTACCCCAATGAGCGATACGTTTTGCAGAAGAGGGGGGGAGGCTCGCGGATTTTTCACTTGGCGGCCAGCGATGTCTTGGCCAAGCCAGACAACTCGGAGATCACCCAAGGAACCCACCCGTCACCCCGGCCCGCGTGCAAATGATTGCAAATGTCTTGCTTCCCATTCGTGTTTGCTTCCAACGAATATAAAACCGGGGGGTCGCCCTTCCGAAGTGTAAGCCATGGAAACGGATCTTTCTACAGATGCTTGGGAAGGAGATCAGGTAGGTGATGCAAAAAAAGGGGAAACAACTGCCCTCTTCGTTCAGTCGGCTTTTCACCAAAAGGGCGAGCGCTTTCTCGCCAAGTGCTTGGCCAGGTGCAGCCCAAAGATGGCCTGCCTGCCAGGCAACACCTGCAGCAAGGAGTGGGTGGCTGTGGGGCGAGAAATGGGCGAGAAATGGGCGAGAATCTGAGGAGGATGAGATGGCCATGGGTCAAAATCCCATACCCCCAGTGAACATCACAATCCCCACTGAAATAGACTAAAATGAGTGGTGCACCTACCCCAAAATGGTACCATTGGTTTTGACCCACAGCCAGATGGCAGCATGCTCAATATGTTTAGATGGGCACCCGCGGCATTCTATTGGCACAGCATGTCAAGAGCGCGGGTGTTGGCTCGTTCAGATGCTTCCGTGTTCTGTGCTTCTCGCCGCCGTGCGGAAATGTGCCAGGAGTACAAGGACGTGGCATGCTCCCTTTGTGTCTTTGGGTACTTCTCCAATGCCAACACCGGGCTTTGTGAAGAATGTGGCGAAGCACAAAAGATTGGCATGACGCCTGGATTGGCAACAAAGGAACATGCTCTCAGCTGAACTCTGCGCACTGCAATTACCCGGCCGCCATGTGCTGAATGGGGTCACCGGTCTTGACTGTCTTGACTCGTTGGCATGCTCACTGCGAGTTTGCAGCATGCGTTTCAGGGCTCCTTAAAAGATACAGTTTGCCCATTTGAAACATGTTTTTTTTCCACCAAAATGAAGGGAACCCACCATTTACTAGGCAATGCTCAGGTGTATAATGTAAGGATCCCCGTTTTTTTTGTGTGTGTTTTTTTTGTTGTTTTTTTGCCGGACGCTTTTTCAAGGATCATCATGTCCGTCGTCAGCGTGATTGCCTCGTTCGGCTGCTTGGTCTTCTTCGCCTTCTTCATGCGCTTCAACGCAGACATCGTCTTTAAGAGAGATCTGCTGAAGGCCATTCAGATGCCCAGGGCTCAGTGAAGCATCCTGCATACTCTGACGAGTGGCAACTGTCCACTAGTTGGGTTGGGACATGCTTATTTCATTTGGCTCTTAAAGACAAAAGGGTCAACATCCATAGGTGTGCTTTTTAGGTGAGCCTGGTTACAAATAGATGGCACTGGTTTAGATGGTTTTTCCATTTACCAGGCCCATCCACTTTTCCAAAAGGCCACCTATGTCAACATCCGGTCCTTGGCTTTTAGAAGACCCCGACAAAATCACAGTTGTCGCAAGGTACATCCTCACCCCGCTGAAGAAGAGCAGTAGCTTTGGCAAGATGAAGCGGAAGTCTGAAGCCCGCCGCGCGGCCAAACCGTTGCCTTGGCCCGGCCGCTTCGATCAGCGGATCAAATTTCTTTGGCCCCGTGGCTTTTTTGCTGACTCGAGAGGTGTTGCAATGCCTGCGGTCTGTTGGAGCTGACTTGGGGGAACCTGTGCCACGGTCTTTTGGACCTTGGGGTAAGGAGGCCATGACCCACAGAGCCAGTTTTGGCACTTCTAGGGCACCTTCTGCCAGAAATGGCTTGATCTCCATTGATCTCCAGGTGGCTAAAATCGGGAGCCGAGATTTTCCGAGGCCGCGCGGTGACAATCCACAAGTCGGAGTTGGGTATGAGCCACAGCTACTCCAAGTACCGGGAGTTGGGCCTAGCCTCTTGGACTCGCGCGGGCTCGCGCGGCTCCCATTGCTCCAGGAAAGGTGGTACCAAGGCTGACGCGCTCTGTCTCTCTCTCGCTCTCGATGTCTCTCTCGTTTCTTTTTATGAGTTCCCCAGACATGGGTAAGCCCGAAGAGGGGTCTCCTTCTTTAGCTGGGCACCTGCAGAGAGAGCGATTCCTCTTTAAAAGCTTTCTTGTGCTCTGGGGTTGGTGCGATAGGTGGGGAATGTGGGGATGAACCCAGGTGCCGAAGCCATCGGAGATGGTTCGTAGGGGGTCATTCCCTCACTCCCTGCAAGTTGTTTTCTTGCAAACAGTCCCAACCTGACGGAAGCAATTGTCGCGGATTCCGTGATTGGCCCGTATGATTTGAGATCAGCATCTCAGGAGAGGTGGTAATTGGAGAGCACTGCCAAAGCGCATTGGGGAAAAAACTCCAGGGCAAGTGTGAAGATTCATTTGAAGTAGATGGAGGCTGTGTTCCATGGTCATAAAATAAGGCAGTGGGCAGTGTGTCTCCATGTCTTTTGCTTCGAACAATTCAGGAGCAGAGGGGCGGCAAGATACGCTAGCTTGTTGCATTCAGTTGACTTGTTGATCAATGAGACACCGTGTCTGCCAGCGTCCCCCGCTTTCATTGGATTCTAACTTTTAAAGAACAAAGTTGTTTCTACCCGGGATCCAACTTGAGGCCATTGATTTGACCATCCCATTCCCACCCGATTCCCTGAACCAAAAGTTCGCCTTCTGAACCTTTCGGATCCCAAAACGCGCCACGAGAAACGCGTGAGACGCGTGGCGTGGCCGAAGGGCGCGCGCGCGCGTTTTGCTGAGGTCTTCCGGGTGGATGACAGCCAGGTGGTGCATGTGGCGGGGCTCTTGAAGGACTCCCCGCTCCGTGGAAAGGCCCGGAAACAAACACGTCGGGCAGCTGTAAGACGTCGCGTCCATGCGGCTTCCATCGCCATCCAACGGCAGATGTAACCTAGGTGCTGACATGCTCGAATCGCCGCAATGTGAGCTAAAATGTACGAAGAGCACTTCCCTGGATGATTTGAAAGGTAACAAGAAGCAAAGCATTGGGTCCCGCGCGTGAAGGCATTCCTTGCTGGTGCTGAGTAGGGAATGACCGAGTCCGGGTTGTTGGAATGAACCGCTTGGGGATTCGCGAAGAAAGGAAACCAAGGCGGATGGACGCTTCTTTTGCTCGGGCTCATTCCAATTCTCATTTCCCCTATTAATGCCCAGGGTTTGGGAATCAACCTATAGGGATTTCCTTAAAGGAAGCCACGTCGGATGGATGGTTTTTCTTGGGGTCAGACTCCATTTCTCATTCGATCAAACCGATCGATCAAGATTCAGAGACTTGAACCTCGGGATTTCCTTAAAGGAAGGACCAGCTCGGGATCTGCTTTTTCCTGGGGCCAGACTCCAATTCTCCTTCCCTGCATCTCTCGAACCGATGGATCAAGGTTTTCGGTCAGACCTGGTCACCAGCTGCTGTCCGGTTGGTCAGGTGGCTGGTCAAAACCAAGGGTACCATTTTGGGGTAGATGAATTCACCACCCATTTTAGAACCTATTTGAGTGGTTGGATTGAATCGGATGTTCACTGGGGGCTAACCGATTTGGATTTTGACCCATGGGCGCTTCGTCAGGTGCTGCCTGGCTGGAAGCTGATCACCTTGAGCGGTCGCCGCTTGAAGGCGCGGTGCTTCGAACCAATGCGCTGATGGCGCGCGCGGCATCGGGTCATCTACCCTACCAATTGGAACCCTGACGGGGGGGAGGGAGGGTTGGGGCTTGGCTGGTTTGGACCATTTTTTTCTTTAAAGGGACCGGGTGTCCATGAAAAAAGGGGTGGGAGGGTAAGTGGTAGCCGCCCTTTTGCTCCAGGAATTTGGTGGGACCAGCCCTTTTGAGCCAAGTTATGGGTCTTGGTCACAGGTTCACGTCCGATCCTCAGGCATTTTAGGGGCCGGACAGTGAGTACTCGGACTCGGACAAACTATGTGATACTTATTTTGGCTGAGAGCATTTGCTCTCACATGCAGAAGGTCCGCCAACCAAATGCCGGGTCTTTATCAGGGCCTCCAACTTTAGAATGGCCTCCCCAGTCGGACGCTCGAACACTCGGAATGGGCGGAATGGGCGGAATGGAGGCGCGGAAGGAAGCGGAAGTCCAGGAGATGCTGCACAGGCAGGGAACAGCTGGTGCTGAGAAGGGTGCGGTGGGGTGCTTGCGCGCTTTGCCGTCAAGGGGGATTCCTTTTTGGAAGGCTACGTACGTTTTTGTTCGTTCTGTGTGTGTGTGTGTGTTTCGATTCTCCGGGATGCTGGTTGTGTTCACGTGTCCGTTGAGCCGTTCCGCAGGCGCAGAGCCAACCATTTTTTGGCCCCGTTGCTTCATGCGCACTACATGTCACGTTTCGGGTCGTCGAAAAGAAGTTGGCCTCAAGGCCATGTCAGCCCAGGGTTCCATTTTGTGAATACCCCAAGATGGACTGAAACCCAGACGTTGTCCTTTTGGGGGGGAATGAACCACTCCTGGGTTTAAGTCTACCTGGCGTGATGCAGGGATTTCCAGCCTCAGCTGTCGGTCATAGGTCGCGCTTCCCCATTCGCATGACCTTCTCGGCACCGCGGAAGTCCAAAGAGCAGGAAAGACAGGAGAACGGGGGGGAGAGGCTCATGAAGTTGTTCTCTCGCAGACTGGTTGGTTATACTGGGGTCATGATTTTTGACGACCTTTCTCGGGGTTTGCAAAGTCAGAAACAGGGGGCACACTGGTTGGTTTCCTTGAACTTCGTGGGTTGCTGGGGTCATGAGATTTTGACGACCTTTCTCGGAATTAGCAAACAAGTCAGGAACAGGGGTGTTTTCCCTTTAACCCACCACTGAAAAAAGAAGGTGACTTTGATAGTGGTGCACTACTGCCTGGGTTCGCCTGGGAGGATTAGTTTTTAGTGTATTGCTTCCATTTGCTTCAGATTTGTTTGTTTTTTATTGGAATCTATCACTACTGGACATATGGCAGTGGGTCAAAAGCAATGGTACCATTTTGGGGCTATTCTAGTGGGGATTGGGATGTTTACTGGGAGTACGGGATTTTGACCCATGGCCATATTTTTATTTGTTCCCGGGCGAAGAAGCAAATGGACGATTTTGCCCTTGGATCCTTTTTAGCCGTGGCTCGCAGCTCAGGAGGCTGAGGGTCGGAGCGCTGAAGGCGTCAACTTCGATGATGACCGGAAGATGATCGTGGCGCCGTGACGGCATGGGGACAACTCCCTGAAAGCGCGACTTAGACCCTCCAAACACCAAACAAATGGGGTTATCGCCTCAAAGTTATGGTGAATTCTTATGTTGTTCGGCAGTTTGAGGGTTCAAACCACCATTAAAGCAAAGGCAAGGTTCAGAGAACCACATTTCCTTACCCAAGGATTGCCGTCATCCAAAGTCATCCATTCTTAAACCTAGGGAAAACCTACCTACAGCCTCAAAAAATACTCCCACGAAACGGGTTCTGGCCTCAAAGTTATGGTGAATTCCGATTGTTTGGAGGAGAGTTTAGGAACATGCGACTGTCGAAGGGCAACCACCGTGGTTTTCCCCGTGGAGAAAACGCACACGATTCAGAAGGGGATGGGTGGGATCCCAAAAGACCATGTTCAAGCATCTGTTTTTTGAAGAAAAACACTACCTAGGTCCCCCAGTAGTGCCCTTCTCTCCCCTTCTTTTGGGGAGGGTTCCCCTACTTAAACAGACCACAAATAATAGTTGGTAGCCTTATTCTAACCTCTCTGGTGGAGGACCTAGTCTTTGTTTCCATTTGCCGGTGCCAAAAATGGTACTTTTTTTTGAGCCACGGCCAGATGGGTCTTGTTTTGAGGCTATGTTCACGCATTTGTTTTTTGCTTTTTTCGAAGAAAAACAAACACTATCCAAGTATCTATATCCACTGTTCCGCCTGAGGTGCTGCTGGGGGTGATGACCTCTTTTACCAAAGTCTCTGGTTTTGACTTCCAGTGGCCCGACACCTTCAATGACCTCGTGCCTCGGTGGCCGGATTTTTTGCCTTTCCGCTCGCGTTGATCCGTTGGTGGTTTTGTGCCAGGGGAAACTCTAGTGATTGATTCCTCTTCCATTCTTTTCAAGCATCGTTCTTTTCAACCACCGGATCCGTTTTCCCTGGGATTCTGGAGGTTTTTTAGAAAGAAGGATCCCTGGGAAGAATGGAAATGGAAAAGGTACCCCTAGAGAAACAGGTGCAATTTGCTGGCAATGGGTGAGAAGGAGTTCTTCGCTTCTTTTGGATGCTGCTTTGCTTAAAAGGAACCCGAAAGGCCATTGATGTTTGAGAGCCTGTGTTAGGACACAGACGTAACGGTTGCGCAAAATGGCGGCCTAAAGGACTTGTAATGGACAATCAAGGGAAACCTAAATGGGTGTGGCTCAAAATTAAACAGGAGGGGTTACGCAGGTTTTGGTCCATGTTTTCACTTAGCAGGGCTCCATTTTGGTACCGGGTTTTTTGAGCCACTGCCAAATGTGTGTGTGTGTGTGTGTGTGTTTCGAGGGCAGCCTTGCACCTGTTAGTTGCAAGGACAGCAACGGGAAACCGAAGCCATGCTGCGGTGCCACTGACCCACAAGTGGCACAGCACCACAGCACGGAGTTTGGATGTGCGTTTTGCTGGGAATGTTGGTTGAGCTTAAGGTAAAGTCAAAAGCAAAAAACTTAATGCAGGGTTCCCTTAAAAAAAAAAAAAACTTGTGTTACTTGTGTTTAGGGGAGCGATCACCTGCACAAGGTTGTTCCATTCGGATTGGAGGATGTGCTTTACGTCGGTTTGCATTTTTTGTGGGTTGGAGATGGAAGAACCCCCTGTTTGAATAGCGGATTTGGATGGGAAAGCAAGCAAACCGTTGCGGCAGGGGCAGTTTTCAGCCCGAAAATATGGCCCAACCATTTGTTGTTGTGCTGCTTTCTTCCAGCAGGTTTCTTCTTTCACAGGGTTAACTTACAGGAACACCTACAGGAAGTGGTCCCAAAGCTCAATAAGATGTATGTAGAAGTTCCTGTCACCCAAGCCTTTGATTCTCCGGTCTCTTTTGATTCCCCGAGCTCCGAAGCTTTCAGGTGAAGATCGCTCAGATGTTCTCCTTCAACCTGAACTTCTTCGCGCCGGAATGCTCAGCAGAGACGCCCTACATCACCAAGTGGCTGGGATACTTGGCGCGGGCCCCGGCCATTTTTTGTTTTTCGCCCCGCGTGGCGCGCCTTCGCGCGTCGCGTTTTTCCTAGAGCCATGTGTGCCATGGTCAAAGGACCGGATCCTTGGGTGGGAGGGTCATCCACCTCATAGTAAGGATCCTGAATGATTGAATGCCCGCTACAATGCTTCCATGACCATAAGCCATGGCTCATGCGGAGGAAAGGAGACGTGCCTCAAGATCGAGCCCGTTCTTGGACTCTTAGGGAGAGTAAGGCTAAACACCAACCATTAGAAGACACAAACTGGAGAATGCATGCCCAATCAGGTTGCAAATGGCTAAACCTCCTGCCCGAACTTCAAGTTTGATTCCTCCAAAGCAAATAGCACCAGGTTCATGTACGCGGATGTCGGAGCCTTTGCATCCGTTTTCAAATGAATTGTGCCATAGAAGCGTTTCCTTGCGATCTAGATGTGAACGGGACGTTCTGAACACCGCTGAGGTGATCCCATATTTCATGATCATGCCCTTGACCGCTGCCTACATCATGGCGTGCATCAGCACATTGCCTGGACTGGGCCCAGAGGCCGGGGGCAAGTTGAGCATGGGCCGTGCGGATGTTCAAACTAAAGGAAATCTGCAAGATCCTGGACCGGAGCGCTTGGTAGTGGCTTCCCTGGGATTTTGGAAAGTCGGATTGAAGAGACGAAGCGTCCATGACGAAGTCTGCGATGTACTCTTGATAGAAAAGGGGCCAAGCTTATCAAGAAGCGGGGCCAATCCATCTTTTACTGGAAGACGTGGTTTGCCGCTCATCGGGATCCAGTGCAAGGTGGACGCCGGGAAAGAAAAGGGAGGGCGCCAGCAAGTCAATGTCCGCATGGCCCAAGTCGCATTCTCGAAAGCCAGGCATTCGAGACCAAGAAGCACCTCTTGACAAATGCCTGGGCGCGTTGTATTTGCATGGTCCTACTGGCGTTGCCGCTGGGTTCGGATGGCAAGTGCATGAAGCGCATGAAGCTCTTGCTGGTGCGATAGGCAATGCGGGAATGAACCCAGGGGTCCCCTTAAAGGGAACCACCAGTTGGATGGTCTGTCAGGGTAATTCCCTCCGTCGCTGAGCACCCGCAAGACCTTTGAGATGATTTTCCGAGCTTCTCAAGCTTCCTTTTCCGCGAGCCATGCTTCACCTCCAAACTTTGGTTTTCATTTTGCCAAGGGATGTTAGGACTGAATAACTTTGTGCCAACTAATGGGCTTTCTGAATTAAACCACTACAAGTTAAAAAACTTTTGGCAGGGGAAAGCAACCAAGCAAACCCGAGGTTGCCGTTCCATTTGGACACGATCCTGATTCCCTTCGCTTGCGTGCACAAGGGCGACGGCATCTACGTCTTGGCGGACGTGGCCAGCGTCCAATGCAGCACGCAAGACGAGACCTTTATGACCATGTTCGGCGCAGGCAGCTGCTTGGGAAGCCGGTGGACGAAACTTCAACTGGGGGTTGATCAATATTCCTGGCCCCCAAAGAACCATGGGTGACTGTTCCTGTTTAGTGGAAAGCGGCATCTTTTTAGTGGTTGACTTTTCCCCAGTGGTGTCAAGTGGACGAAACTCCTTAAATGAGCCACGGAAACCAAAACCCATTCGAATAGATGAAGGTTAGAAAGGGATAACCCCACCCAACAAATGGGTGCAGATAGCCAGCTGATCAGTTCCTCACATAGGGGTAGCCCATTCGGACGGGATAACCCCGACCATAAGTGGATGCGGATCTCCTCCTTTACAATTTTCAGAACTCGCCTCACTTCCCATAGAGTTTGCACCAGCGTCTTCCCGTTTCTCCCAGATTGCTGGAGCTCTCCTCCTTTTAATTTTCCTTACACAACTCTGGGTGGACCTTTCCAATATGGCCATGGGTCAACAAAAATCCGTACCAGTGAACATCCCATTCAATCCAACCACTAAAATCGGTTCTAAAATAGGTGGTGAATTCACCGAAACCCCCAAAATGGGATCCCGTTGAACCGTTTTGACCACCACAGCCATATCGGGCTTTGATTACTCCAGACTGGGGCAAGCGGTTGGCGTGCTAACGCCGCCAGGCTCGATGGCCATGATGATCTTCACTTCGGGCTTCAGCGGGTTGATCTATTGCATTTGGTGCAGCCCCGCGGCCGAATGGGTTAGGGGTTTTGGGGTTCAGGGGTTTAGGGGTTTGGGGGTTTTAGGGGTTTATATAAGGGTTTAGAAGTTTACGGGTTTAGGGGTTTAGCGGAATGCTTGGATTTGCAACAGTGGCGGTTGCACGGGTTTGGGCTTGGATGCACTGGGCCATTCTGCGGGAGGCAAGGGGGATCCGAACAAAACTCGGGGCAAGAATGCCGATCTGAGAACTCGGTCTTTGGCTGGAATTGATCCAAAACCCCGACCTTTTCCACGGGGACCACACAAATGATGGCTTCAGTTGTCCTTTTGTGATGTCCATTTGACAAAGCCATCAAACCAAGGGGGTACCCTCCAAAAAGAAAACGACACACGCCTTTGAAGCCATCAAATACCAAAACATGACGCGCCTTCGCGCCGAGGTTTTCAGTGGCAGCAAGGCACCCGCGACCGGCGCGACATTCCATTCTACGTGGCCATGGTGGAAGTCTCCACCTTCGGGCAGCGAGGCGACTCGGATCGCTTTTTCTCTCGATCTCTTGAGCCGGGAGGTTGTTTTTCTATTTTGTTTTCTGAACGCATCGACCCCTTTCAACCGTGGGATCGAGTTTTCAGCGCCATTTTTTTTGTTGACCCCAAATGGCCGTGATTTTATGATATGGAACCACCTCAAAAGTTATTGGTGGACATGAATCCCTACCTGAATGATGTCCACCAAAGGGTCCCTTATTAAATTCATGTCCATATGAATCAGCCCTGTTGACGAATAGGGGGGGTGTCTGATTCCGCGTTTAGTGGGGATTTTTCATGTGGCTATGAGTTTGTAGGGAACCACCTCAACACTGATTGGTGGGCATGAATCCCCACCTAAATGATGTCCACCAAAGAGTCCCTTATTAGAATTCATGTCCATATGAATCAGCCCCAGTTGATGAATAGGGGGGTGTCCGATTCCGGGTTTAGTGGGGATATATCACTTTTGGAGGGGGAGCACCACTTTGCAACCATGGTTGCAACCATTTGTTCTTGGTATTGATAGGGCAATCAAATCATTCCAGGGTTTCTGAACGGTGGTTCGAAACGGATGTCGTCCATCCACGTTGCCAACATGATTTCTTCGGATCCAGGTTTGCGTATGCAGCACTTCATGTCATGAGCTGATTTCGGCCTTTGCTCTTTGGTTCGACCTTTGTGAACAGTTCTAACCTGCAACTTATACCAGTGTCTCTACCGGCCATAGCAATGCCACAGAAACAGGGCGGATTTTTTTTGCGGCCATGGGTGAACATCCCAATCCCCACTAAATTAAAGCGACTAAAATGGGTGGTGAATTCACCGAAACCCCCAAAATGGGATCCCGTTGAACGGCTTTGACCACCACAGCCTTGCGTCGAAGCTGAAGTGGCGGATGCATTCGAGGCTACACCAAGGAGGTGCGCACGCGAGTCATGGAGAACGTCTGCGCGGTCCGCGCCTTCGACGTCTGCGCGTCGAAACTGGAGGAGCGCGAAGCGAAGATGAGGGCGCCTTGGAGCCGAAGACGCAGTGAGCTGTGCCGAGAAAACGTTGTTTGTTTGTGGCGTGGTGTTCCCTTTCCTGTGGTATCCAGAAGCCAACGGTTGCCATTCTTTCAAAGAAACTGGGATTTGTTTAAAGAGACCTAGCAAAGAGGCCTAAGTGCCGACTGTTGCGTTTTGCGTGTTCTTTGGTTCTCTTCCCGAGATGCCCTGCGCCAACAGAACACATGTTACATGGAACCCCAGAAGGGGCTACTTCCCTAGGGCGATGGTGTTGATCTGGAGCCGTGCCCCTGGAGCCCAATTTCTAAGATGGATTCTAGGGGGGCAATGGGACATATACACCCAATACAATAGCCACTGTATGATGGGTATAAACCCGGTCTACTCCTGGGCGTGGTTGTTTGGGGTAGTGGAACTCATGCCCCACACAGGAAGTCACGTAAGACCTGGTGGCTGGCAGAACTCAAAGCCATCTTACCTCACACGTGGTACATGGGCTACCCCAGCAACACGACTGATCTCCCACAAGGCCCATGGGGGTGACCGTCGGTCCATGGGGCTACAAAGTCCTTCCCATAAGGCCACTTTCCCATTGGGCCTATGGGGTAACCAATGGGGCCGTCGATCCATGTGGGCCACAAAGTCCTTGCCATAAGGCCTATCAGTCCATAAAACGATCAGTCCCAAAAGGCCTATCTCGTTTTTTTTTTCCCGATCCGTCCATCAAACGAGCCTCTGGCGCGTTGTTCTCGCGATCCGTGTGGTTGGCCCCGACTCCGACGGCTCGGATCGCCGCCGCGTCGTTGGCCGCGTGGGCCGCGTGGCGCGAGGCGCTGCACGTGCTGAAGAGCCGAGAGGCGCGGCTCGGGGAGGAGAAGCCGGCGGAGGGCTGCGCGGAGCTGGGCCAGGACGAAAGGGTTGGAGGGGCAGGGTGAGGGGTGGGGGGGGGGCAGAAGTGGCCGGTAGGGCGGTTTTCCATTCTGGTGGGGCGTGTCTTTTTGTAGGGGCCACGGTGGGGGAGGGGGGGTTGAAAGGAGGGAGGGAAGGGGGGTGGGTGGCTGGGGGGGGGGGCTTGTTTTTTGTTTTTTTTTGCGAGAGCCCCCAAAATGGATTCGGCGTTTCCGGTTGTTTCCTTGAAAACCATTGGGGGTGGAGCATAGTGGTCCTTTTTGTTGGCTGGTTTGGGTTGAAGAAATAGATTGGTTCCACTGGTCTAGATTGGTTTTATGCCCCAATTATCGGGGAAACCCGTCTAGGAAACCCATCTATTCTCCAAAAGGTCGGGCGGGGTATCCCTTGTGGTTGCTGTTGGCGTCCCTAACTAACCCCAAAAAGAAATCCGACCCAGAAAAACCTTTTGGAAACAAATTCGGCGTTTCCATTAGATCTTGCTCGGGGTGTTTGGAGCGACCCAATTTTGGTTTTATTTCAAACTCACCTTAAAAGGGTTCCATTGGCTCCTTGGCCCGAAAATTGGTTCCGTTCAAGCGATTGAGACGTTCCGGCACTTTTGGGAGGCGTCCACTCTTTCCAGAAACGTCGAGTAAGCTTGAGGATGTCAACTTTGAGATACCCAGGATCTCAGGCCATGAAACATGAGGCCACAGAAAAGGACACCGAAACGGCCAAAGAGGGAGTGAGACAAAAAGTTAAGCAAGACGACCTTCAAAATAGCACCTGGTGCTGTTGGAGGAAATCTCAACATCTACCAGGGGCATGCAACCAGGGCTGTTTGAGGACGATGCACCGAAGCGTAACACATCTAGCTGAACATGACAAACACATTGGCCGTAGGGCCCTGGGAAGCAACGCCTCGCTAGCTGTTTGGCTACAAAGACTTCCATGTACGCACCCATTCGTCGTGACTTTTGTCCTCACGTGTTCCCTCATTCACTTTTATTTGGAATTGATCAATATGAATTTCGGCCCCAGAATGACCATGGGCCACTTGTCCCATTCAGTGGAAGTCGCTTTTGTTTGGTGGTTTCCCAAAAGGTCACCCTACCCCAAACAACAACTCCCAGTAGGAGTAGACCAGGTATATACCCATACAGTGGCTATTATGGTGGGTGTATATATCCCAGTACACCGCTGGTGCTGGTTTGGGGGTAGATTCCATCTTAGAACTTGGGCTCTTTACCAGCACCCCCGACCCCCGACCCAAAGAACTGTAATTTCCCATGTCCAAGATCCCAAGTACCGGCCAAAAAGCAGTGGGGGGGCGGTCCAACTTCCCCATTTCCTTTCGCTGTCAGACCAGCAGACCTGCCACGCCCGCGCTCCGTGGGAGGACGGGCTGCAGCAGCGCCTGGCCATCACTAAGGCCAAGAAGAAGTTCCTGGCCAAGAACACCTGGCCCTCCAAGGCGCCCGAAGCGCAGAACTGGGTCTGGGCATAGGAGTCCGTTGTTTGAGTGAGCCTGGTTTAAAAATAGCTGGCACTGGTTTAGATGTTTTTTTCCCCATTTACCAGGGCCATCTATTTTTCAAAAGGCCACCTATGGGTACGAGTGCAGAAATGGGTCTGTGGGTCAAAATTAAACCGGAATATGCACCGCAGGTTTTTTAGTTCATGTTTTGCATTTACCAGGGTTCCCATTTTGGGTACCTATTTTTGACCTGGGTCAAAACCCATGGTACCACTCTTTTAGTGGGGATTGGGATGTTCACTGGGGGTACCGGCTTTTGACCCATGGCCAAATGGGTCTGGGCCATTTTTTTGGCGCCGGGAGATGGACAGAAAGGTTTTTGCTCCGTTCCACGTAGGGCCCTTGCGCGCCGTTTTTGGGGGTGACCTTTTTTTGACCCACAGCCGCGAATGGGCAGCTCTTTAGTTCGACTGAATTCACCTGCTGCTTGCCAACTGTGTGTGTGTGTGTGTGTCTGCCCGCTGCAAAGTGCGGTAACGGGTCAGTGAATTGATGATTGCCTTTTACACGCCCTGGTTGTGGAGCCACAGCCGCGCAATAGTCAATTGATCAAGAAAGTCAAGCTACGAGTCGCATGACGAAACTGAAGGCGGCTTCGGCAGATTCTGTTCAAAAATACTTGGAGCCCTGAGAATCGTTCAAACCACCGCTTTCAATTAAGGCAACCTTTGCAAAGATGTGTGTTGGCACGCCACCTTTTCTGCGTCAGGCTGGCAGAAAACTTAAAATACCTCGCTGCTCCAGGCGTGGGTTTTCCCTGCAAGATGATGGGCTAGCCTGGCGAAACCTATTCATCCATATCCCCAAGGCCTTGTCCTCTCGTCAGTTCCTGTATGTCTTGAATCTTTATGCCTGGCTCAACAGGAGTTCAAAAGACCTGGGTGAATTCGGCTTCAGCTTTGGGTATCCTCGCAGGCCGACGGGAACCTCATCACCTACGGCTGGATCTTCCTGGTGAACACGCTGCTGCGCAACCTGCTGTCGAACGCGGCCATCAAGATGACCAGCAACAACTTGGTGGTCATCGGAGCCGGGCTGCAGATGATCATCTTCGCCCTGAACGTCACGATGCTGGTGTGCCTGAGCCCCTACAAGTCTACCTTCGTGGTAAAATCGGAGACTCGCCTGACCGAAAAAGTGCGGAAAGAAATGGAAGCCGATGTTCATTCCGACATGACCACATGGCTGTGTGTACAAACGTGGACCGCAGTTGAAGGATTGGTGTTGTGTTGTGAAACAACAAAGTCCCTTTGCCTTTGTTTGCGTCACGTTGCCAGATCCTGGCAGAGCCTTGGCAATGCCAAAGTGAGCTCAGGAGTCAATCCTAATGACGGTGCTCTTTATGGTGCTTTGGTGCGCTGTGATGAAAGAGCTGCTAGAGCAACACCAGGACGGGAAATTTGGCGTTCGACAAAAGACCTCAGCCACTTGCAGTCGTATTTTCGTCCGTCGTACTTTTGCAACACCTGAGTTGGCCAGTCTGGTTTCCGGCGGTTTCAGTTTTTGACTGAGCGATCGATTTCTGGGATCCTGATCCGCGGCTCGGGTCGTCACAGGACCGGCATCTCTATGAGGACATGATCCAGAAGGTGAACACCGCCATCACCACCTTGGCCTTCACCCTCATGTTCACCGTGCCGCTGGTGCCTTTGTACTTCGCCTATCAGGCAGGGCTCAGACCCCACTGACTGGTTTTGGTTTCCCAACAAAAACTGTCTGTGGATTGCACATTGGAACGCAGGAGCTGAATGTCGTTGCGGCCATGTCTTGCCTTTCGCTTGGGGATGGGCTTCCCTTGAACAGAATGGAGCAAGAGGAGACCTGGATGCAAGCCGCGTAGCGAAAACGCTTTGTCCGGACCCGTGGGTCGATGCAAGTGGCTGTGGGTCAGGACGCTTCCGCATGGTTTCCTGGTTGATGTCCTGTTCCCTCTCAACAAGCATCCCCCGGTTTTCCATCCATTGAGAAGTGCGGCTTTGGCTCGTTCTCAGTGCCAAGGGACTCCCATGCGAAATTAAGGCGTGACGGCGCATAGCTCAGAGTATTCAAATTCTGCTTTGACGATGGCGAGCGGTTAAACGAGCTGACCCCGGAAGAAGGTCCCTTGATCCTGGTGAAATTGAGAAAGCGTGCCGCATGGCACGTAACACGAGATTGTGTAGGGATGGTGATCAGTCTCTGAATAGAGAATTGAGACAACTATAAGGGAACCATGACCTAGTGCGACCATGAGAATCTGATCTGCAGAGTTCCCCCGTGAGTTTTTCAGGTGATGAAGAAGGCCGGTCAGCTGGTCACAGGGCCGGACGCCATCTTGAACGAGATCTACTTCACGGCCCACCTAAAGAAGTTGAAGCGCCGAAAGGACGGACCGGGAGCGGACAGGGAGGAGTCGCCCCAGCCAGTCCGGGCCTGGGGCCTGGGTTACTCGGGTGAAATGAGTGAAACTCTTAGAAGGCTTTTCGCTTTTGGGGTTACGTGATCTGAGGATTGACAAAGGTTTTTTTTGGACGCTGGAAAATTCATGATCAGGTGCCACGACCCAACGTCGGCCAAGTTCGCGGATTTCTTCGCTGGGTTGACTGATCAACTCACTCGTCCCGAACCAAGATCCCTTAAGTGGACGGCGATGGGTACATGGGATATTGAATGATATTGAACAATTGAAGTGGGGATTATGGTGAGAGTCTGTAACAGGTTTTAATAACATGTCGCCAGGTTGTCGCTGCGGGAGAAGTGACGATGCGCGTCAGGACGCAGAGACAGCTGCCCTGAACAAGCTGGCTGACAACGACAATGACACAGATGAGAAGCGTGAGATGCTGGCAAGCGTAGGACGGGCCGTTTGTGGCAACCACCTTTGGATCGAAGACGTAGGCCGTCGAAGCTTCAAAGCAAGAACTGATGTCCAAGATAACATGTCACACGCAGAGGATTAGATTAGCCAAACTGCACCTTCCTTCGATTTGGGTGTTTCTCTTTTGGACCAAAACCCCCCAAAATGGCGCTTGTCCTTTTGCGATTTCCTTTACGACACCGACAAAAAGGTATTCTGCGCCTTTGACTCAGTTGGTCCACGCGAATCGACCTTTCGACCAACATGGTTTTTCCCATGTTGGTCCATATTTCGGCATGGCCCCAAAAGGTGAACCTTTTAGTTCCAGGCCCTCAAGGGGCAATTGAGTTGAGCTGCACACGGCGCAGGAATGATCATGCCCCACCTGGAAGCCACGCTGAAGCGCTTCGAAGAGTCGGGCTACGGGAAGCACGTGCTGCCGGAGGTGCAGAGGAAGTACATGATGCGAAGCTCGGCTCAGCGAAAGTCGAAAGTCTTCGTTTTCTGCGGCCTTTTTCATGCGCGAGGTCTTCGTACCATGGCAGCTTCCACAGGGCAGTTTTTGCGTAAAAAATCACGGGGGCCGGGGGAAGTCTTCGTTTTCTTGGGCTTTTTCCCGTGCGTGATCTTGCGTGTGGGGGTTCGAGTCACCTGTTGCATTGCTTCAGGGAGGGAGCAATGTTGTCCGCCAGTTTGCATATCATACGGTCAGGGAACACTATGAGGCCTTTTATGGAGATGACTCTCTCAGACATCACAGTTGCCAAAAGTTTCCTAGAATACTTATGAGATATCAGCAACTCGGCCCCCTCTCCCCTCCCAGCTTTCACCGGTCCAGTGAGACGAAGGCCTGGGAAAGTTGACCATGAAGATCAACCAGGAGCGAGTCTTGGCCATCGAGGCCGGGCAGCGGATCTGATCTCTGCACGACCGTCAGACTGTCGAGCGCTGGATGTGGGTGTGGTTGTCAAAAATAGGGTAACCCCAGAATGGAACCCTGGTACATTGCAAAGACTAAAACCTGGTGGAGAAGCAGAAGCAAAATGGTTGTTCTGCATAGGTGTCCTTTTTTGTGGTTTTGGTGGAACAATCGATGGCGATTCCTGATTTACCTGGTGGTTTAATCATCTACCAGGGCCATCTATTGGCCCTAAAGGGGCCCCCATGTGGATGTGGTTTTCGCAGGGTGGGTTTTTACTGTTAGAGCTCCACAGGAAAAAGCCGAGGTTGGTTTCCAGGCACTTTCTGAGTTCAGGGCGAGATTGGCCTCGTGCTACTCCAAAGGATCATTTTCGGAAACGTTGAGTTGCTTTCAAAATAATATTGTTCCAATATCATGTTTCGTGGCAACTTGTTTGTGATTGGCTTTCAGGGAAGCCAGAGGTTCCCCTTATAAAATCGCCCTTTTTGCTGTGTATGGGCCCACTTGGGTCATGCCGTTGCCACGTTCAGGCTGAGCGTAGCCGCCAAGACGCCGAGAAGGCGAACTCCGCCTTTGCCGCGCCTGTGGCAAAACGGGTTTTCTCCGTCACCGATCCCAGCAATCGCCTTTTTGGCTGGTCTTTGTCCAAGCTACTGTGGGCGGGCGAAATCCCCTCGCACCACGAAATGAAACCATGGTTGAAACCAACTGGACATTCTTTTGGTCGGGTTTTGGGTTAGTCTTGGTTAGTTTTGGTTGGTTCTTGTTTTTTTGTGTTTTTTTTTGCGGGGAGCCTTGCTTTGGGTTGGTTTGGTTGGTTCTTAGCTTTCGGTCGGTTCTCACGGGAAATCCGCGCGGACCCCTTTTGGTTGGGGTCAAACAGTTGGTTGAATTTGGGTTGGTCTTGTTTTTCCCCCCCCCCCCCCCCCCGAAGTTTTGGGTTTGTTGTGGGCTTGTTTGGTTGAATTGGGTTGAATGGGTTTGCTGGTTGGGGTCCCCCCTTTTTGGGACGTCTAAACTTTGGTGCATGTCGCTTGGATGCTAGGACTTTAACTTTTTGCCAACTAATGGGTTTTTCAACTAAACCACAACAAGTTACATTTTTAGCAGGGGAGCGCCCAGTTGCAAGTGATTTTTACCAACCACTTTTCAGGAAGCTTCCAACCATGAAAATTCATAGCCATTATACCCAGTTGCAACCCGTGGATTCCGCAGCTTTTTTTTCAACTCCCCTGCAAAAAGTTGGACCTCCAAGCGCCGAAACTCGCGCCGAGTCCCTCTCCGAGCAGCCGGGGGCCAGTGCGGAGGACATCGAAGAGGCACGGCTGGCCGCGCAGGCGGCCGAGGTCTCCGCCATGCAGGCGGGGGTCTCGGGTCCGGTGGGGAGGCGGGTGGGGGTCTTGGGGGGGGGGGGGAGGGGGGGGGTTGGGGGTGGTGGGGTGGCGGGGGAGAAAAGGGGGGTGGGTGGTGGGTGGTGGGCGGGGGGGGGGGGAAGGGGGAAGGGGGGGGGGGGAAAGCCATGGACAAAAGTGGGTCTGTCGTCGTTTTTGGTTGAGGTTGGACCCTCCCACATGTTTTGTTGTTGTTGTTTTCTTTTTTCCCGGGTCTGTCCGTTTTTAAGGTTGGCGCCCCCATGTTGTTTTTTCTTATTCTTTTTTCCCGGTGTTCCTTTTTTGGTATTTCCCGGTTGAAAAGCCTCCCAAACAAGGGCTGCGAATCGTCAAAAAGAAGACACACCCGCTTGGCGTCGAGTTTTGGCAGGGCTTCGGAGAGTGGGTCTGCACCGAGGGGTATTTGAGTTTTTTTTGGTGAGTGGCGGTGAGTGGAGTGGTGGGTGACTGAAAGGGCGGGGCGGGAGACTGGGTGAGCAGCCGGCCAGCGAGTCGTGTGTGGCAGAAACGTCATTTGCTTTGCGATTCCTGCTTGAGTGGAGGTAGTCCAGTCTGACATCTGGTCGTGACTATTGGGGTTTTTCGTGCACGGCATATAATAAGCCAAGTGTCCATACTGGCGGGAGGGGGGAGGGGGTGGAAGGGCTGGCAGGGCTGGAAGGGCTGGCAGGGCTGGAAGGGCTGGCAGGGCTGGAAGGGCTGAAAGCTGGAATGGGTGGAAGGAGTGTGGTTTGGCTTTGATTGGAGCACGGCTGTGACACGTGGCAAGTGGACGATTCGCGGACGCTCGACTGCTAGGCAGAGAATCGCCTGACCCTCATGCGGAAGACCAGGCAGACTGAGATGCGGTGGGGTGCTCGGAGAGATCCAGATGTTTCGAGTAAAGTTGGGAGAACAGCTTCAGTTTGGGTTGGTTGTTGTGCAAAATTTAGAACCTAGGTCCCTGAGCTAGGTGCCCTTTCTAACCCCTTTTCGGTTGGGAGGGTTCCCCTACTAAAATAGCCTACAGAGAAAAAGGGTACCCTTATTCTAACCTCTCTACTCAAGGAGCTGGTAGCACATTAGGCCATCCATTCACCATTGTGAGGTGGGCCAATGTGAGGAAACGCCCGCTTTCATGCAGGATCATGCAAACATTGGCAGGATTCGGAGGATTTGATTGAATTGCTCCAGATCAGTGAAAAGGGGTCATTATAAAATTGCTGCAGAGACTTTTGATAGCCTAGGTCCCCCGATAGTGCCCTTTTCCCCGTTCTTGGTGGAGAGTTCCCCTACTAAAATAGGGTATCCCTTATTCTAACCTCTCTACTGGAGGACCTAGTAAACGATGCAAGTTTCTCGACAACTAGTGCATATCACCGTCAGTCGCATGCATTTTTGTTCTCCGGGCACCCTTGGTGGGCTTGCCATCGGTTTCCTCAAGACAATGAGCGGCCCAGGATGACGCAGCGAGCGCTCCCGGCAGTGCCGGATGACTGAGCGGTCGCAGTGAGCGGCCGCATGAGAAATGGGGGCGTGGTTCGGGAAGCCAATGGGAAACACCCTGTTAAATCTGCCAAACGCGCACTGACATCAATTAACTTCGCTAAATCAACGCTCGTTTTCCCTTGCCCCTTTTCGTGTTTCTCATGTGTGAGACTCCCAAATCACCCAGGGAAAACTGTATGAACTTCCTTCATGGCAGGTAGACGCGAATGTAAGCACAGTCCGAAACGCTGTCCACCAAGGAGCCCCAACATGTACCTGTGCTTAAAACTTGTTATGTGAGGTCCCCAAGATGTGAGCAGATTTCCGGACATACGGAATACCCTTTGGAGGAAACCAAACTGTTTGCTCAGTTTAAGTTTTGTTGCTCTGTTTTAGACCCTGCTTCAGAGGCTGCTTTGGGAAGCCAAGGGCGGCCAAAAAGCATGGCATGCTAATGCTCTATCGGTCGCTGTCCGCCAAGCGGAAGCGCCGACGTAGGTCGATTCGGATCGAAGCGTCGGAGACCCCGCGCTGGTAATGTTGTTCCCAGTGGTTCCATTTACCCAGAGGCTCCCGATTCATTTAGGGCCCTCAAACAGCCAGGTAGTGAGACCCCCAAACAGCGGGGTGTCCAATGCAGGCATCAGGCCTTCCATTGAAAGCCCCAGAACCTCTGGGTAAAAAAATGTGTCCCTTCGAAGTAGCTTTCTGTGTTGGGTGATCCACTGGGGGCCCGTTTTCCCTGCCGGCGCGGACATCGGGAAGGGAATCTCCAGGAGCGAGGGAGCCAGAAAGTCGAGGAAATGGAGAGTCGCCTTTCCAGATGAAGCCGGGTAAGGCATACGCCAGATTCTGGAGCTCAAAACCCGCAAGGATGGAAAGAAGGGAAAGCGTGGATCGCTGGATCCAGCGGCACGTCGGCCGCTGCTGCTCAGTTCCTTCCAATTCCCAACTTGTCCTGGATTTGAACACCTTCCCATGACATCAGGAAGCCAGGATAGCCCCCATGAAGGGTGCCAGAGAGATATATCTTTTTCCCGGATTGAGGCTGGGTGTGCCGCGCTGCCTGGGACCTTCCTACCACCCCCACCACCCCTTCCTCCTCCCCCCACCACCCCACCACCCCACCACCCCACCACCCCACCACCCCACCACCCCACCACCCCACCACCCCACCACCCCACCACCCCACCACCCCACCACCCCCCACCCCCCCTTCCTGCCAGAAGAAAAAAACCGCCACGAGCCGAGGTCTCGGGGCTTTCTCGATGACCTGGAAGCGCCCTGGCCGCATGTGGCTATGGCCGGAGCGGACCTTTTGGTTTTCCCATGGTCCATATTAGTCACCCCAAAAGCTGATCACCTTTTAGCTTCAGGTCCCTAAAAGGCAACTGAGAGTTGGTTCAGGCACAAGGGAAAGAAGCCTCAAGTTGGTTTCTGGGGTCCTTGGACTCCAAAACGAGAACCAACAGAGAAAGCCTTCCCATTCCCCCCCTGACCCCCCCCCCCAAGTCCCCAAGTCACTGGCAGAGGGCCCAATAGGCCGGGGCTGGTCCGAAGAGTTCTAGTCTTCAAGCGTCGAAGGTGCTTGCTGCTGAATCTGATGGCCGCACACTCAGCAGGTTTGTGCCTGGACGCCTTGCCTGTGAACTGGGTCAAGGCCTTCGAACCCGGGCACGGTGACAGCCTTTCACGATTCCAGAACAATCCACAAACGAATCAAATGTAAAAGATATCGTCTTGGGTACCCTCAAAAAAGGGAGTGTAGAGACGCAACCAAGGGAGGCTGACTTGGCCAGATGCCATTAAAAGCTTAGAAGTCAAGCCCAACGAGTCACCAAGTGACCCGAGGGTGAATTTGCCTGTGACCCTGCTCTCTCTCTCTATCTCTCTCTGTCTCTCTTTCTCTCTCTCTCTCTCTCAGATCCTGGGCGTGGCCGGGCTCCATGTCGAGGCGCGTCTGAAGGCATGAAGAATCTGGTGGGCGAAGAGCTTTAGAAATGACATAGAACTTGCTGGTGCGATAGGTAGGGAATGAGGGAATGAATAACTTGCTGGTGCGATGAATGAGAATTGGAATGGACCGGAGTCCCCTTCAAGGAAACCGCAAGGGAATTTTTGCGAGTGGAACCTGACGCAAGGGAAATGGTCCCGTTAAAAGGAACATGTTCGCCAACGTATATGGGTCTTTGCATCTTGTCACTCTAGACAATGATGCGGATTTTCGTCATTTATTGTTTTCTGATTTCACCAGTGCTTCCCCCTGGCTCTTTTAGACATCTTTTGATACTCTTTTAATATTCAGGGGTGAGTGCACAGAGTTGCCACATCGAAACCGTGTTCTATTTAAGCATCCCCTCACACCAGTCTGATCCTTTCAAATGGTTTTCCATGTGCAACCCCGCAAAGATTGGGTACCCTCAAAAATGCCTTCCCGGGTCTTTCCCTTTCATAATTGTGTTTCCATGCAACTGCGCAAAGAATGGGTAGCCTCAAGCCTGTTTCCGTGTGTGCACCCCCCGCAAAATTTGGTGTTTTCCATGTGCAAGGCCGGAAAGATTGGGTAGCCTCGAGGGAATAAGTACAGCGACGCAACCGCAACGGGAATGGGACGACTTGGGCGGTTTGCAGGCGCCTGAAGGCACCTCCGTGGCGCAGGGAGGCCAGCGGGAAATGCATTCTGGGACTCGGAGGTTGGCATTTGGCTCGTTTTTTGTTTTTTGTTTTTTTTAGTTTGGTGCCAGCTTTTTGCTGGTTGGCTTTAAAGGAACGCCCTTTTTTGCCTGGGTGGGATCAACGGGAGGTTTTAAAGGGAAGCCAAAAGGGACACTTGGCTCTCAGTTGGTACTTCTTTCGGCTGGTTGGTTTTAAAGGGAAGCCAACAAGGAGCTCCACCCGTTTTTTTGGGGGAGGTTGCCCCCCAAGACAAGGGCAGACCATGATTGCTAACGGGAAAAAGACGGACTGGCGCCATTGAAGGCCCATGAAGATAGGAATCGGAGCCCCTTTCACGGTGGAGTTGTCCTGTTGCCCCAATCGGTGCCAACAAAAAGCCGAGAGCGGGCGGTTAAAACGGGACCACGATTTTGAGAAACCCAAGAGGCCCTGCTTGACTCACCTGGTTGATTTTCGAGAGACACCAAGTCCCTTCAATTTGGACCTCATGGAAGGGATGTTTTCATACTAGGGAACAACACAAATACATCGAGCTTTTGGGGCGGGTGTTGCATTCCCGCTGCTTCTGTTCTCACGGTCGTCTTAGAGTAGGGGACCCCTCTGATGTCCAACCAGGGGGTCCCGAAAAAGTAATCGTAGACATATGGATGTGCGTCTTTTTCTGTTCTGCGACCCCAAAATGGTGCTTTCCCTTTTAGTTTCCCTGCAGAGGCAACCCGAAGGGTCCCCTCCAAACAGACAGACCCAACTGTCAGACTCTCCATGCGTCCAGAGGGTGAAAGCCTGCCGCAGATACCAAAACACCGCTTGGGACATGGGGCATGTGCAAACCTCCAAGGCAACCCGTCCCCAGCAGACTAGTACCATAGGTGGCCTTTTGATTCCTTGGTTTGGATAGAAATTGATGGGTTCCGCTGGTTTAGACGGGTTTTCTGCCATCCACTTCTAGGTCCGCCATTTTGGGGGAGGATGCCCCCACTAAAATAGAGTACAGAAAAAAGGGGTACCCTTATTCTAACCTCTCTGCTGGAGGACCTAGACTTGCCAGAAAAGCCCATCGATTTCTACCCAAACTAAGGCCACCCATCAGAAATCGCAGCCTGGTTCAGGTTCGGTCCTGAAGATGACACAGCAGCAGTGCAAGGCCCGGCTTGCATGTTACGCGTTTGGGTGGCTGAAACACGGGACGCCCTAGAAATGGCGAAAGAGGGCGGCATAACAATAGCACTCGAAAGGGCTTCAGTTTTCTTCATTTGGCACACAGCAGGTAAAAAAAAAGAAGAAAAAGGTGTAAGCAGAAGCAGAAGCAGAAGCGAGTCACCTTGCAAATGGCTCTGGGGGGAGGATCCAAAGGTGGCTTCATGTGGGCTATGGCTCAAAAAGCCGGAATTCCAAAATGGGTCACCCTGGTAAGTGGGAAACATGGGTACCAAAATTCCCGCGGTTTGCCCCGATCGATTAATTTTGAGTGAGCCACACCCATGTGTCTCCTTCAGAAAGTTCTTGACATGGTGACATGGCCAGGTCCAGTGCCAACGCTTCGGCATGAAGCGCTTTGTCCTCGGTCTGAAGATAAATACTCGACTCGACTCGATCTATTTTTTGCCTCGCGCCGAGGCATGGGCGATGCTTTCAAAGACATCTCGCGACCCCAGGCTGGCGCGTTTGGCACATGTGCGGCTATGTCTAGGTCCCCCAGCAATTGGTGCCAACTTTGACCGTTTCTTTTTTGGGTGGGAGGGTTCCCCTACTAAAATAGACTGCAGAAAAAAAGGTACGCTTATTCTAACCTCTCTGGATCCAGATGTGCTAGAATAATGTGTTCTTTGGTTGGCACATGGCGGATTCAGACAGCCAGGGGCGTCTTGCCCGACTCCGAACATTTGGGCTTCGTGGCCAGGATTGCGTCGCAAAGTGCCAGGAGGTCTACAAGGCATAGGCGAGCTTCAAAGAGAAGAGAGAGACTCCCAGGAAAAGGATGACGGAGCCCTTTGGGCCCTCCTTTTGTAGAGTTCGCTTTTTGAGGTGCCATATTGAGTGGGTACAGCATCAGGAGAATTCAGGGTTGAGAGAGATGAAGCGGCCACATGATCCGCGCAGCTCGAGAGGCGCGGTGGCTCTCGGCACCAAAAGAGAAAAGCGGCAGACAAAGGGCGACCCGAGCTAAGCGCAACGCTTGCCGCGCACGTGCGGAAGTTCCGCTCGACCAGAGCTGGTTCAAACCGGCCGCATGTCACCGCGCAGAAAGATATGCATGCTAGGTGCGAACGGAGCGACCTATGAGAAGCAGCGCATTTGGATGATTCAGCAGCTTCGGGTTGGGTCAAGTGGTTCAATAGCATGCAAATGCAATTGTAGTCGAGGCAATACAGATTTGGCTTTTTCTCATGGCAGTTCACATCTTTGTGCTACATGTTTTTTACGCTTGGATTTGCTCGTGGTACGTATTTTTAAGCCTACCCCGCTGCACTTGTTGTCATGGCTTGAACTTGATGTGCCGCGATGCACCTGTGCGCCCACTGCTCCTTCAACGGAGAGCGGGGCTTATGCGAACGAATCGGTGGCCACCATGCCCCGTACTGCCCGCAGCTTGCTGGCATTGGATCGATCCGATGTTGAGGCTGTGCCCTGACATGAATGTATCGATCTTCGGCAGTCACCCAATCGATTTCTATGGTCGCCAGAGATGGCTTTGATGCCAAGATGTGTTGGCAGCTAACAGAGTTTCCGAGCTTGCGGCAGAGCGACGGCTTGAGCCAAGCGGTACATTGTGACATTACACCACCGCCCGACTTTTGCGCAAACAAGCCGCTCAGCTGTTCTGCTGGGTCTGGTGCTCAGGAGATTCAGGGCGACTTGCAAATTCTGCAACTGCGTGGGCAGCTATGACTGCATCATGAAGGAGCGCCGGCGAGAAGTCGAGAAGTGGGGTGTCTTGCACATCCACTTGGAAACTCTGATTTGTTTAGCATGTTCTTTCGAAGGACCTTGTGGTCATGTTGCCAGGTGCCTCAGAGTGCCCCAAGAGCCGAGAAAACCAGCAGGAGCACGGGCTCCATGAGAATTTCTGCCCGCGGTTCCGAGGCCCCTTGGCAAGCGGACCTTACGGACCAATGTTACTCTTTGTGTCAAAGGGTTGGGTCAGGAAATTCTACAGGAAAACTGGAAAACAGCTGATTTGGGGTGTTTTGGGGCGATATTCCTGTAACCAAACCCTTTGATTGTGACTTCAAGCATCACCCCTGGTGCCCATCTTGTGTTTCCGCTGCCCGATTGATATCGCTGGCATGAAACCTTGAAGCTGTGTCCGGAGGTGGCAGTGGATTGATCAAACAATGCGTACCCAAAATGGATCCCTGGTTGTATAATATAAACAAACTCAAACCTGTGGTCCATATCCTCGGTGGTTTAAACATATTGGCCCATACCCAGGTCAATGCAAGTTCTGCGGCATCATCGGCTCCTACGAGCAGGTGGCCGACGTCAGCCCCTTCCACAAGTGGTTCTGCGAGAGAGCCTCACCCAGGCGACGAGTCGTGTCGGTTCGACAGGCCGGGAAGGAGACATGACCCCTGTGGACAATCCCCGATTTGGTTTCCCTTAAGGGGAAACCTCATATGGTTCATTCCCACAACCCGGAGGGGTCCCCACTGAGAGCAAGTCAAGGGTCCAGAATTTCTGGGAGGCAGGGGGCAATTTGTGAGAAATGAGCTTCCGCAAAAGTTGCGATGTACTGTGAGGCTCAGTTCCCGCGAATTCCCGAAAACATTTCGGTGAGCTAGGGCGGAAACTGGACACCTTGTGAAATGGAAATGGCACTTGCTTGGATGACATTTAGAAATCGGGATTCTATTCCATCCAATGGAACAGGACCGAGCATGACACAAGCAGTTTCCACATGGCAGTGGACATGAAACTGGAAAAACATGCAACAAATACGGAAATTGGACACCTTGGCCGAGTGACGCTTAGAATCGGGCTTCTACTCCATCTAGTGGAACAGGAACAACATGGAAGACAAAAAACACCAAAACATTCAATTCTTTCCTTTTGAAGATGCTCCGGAACATGCGAAGCCAAGTAAGACGTGTCTTTTCCTTATGTTCCAAGCCTCGGCCCTTTTGGCCGCGGGCGGTTGGATCAATGAGAGGTGTCGTTGCGGCGCGGAGCTGGCGGTGCCGGGGGGGCACCACAAGGCGAGGGACGTGGCTTGGGGTGGGAGGTGAAGGGTTGGGTGGGGTGGGGGGTGGGGTGGGCGAAAGGTCGTTCCTTTCACACATGTTAGGTGGGAGGGGAGGAAGATCCATGAATAGTGGACATGGGGTTTGGGGAGAGGAGTGGGGAGGGGGGAGGAGGAGGAAAGGAATGGGAGTGACAAGTGAAAGGGTTGCTCCCATGCTTTGTCTCCCAACCGTTTCTATCATATATGTTCTTTTGCAATTATCTAGCAGTTCAACTGAATGACGTTGACGGGAACGGTTTGCCAAGGTCAGACACAAGCTACGATTGCATTTCCCGTGCTTTTGTTTAAGGGTTGTATGACCGTTTGGGTCGATTAGAAGGGTAAGTACTTAATCTGTGTTTTCTTTAGTTTCCTTCTTGTTTTCCGCTTTTCAGGTACTGCTTCATTGTTTGGATTTGAACCCTTCTTTTTGAAGCATGGGGAATAAAAACAACATCCAGGCCACCCAATAAAACGCATCATATTTGGAAGCCGAACGGGGTGAAGGCCCCCTTCTCGCCTTGCCACATACCACGCAGTTGGGGTTAAGGCGGATCTCAGCCTTTTCTCGCGCCAGGTGACCTGCTCCCTGTTCCGCGGAGAATGCAAGCACTGCCAGTTGGTGGGCCCCAGCTGGCCTGGGCCTCGTGGAAGGGCGGGTGTCGACGTGTCGAGGCCGGGGGATCGAGGCTCGCGGCCCCAAAATGAAATTTGGTGGTTTGGAGTGGTTTGGAGTGGTTTGGAGTGGTTTGGAGTGGTGGCTTGGGGATTCTGAACCCCTGACTGTTGAAAATGAAAGGGAAAACCAACAAACAATCCAAACCACCAAGAGCTCCAAACCAGGAACCTGATGGTCTCTAGTTCTGAAGGCCTACAGCATAGCTTCTCACTAGTGCCCACCAGCCTGCGATTAACCTAGGTATGTGACCACCGCCGGCCCGCAGCATGATGAGGCAGGGTGTGAGAGGCCAAAAGTCGCGTGCGCCAACGGATGGGAACGGTTTCGGGGCGCGATGTGGCATCACTTGCGAGGGGCATTGTCAAGGTTTGAAACAAGAGACCCCTCCTGTCCACTAACATGCAACCTGACGTTTCGGGGTCCTGGAAGACTAATTCCGGGCCCTATTTTCCTTCGAAAGGGACTGTTAGTGAGTAAGAAGGTAGTCAGATCTTGATTCACGGCGACGTGTTCCAGTCTAGTCGGCAGCGACGAAGACGTTTGCTAGACATACCCCTGTTTCTCGCCAGGAATGCCCACGCCGGTGGAGCTCATTTGAGCCCCTTCGACCGCAAGGGGGAAACTATCAGTGGGAACACATGACTCGCTTCCCAGAAGCAAGAACACCCAGAAGCCGACGGTTTATACCAATTCATACATTCAGCATTGTTGCATTGGGTGACTCAGTTGCCCAAAGATAAATCGAACTGTTGGCCACTTTTGGGGGTTGATCAATTTTCCTAATATGGCTGTGGGTCAACACCAATGGTGCCATTTTGGGCTAGGTGTACCACCCATTTTAGAACCTTTTTTAGTGGTTGGATTGGGATGTTCACTGGTACGATTTGGATTTTGGCCCATGGCCATGTGGTCTTCAGTTGACCTTCCTTTGGCTTAAAGGGGTCACAAGCGACGCTTTCTTCATGTGAGGCCTGCCCGCGCCATTCACTTCAGTCCGCTTTAGCATGTCCCAAAGGCAGGGCATGCGCGCTGGGCTTTCAGTTGGTGGGAACTCAAGCCGGGGAGCCACTTGCTGAAAACCCGGGGAAAATGAAGGCTACTGCGGCCGGATTCTTAATTCCTTGCATGGTTCTGGGGACAAAAATCGGGAAGCAAACACGGAACCATGTAGGATGTGCCTCATTGTGGGCGATGCCCGTGTTTTGCTCCTCTCCAAAGGAGAGCAGCCAGAAATGCGTGCCAAAGTGCTGCCGTCTAAAAACCAGCTGCGGTTGCTTCTTGGGTCATTGGAGTGGTTTGCTTGACCCTGATGGTCATTGCTTGAGTTGATTGTAGCACCAGGAGCTCTGGCAAGCTCCTGATGCATGCATGCGTGTCCAGCCAGCAGGTGTTGAGAGCAAACATGCAGGAAGCGAGCAGACCACAGCCACATGCGGTGACAGCCCTGGAAAGAGTGGGTCATGGGATCTGTCCCTGGCATCCAGAGCACATTGAAAGCGAGCAATCAGAGAGAATAATCAGACTGAGGGCAAAGACCCATCCCAAGTTTGATATACTGACGCCACGTTCCTTGGTGGCGTCCGACAAAGCGCGCAACGCAAAAGGAACATCACACTTGCTCTCCCGTGATCGCCAGACTACCGCCCCATGAAGCGCATCTTGGGCCGCATTTGCGGTGGTTGACTCGGACTTGTTGAAGTCGCTGGTGGATTTACGTCAGAGGCGGTGACTGCGGTGAGTTTTTTAGGTGTTTTTTTTTTTGCGTAGGCTCTCGCTGTCTCCTACTGGGGGTGTCCATCCGAGGTCAAGAGCATGTGGTGCCCTCTCACGCAGCGGGCATGCGGCTGGGCAGACAAGCTGTAAGTTCCGAATCCCATTGCTTTGCCTTGGCCACGGGGCTGTCAAGAGGGACCCTCAAAATGTGGATTTCTACGTAAAGGGATTTCTTCTCCTTTGGAAGACCCAAATCACTTGGCAGTCGGGTTTTCGGAGCAAGAATCTGGCATTTTGTCCCCAAAGGAACCGCGAAGCCCAAGTTGACCCCCCAGACCTTGGGCTGAGGTCCAGCCTCAGGCTCCGAGCGTTGGGTTTTTCTTCGGGGCGTCGAGCTTCGTCTGCTAAAGGGACGACTGGAAGACTGGACGCTCCCTTGTCTCACTCACCGAGTTTCTGAGCTTTTTTGGAGTTCGGACTTGTTTTGGGCCAACCCAGGAAGTGAGTTGTTGCATGCCTTGTGTTGGTGTTTGGTGGATTCTGTCTCGGAAGCTGGTGACGCTGGATAGGCCCGACAATTCCATCTGATGGCCCCTCAAGTGCCATGTGGTGCCCCTTGCGACGTGTCTCGCAAAGAGTGAACCAATCATGAACATTGAGTGCGGCAAGCAAGCATACGCATTCCCACTTGGCGACCCAACTGTGGATCCCCCAGCACCGCCCATGCGGCCATGGGCCAAAACCCAAATCGTACCCCCAGTCAACATCCCAATCCCCACTAAAATAGGCTAAAATGGGTGGTGCGCCGAAAGCCCCAAAATGGGATCCCGTAACGGTTTTGGCCCACGGCCATATGTTGGTTGTTGAATCGATCCGTTTGCCAGCGGTTGAGACCGTCAAGACCCGTTTGCGCTTGGCAGGGACACGAAGCGAACCCTGGAGATGCGGAGAGGGCTGAACACCCAGGGCATGGCCTCAACCTCAGACATCCCCACCGGGTTGCTTGGGGGAGGGGGGTGTGACCTCTGGTGGTTTTCCATCGGTTTTCCATTTGTTGTCATGGGACTGGATAGACAGAGGGTCCCTGAAAAATGGAAATTTTGGGGGAGGGTGAGTTCTGGAATTCCATTCCATGCACCCCCCCTCCTCTTAGGGTGCTTGGGGTTGGGGGGGGGGATCCTCAGATGCCGCGAAGTTTTGCTTGGTTTTTCTTTTGGCTTGGGGCTGAGGATGGGGCATCTTGGGTCCCAAAAAGAATATCGGTTTGACCGTGCTGTGAGTCGCATTCGAGCCTTTGGTGGGTGTTCCTCATTGTTTGCAGATCCAATGTCACCCCTGGAGAATTCGACGCTTTTTTTCTCTGCTGCACGGGCCCGGGAGGAAACTATCAACATGAGGGTCAGAAACTCTACCACTGCCAACCTACAGTTATTTCTCCCCCCCCAAAAAAAAAGAAGAAACACACATCCCAAGTACGGAACAAGGTGAACCTTGCGATTTGTCGGTTGGTGGTTGGCATACTTGCAATGAGGCCTGTGACAAGCCCAGTCGAATCGAGATTCGCAGGTCGCGAACGACAGCTACCAGGCGGGAGAAGAGCTTCCTCTCTCCACTTTTCCCAGTCGCTTCTCAAAGTCGAGGACCCTGCAGATAGCAAGGAACCGGGGCCTTCTGGCTTTCTTCAATCAACGGGAAAGCATGGAGTCTGGGCAAACCACTGCTGTCCAGGCTGAGAAATGCCCACCCGGCGCGTATAGGCAACGGCTCAAATGTTGATGCACATGGTGCTCGAAGGCAATTCGGAGTCTTCCCGGGCGTCAAGCCGAAAACTCATGTGAACTGTGTGAGTCAAAGCTTCCGTATCCATGGGACCCATGTTTGACCCTGACCCCAGCCCCCCTTCCCCCCCCCAACCCCCTGGTTTTGCTCAACTCCTGTATGGCAAGTTCCACATTTACCCTTCAAATGGGTCAACTCTTGGTATGTATCGCCTACGCGGAGTGTGTGTGAGTTGTTGTTTTCTTCCAATGGAAGCCATCCTGGGCCAGAAATTACCCTCATGGGTCAAATCTCTTGCCTGCACATGTGGGCTGTTATGAGTTGTTGTCTTCTTCCAATGGAAGCCGTCCGCCCGCTTTCAGACACGGCGCACCCTCGCGGCGCACTCCTTGCTGGGCACACGTCCGGGCCCAAGGTAAATTTTCGGACACGCCCGGTTTTGGGAGCGACAGCTAGCATGGTGGCTCCCAGCCATCCGGTTCCTGAGCTTTTTCGCCTAGTGTTTAGTGGTTTCCATTTAACCCACCAAAGGTTTCTTTTAGATCCTTTTAGTGTTTAGTGGTAGTTTCCATTTAACCCGCCAAAAGTTCGTCACAATTAGAGCGGATCTGAACAAGGCAGCCCAGTCATGTCCAACACATCCGCGCCTTTGGCCTCCGAATTGGGTAGAAATGGCCGTGTCTTTGGGTTAGTTTGGCTGAGGCCTTGGTTTGCAAGCTTGATCTGGTTTTACGAGGAAAATCACCAGTTTGGGATTTGGGGGGGGGGGGGGGGGGGTCCCAACAAAACGACACACCCACAACAGAATCCCTGTGCTGATCTCAGCGCAGGGTGCGCAAAGTAGGGCGACAGCATCTCACGGACCTCGGAATCATTACTTGGCTCCTTGATGCCATGTCCTTGGCTTGGAGCAATTCCTATGACATCCCCACACCTAACTTGGCGGGATCCCTGCAAGTTTGAGATGCACACATAGACAAACAAACAAACACCTGCTAACTTGCTGACACACACACAAACAAGCAAGCAAGCAAGCAAACAAACAAACAAACAAGCAAACAAACAAGCAAACAAAGAAACAACCACACACACGCACTCACTTGTTCCATTCCACCTAGTTTCACATTGCCCATTGCCCATTACACTTACACAAAGAATCGTGTGTTTTGATCCCAGCTTGTTCCTTTAATCAGGAAGCTGCGGTGTTCCGCCTCTCAGGAGCACCTTCCAGTTGCAATATCTGTGTGTGTGTGTGAGTGTTTTCCCAGCTCTTTGTTTTTTTTCTTTCTTTTTTCGGCTTTGCCGGCGTTTGGAAAAGTCCAACGCCTCGGCGTGCGGCGTCGGAGGTGACCAGACGCTGCTGATTGGCGCGGAGCGCAGCCGACAGTTGCGGGAGCTTCAGGTGGTGGACCCCGCGCCTCGGAGCAGAAGAAACTCAATTAAAGTCGCCTGGTTCTTCACAGCCAGGTGCAACCAGTGGAGGTGGCACCCCTTTTTCAACTTTTTTTTGGGGGGGAGTTGGGAATCCGCTTCCGAATCAAACTCAACCATCCAAAACAGGATACCGAGTTGCAACCAGTGGGTTGTTACCAACCACTTTTCAGGGGGTTCCAACCGTGACAACTCATAGCCATATTATACCCAGTTGCAACCAGTGGATGTGGCACCCTTGTTTCTGTTTTTTGGAAGGGTTCCCCTTTAAACTCAACTTGTTTGTCAACTTGTGTTTGGGGGAATTCGATTCCTTCAAACTCAACCAACCAAAGCAGGATGCCGACTCTTGCCTTCCCATGGAAATCCACTGGGCATCTGAGGTCTGATAAGGGGGCCCTTTACTGCCAGATAATGTGCCTTTCAGATTTGTTTCTATTGTTTAGTACTTAATTTCCACCTACTGGAAGTGTTGTTTGCGGGGACTTAAGCAAATGCAGGTTTACCATCCAAGTTTCTTTTTCGTGGCCTCTGTTTTGAACCCCTGGTTCTTCATTCGTGTTTCACGGGCGTTCTCGATATAGGAATCGGCATCCCCCCAAATGAAGGTCCAGTCAGCTTTCATGGGGGCGTGTGGCAGGGAACCCAACACGAAAACACCTCAACCGCTTGATGCATCTTGGTGCTTGCTGGGCAAATGCTGCTTCAACAACCCCGCATTCGGGGTCTTTGGGGGATTTGGGGGATTTGGGGGTACCTTCCATGTCAAGAGAAAATGGGGGTGCCGAGTTCCAATTCACACCAGGGTTTGGTCGAACCTTGCGGTTTGGCCAGTGTTCTGTGCCAGGGCTGTCAGTGGCGTGCAGTTGCACTTTGCTCTTAACCTAGGATTCAGACAAACACCTCCTGGTGTCATATTTGAATCGGAGCTTTTTCCAAGCACTAAACTAGGGCTCTCCTTGTTGATGTGGGCTTGAAGAAAATATGTGACTTTGCTTAGGACCCAGGCTGGTTTGTCGGTCCCTTGGTTGTCCCCACCGATTTCCGAGGCGCACTTCCCGAGCTACATGCAGCGGTCGCTTTCTGCAGCTCGGCATTGCAAGCCTCCAAGCTGACTAAATTCCTCTAACAACTCCTTGCCAAGTATGCGCGTGTTGGAAGAGAATGGGCGTCCACTTCGTAGAGAGTTGTCTTGCCATGGCACCCTGTCCAAAAAAAAAGCTGACCTGGAAAACCAGAGCACCGCATATGCTCTGAAGGGATCCAGTTGACTCGTCCGCCCCACGTGGAGGCGGTTTTTAGTGGTACGAAGCGACATGTGCTCTCCACGGAGTGACACAGCTCTCGATACTCCACGGATGGCGAGAATTGCGAGGAATCTTTTAAGAGAGGCACGCGATTTGATTCACAGGGCTTTCATCTTGCTGGTGCTCATGACCGTCCCTCAAAGGAAACCAAATCGGGGGTGGTGTTTCTTGGGGTTGTTCCAATTCTCATTCCCTGCCTATCGAACCCGCAAACCAACCCTAAGCCAACCCTGAATTCACCCTAAACCACCCTGAACTAACCCTCAGCAACAGTCAACCAGCCCAAAACCCACCCGAAACAACCCTAACGTTTGTTGGCCGAGCCGTGAGCGGCTTTTGCCCGGTCGATGCCCATAGGAGAGCACCCTGCAGCGCTGGCAGGAGGCGCGGGTCATGGGTCCCGTTTCTTTGGGGTCCCGGGACCCCCAAAACGGATTCTGGATTTCCTTTTTGTCTAGGGGTCGACTTCCTGTTCCATTCTTTTCAGCCATTGTTCTTGTCAAAAGAAAAAAAAAACTGCTATTTCTTCAGATTTGTTGGGTGGTTTTCTGGGAAGAAGGATCCCTGGAAAGAATGGGGAAGTCAGCCCTAGATTTTTGGCGTCCCTTTAAAACCGACCAAAAGGGGCACCCTTAAAGACGCACCCATGTGGCTGCACGTGGTTTTTGGCGGTGAGCCTAAGTGCCCTAAGTGAAGCGCGCGGAATCAAGGGTAATTAAATGGTATATGACGACTCACCAAAAAGAATACGTCCGAAAACACGAATGGAACCCCGGAAAGTCTGGCTTTCTCATGAGCGCGAGCCAGTCCCATGAGATTTGTACACGAGGTCCAAACCTGAACAGACCGTGGAAAACGGCCCAAGAGACCATCAGCGCTGGAAACAACCACCGCCCGACTGCGCGTGTTGCTGTATTCCTGAAAATTCGGGACCAACTCCTCCAGGTAGTTTCCTGTTGGTGTAGCTTAACCGGCTTAACCATCCAAAGGCCCACTTGGACGGACCTCTAAGAAAATGAGCGGAGCAGTCGAGCAGCGAAAAGAAAGGTCCAAACATTGACGGAACTCGAATTTCCCTTTGGGTGCATGCAAAAAGGAATTCCGTCAACCTCCAAAAGGTTTCTTTTAGGTGTACCTCAACCATCCAAAAACCCACCTGAACTCCAAGAAAATGGTGGTTTCCCTTGCATCCAAAACGCCTCGCCCAGACCAAACGTGACCCGGGATTCCCCCAGCGAAGAGCGCGAGCGAGCTGTCAGGGTCCGCCCAAGACGACGACGCTGAGCCCTCCGGAGGTCATTGCCACGCAGGTGCCGTAAGCACGGACCATGTGGTGTTTGGCTGCGTCTCCGGCTTTGGGACTTGGACCCACCCAACAAAGTGGATTTGTCGGCGCTCCTTGAGGTTTCCAATACTGAAACCCTCCCAAAAAACGTGTTTTTTTCTCCCGAAACTAAATGTTGTTTAACGCTCCTTGAGGTTTCCAATATTCAAACCCTCCCCGGGCGGCCCTTCAAAAAGAGGAGACACCCCTTTAGGCGGCTTCCAACTGCTTCGCAGGACATCCGACTTCGAGCCGCGCTGGCGCCTGCGGGGACCGTTTCTGAGGCTTCGGCTGAAAAGAGCTCCGGGGTGGTCAAAGGTCTAAAGCCTTGGTTCCCAGTTCCCTTTGAGGTGTTTGTTGCTTTTACTTCCATTTGCTTAAGAATATGTTTATTCTCTCTTGTTGGTTTTAAAAGGAATTTATCACTATTGGAAATATTCTGATTTTTTCCAGAGGACTTAAGCAAATGGAGGTTTAGGGCTTAAAGCTGAGGCTAGGTCCCCCAGCCAGGTGCCCTTTGACCAACTTTTTTTAGTTGGGAGGGTTCCCCTACTAAAATAGACTACAGGAAAAAAAGGGCACCCTTGTTCTAACCTAGGAGGTGTTTGTTGCTTTTGGGGCTGAAAAGTGAGACTTTTAGCAGGGGAGCTGGGAACAGCCCAGATCTGTCAAGGCTATTCCTTGCTTGCCCAGTGCAAGCAGATGTAGAGGGAACTGAGCTGAAGCAAAAGGATCGCACAGGATCAGAACTTGGTTTGGTTGGTCGCGGTATCTCCGGTCGCAGAACACCTAAAAGCTTGGTGGCTCTCAGCCATCCCGTGAGCTTCTTAGGTTTTTAGGGTTTAGTGGCAGATTCCGTTCAGCCCACTAAAAGTTGATTTTGTTAGCAGGTCCCGAACACCATGGTTACAACCTAAGCAGCTTGAAGATTCAAGAACCAATCCATGGTTCCACATAGGGGGCGATGCCTCAATTTCCCTTCTTGGTTTCTCACCTTTGCGGCTCATGACAGGTGTCCCTTGGGGTCCGGGGGTGGGAAGTCTCGGGCGCAATCGGACGCCGTCCCATTGCGATCTCGCAGACCTGGAGCCAAGACAAGATCTGCAACTGGTCGGCTGTGAAGCGCAGCCGGCGGAGATTGTTTGCCATGGGATCCGCGGGGATGAGGTCGTTTTGGCTTTCAGTTTGGTCTTCGGAAGTTGGCGCGGCCCTTTTTTCCTCTCTAAATGAGGTGGTTTTGGGGTGCTTTTCGTGGGGGTTGGGTCGTTTTTGTTTGTGTTCAGTTTTGGTTAACAAGTTGGCGCGCCAAGCTTTGTTTCTCTTCAATTTGCCGTGGTTTTGGTGTGCAATTTTAGATGGAGGCAGCTCTATTTCAAGAGAAAGCCGTTTCCAATAAAGCCGGGAGTCTTGCCGTGCCAGCTGAAAGTTTTGGGGACGATAGGCCCAGAGAAGCGAATTCAGCTTTCAGGGAGGGTGCCAGAAGATTTCCAGGGCTTTTGGGGATGCCACCCGGGCTCATTTGTTCAAAGTCGTCTTCGGACGTTTTTGCTTTAAATGCCTTAAAGAAAAATGCCATTGGCCATCTACGGGGAGGTTTTTGGGGACCTGGGCCGAAAGGGGGCAGAGATGCTCACGGGAGAGGCGGAGCGAAACATGGCAAAGTTGGGGTCGGGCGAACCGACCTTGGGGGATATATCATCGAGGAAATGTAGGCGATTTGAACTATGAGCCCTCAAATTCCAATGATACCCAGTGTGTTTGCATGTGTTTGCCATGAACAACAGGTAACCAGGAAACAAACCATCATATGCCCAGAGGTAAGGCAGCCTGGCTACTAGCTATAGTCGTTCAAAGCGAATCAACCTTTTGACCTTTTGGTTTTCCCATTTTGGTCCATATGACTGTGGGTCAAACATATGTATAATGCAACCCTGGAAAGTGGAAACATGGACCAAAACCTGCGGTCCGCTGGTGGTGACTAATGTTGACCTATACCCATTTTGGCCCTAACACCATCCTAAGGGCGGTTTTCTTTACGACACCAACAAGAACGTACGTTGGTATTCTGAGCCTTTGACTCAGTTGTTCCAAGTTTTCCCATATTAGTCCATATTTCGTCATGGCAACAGGTTTACCAAAACGAGTTCCAGGTCCCGAAGCGGCGCTGAGTAGTGGCTTGGGACAGCTCACCCCAGGGGTTTCTTCCGAAGGGCGCGAATCCGTTTCTTTGAGGACACCCGTTTTGGGGTGGATAAGAGACGCCAGAGGGAAAGGTCCACCCATGTCGGGGTTATATATGTTGAGACAAACCCATTTTACCCTCCCACCAGCTAACATGGAAGTGCCTTCGGACCCCTGTGGAAAGACTGTTGGTGGGAGGTTAAAAAAATGAAGAAAACAAAATAAAACCCCAAAAAAAAACATGGCAACCCGGAGAAACACACACAAAGCGCCACCGACCAGGCGTTTTTTTTCCGTTTTTTTTCTTCAGTTGCCAGGTACAACCTTCTAGCAGAGCAGGCGACTCCCATCAGATCCTGGGACAAGACGGCAGTCGCCTCAGTTGCTTCGATCGGGGAAGCCCAGCGGCGTGGGGTTTGGGGCCATGTTTTTTTTTTAAACCTTTGGGTGCTACTCTATTTGGCTTTTCGGCTTGAATGTTACACGGGATTTCCTTTCCAAGAGGATTGTCTTTACACATCCGTCAGCATTGAACCGCAGTTTGTTCTCCTCTTTTTGAGACAAAGGGTGTTGGAGCTCGGTTTGATTGAGGATGCGCATCCTTTTCCCCCTCATCTGAAAGGGTAACGGGTAAACGATGCCATCCGAATGGTCTGCGTTCCCATAAAGTCACTTTTTGGGAAGAGAGTTTTGGTAAGTAAAAAGCTCCGGGACGTTTTTCTTGCTGGTGCGATAGGGAATGTGGGAACGAACAAGGGGAGTCCCTTAAAGGAAACCACCAGCCAGAGATGGTTTAGAGATTCCCTTTCTCGTTCCAAGGGCTTACTCTGCCAAGCTTTCAGATGTAGGCTGCGTGTCTTAGCGTGGACCCCAAAAAGGGTTTCCGTGTGGCCACCAAAAGGGGACACCCTCCAAAAAGACAGGCTCACGATTTTTCTCTTAATTAGGGGGCTGACATATCCGGCCTGCGGTGGCATCCCCATTCAGCGGGGAGTAGAGGCTGCAGAGCGTCCAGCTAAGTGTCTGCGCGGCTCACAGATCTTGAAATTTGCGTTTCAGAATATGTGTTTATTTTCCACTGTTGGTTCTAGGGGGATTTGTTTTTATGGTTATGTCTATGCAAAAGATCGCGCTTTTTCCAGCGCTTGAGCCAATGGCCGTCGCCATTGAATGGTTCCGTGTGCATCATGTTTCTGTTGAACATGCACACTCCCCCTGCAGCCTTCGGCTGCATTCAAACTTCTTCCCATTCAGAAGAAGAAACTGAAAATTCCTCCGCCAAATCCCCAGCACCATCTGCCACCGGAAGACTTGATGGAGTCCTAGGTTTTGCCTCCATAGTGCTCGCCCATGTAGTAGTCCTCCCTCGTCCGCCAGCCTTCGCCTTTGGAAATGTGACTACGGGTCCAGCATCTTTCCCACGCTCCTCTGGGCCTCCTCGCGCATAGCCTCCGGATCCAACTTGGTCCCCAGAGCCCCTTGCACTTGGATCAATGCCCCTCGAAGCGATTCCACGGTCCTTCACGGACGACCAGCCGGAATTCCTCTCCTTCCTGACCTTGATCTGGAAGAAAGTGTACCCTCGCCATGGTTGCATTTGCGAGGTTCGTTGTCGCTCCTGATGAGCGGTCCAGCTGTCCTCCTCGACGGACCGGATACCCAAAGGCGATGTGCCCGTGTGTAGCTTCACCGTGATCCTCCTCGACTCCAACCGCGCTGCATCCAGCGGGAACTCTCGATGGATCGGGTGAAACCTGCGTTTCCGAGGTTTGCCATGTGCACGGATTGCCCATCCCGGCTGGGACCAATCCCACTCGTCCTTGTTCTTGTTCTTGAGCATCGGGGGGACCTTGTACTCCTCGAGCTCCCACGGGAGTACTGGCCCATCCTGATGAACGTCTTCTTCTTGATTATCTGACCTCCTCCCCTTCTCCGTCTTCTCCTCAATCTTATTTGCCTGCTTGGCCTCCACATTCGGCTGCTTCGACAACCACCTCAAGGCTCGCAGCCGCGGTCGAACTTCTCGCTGGCTTGGGGCCCTGATGTGGGTGTTCCCAATCCTGGGACGGGCTGGTCCCGCATCATCCGGGTTGTTATCATCCCTCGGACTGCGGCTTCGTTCACGCTCACCCGGTAGTGAAGTGATTCCCAGGTCCCGCAAGCTCACATTGCCTCGCAGAGGAGCCACGAATGTCGTAGATCCCGTCCAGGCATCTGCTTCGCGAAAAGCTTCCATCCTCCAATTGTCATTGATCACCCGCCGCCCTCGCTCGAGATCGACGAAAACCAAATTGGTCTGTCGCCGACTTTCCAGCATCGTAGCGTTGACCCCGGAGGCATGTTCCTCGGATCCGGTTGAAAATCCCGGTTTCTCCTCAGCATATGAATGCGGGTCGCCACGATGAAGTCTCGCTCAAACGTCACCTCCCAAAAGTCCTCAGGCTCCTCATCCTGTGACCCACGAATTGGACCACCAGGTGGTTCAGGCCATGGCTCCCTTGGTGCCTCGATTGGCACCCGACCCTTACCTATTGATGCAGGGCAGCCCGTAGGGCAGTGGTAAAACGGCAAGCGGCAGGGGTCCTCTTGTTTTACCCTCGGGACTGGTTCATTTTCCCTAGCCCATCTTGACGTCGCCGGTTCATGTTCCCTGGCGATCTTCCTCTCTGTCGGTTCATCTTCCCTGACAGAGGGCCTTTCCTTCACCGGTTCATCATCCCTGGTGACAGGCTTCCAAACAGAGGGGTCCCTTGGTGTGGTCGGTTCATCTTCCCTGACCATCTTGGCAATCCTTCCCTCGAAGTTGCCTTGCTGTGCGGCTGGTTCATCATCCCTAGCCGATCTTGATTCCCTCGCAGGTTGGGCCCGATGGCCTTTATACACAAAACCTAACCCAACACCAAGAGCCGCCAAACAAAGCTCCTTCACGGTGTGAGACCGAGGGTCCTGCGGCTTCCAGCAAGCCACAATCCCCATGAGCCCACTCAGAGCCGCCACCTTCATGACCGTGTCCTTGGTGAGGCCCTTCTGGGACCCAATGGCTTCTTGGTTCACCATTCCGTCCACCTCCGTTGTGGCCAGGAGCATGCCCGTCATGGCGTAGAACCTGAGCCACTGTGACCTGGAAGCCACCGTCTTCGTGAGGTAGTCTGCGACCAAATCACAACCTGGCAAATGTCGAACCTGCCATTCTCCACCTCTCACTCTTTCTCGCAACACATTGGCACGCAGCCGAAGATGCCGTGTGCGCCACGGCCCATCTGGATTCTGAACGATGGCCAACGCCGCCGTGTTGTCCCCGTATATCACTTTCTCCGTGATTCCTCCACCGTTGTGGCCACCCTCCATGATGTCCAAGACCGCGCAGAGGGAGTCACCCATGATCATGGCCTCGATGTAGCCCACCAGTTCGGCTTCCGCTGTGCTAAGGGTCGCAAACGGCTGGCGGCTGGATTCCCATTGAACCAAGGCGCCACCATAGAAACCGAGAACCCCTTGATGGCTCTTTTCACCCAACGGGGCAAAGGAGATGTCCGCGTACATCTCTAATCTCCTCATTGACCTCGCAAACGGCAAACCGCCATCTGGCCCCCTGTCTCCCTTGCAGCCCCCATACACCAGGCCCAATTCCTTTGTACCGTACAAGTACGCCATCATCTCCATGCCGACCTTGACCACCTCCTGCGGACATCGTGTCACATGTTGCGACATCCAAGAGACTCTGAAGGAAACATCTGGTCTCGTCCGCACCGATAACCATAGCAGCTCACCAACCAATCCCTGAGCCGCCCGAATAGCCTCTGGCGTCATTTGCGGGTTCTCGGGGATCTCCGGCTTGCTGAACGGGACCGGTCGAGCACACTCCACGTTGTGCCTCTTGATCAGCTCCGCGATGTAGGAGGGCTGAGCCACGTGCAGATCTCCATCTCCGTTCCATCTCAACTCCATCCCGCAGAACTTGGTCCAACCTTCATGATGAATCCATTCCGGCAGGCTGCAGACCCATTCTTCATTGATCCGCTTGATGATGCTATCCACCAAGCCTCGAGGTCCAGCTGCCAAGAAATCATCTACGTAGATCACAACGTACCCGCACGGAGCTTGCAGTCCATCTGTCTCCTTTTTCTGCTCCATCACCGCCCACACGTTGGACTCGGTGGTCTGCTGCAGCTTGAAGCTTCGGCCCTCATGCTTCCACTCGAAACCCCTCAGACGCTGGTCTCTGAAAGCCGACCAGTCTGCTGGGCTGGTCTCCAGACCATACATGGCTCCTTGAACAAGCCAACGCTCCGAAGCCGGAACGATGCCCGCTTCTACAAGCACCTTGGGGGGCCTCGTGATGAGGACCCTCCTCTTCTCTTGGCGAGGTGCCAGCAGGAAGGCGCATTTCACATCCACCGTGGCCAGGTCCCACCGCTCGTGTGCCGTTTTCCGTAAGACGCACCTCAAGGCAGTGCCATCGATGCCTCCCGCGTAGTTTTCCTTCTTGTCCACCGCCGACTTCGAGCTTTCACCATTGCCGTCCGTCAACAGGTTGCCACAAATCACCGCCCGAGCTCTTTTCCTGCCCAGAGGTGCCTTGATGGTTGTGACCAGCTTACCCGGGGCGAACTCCGCGTTCTCGATGCCCGGGATGCTGTCCAAATCCTTCTCGTTCACTGGCTTCACCACCTTCGTGCCGTACACCAAGGCATTATACTCATCGGTCATGGCTTCTTTCCACCTGAAGCGGCACGGTGCGAGTTTGTAGAACCTTTTCCGGCTCCTCTTCGCAACCTCCCTTCAACAAGGCCATCCGATAGCCCTTCTCACCCTCGTCCTTCTGAAGGTTCCCCAGGTCGTCTTCCAGCTGATTGATGCCACCCATGAGAAACTCCACCGCGGCACCATGTGCAAATCCAAGCTCCTCACCCATGGGGACGACCTTGATTTCCTCTGCTAATGCTTCCTTCAAGCCCCACTGATAGGCGCCCAGAGTCTCCTCGAGCTCTTCTCTTCCTTTGTCTGTTAGCCAAAATTTCTTCAGGCCAGTGTAGTACTCCCCCCCCGCTTGCAGTTCACGTAGAGCGGGGCCTTCATCTTCTTCCTGAGGCAGTACACCTTCTTCATGGTCGAGATCTCCCCCCAGATGTGGCCCGCGTTCCATCCGCTGTTTCCCGGTCAGCCGTTGCTTCGGTTTCCCAGGGTTATCGTCCACCTCCAGCTCGTACCGCGCCCTGTCTGCTTCCTCATCTGGCAAGATGGCAGCCCTTGCATGCTGGATGGTCCCCTCATTGGTTTGCACCACCCAACCCCAGCTCATCAATGGGCTCGGACCCAGTAGGCGAACTTCACGAAAAGGTGATGCCAAGGGCCCCTTCTTATGCCATCTCTTCGTCTTCACCATGACCTTAGCGTAGAATGGGAGCAGCGGGAAGGTCTCCACCCCAAGTCTTTCCAGCTGTTGCTGATTTCGCTGTAGGACCACATGACGTAGGGCTGCAGGCCACCACTTCGCTGGAGCTCCAGACCCCTTCAGCACCACTCGAAGCCTTCTTTTGACATGGTTGACCTCTGTCTCCACTCTTCCGTTCGCTGCATGATCGTCTCCCGAGGTCATGGTAAGCAGCAAGTTGTGTTCCAAGCACCAATGCTGCACCTGCTTCGAGAGGAACTCCTTTGCTCGGTCACAGTGCATGCGGTAGAGCGGGATCCCCAAGCTGCGGTATTTCACGAAGATAAGGTTCAGGGCTCTGATAACCTCCGTGGCACTTCGGGTTTCCATTACTTCCGTCATGGTGACATTCTGAACCTTGACCCCCTTGAGCGCCTCGGCCATCTCGTCCTTGACCTTCTCGTTGAGCCGCCTTGCCTCGTCGTCTGAAGCGCGGGGCTGCTCATCTTCTTCTTCCCATTCACCTGAGACCACATCTTCTTCTGCATCTTCGACCGGCTCTGCTGGTGGATCACCACCTTCTCCTCCTCCAAGAGGTACAGGTACCGTTCCGATAAGGGCATACTTGACCTTTCTCCCGGTGCCGGCATCATCTCCGGCCGAGAAGGGGCCAGCAATATCCACGTTGAGGACGTAAGCCGGTATATCGGCCTTCAACCTTCTATGGGGCCGATCTATGCCCGCTTCCTGCATGCAAACCCGGCACCTCCGATTGAACGGAGCGTGTCCCCTTTTCACATGCTCCTTCCACTTTTCAAGGGTCATCTTCTTGAGCTCCCCCGTGTCTGCTGCCTTGTCCCTTGAACCTTCCTCCAGTTGATCAATCATCACCTTCAGGGACTTCTTGATTGCTGCCACCATCCCAGGTGCCCATTTCGACCAGGTCCTCGTCTGCACCAACCGTCGCTGTAGGTCCGCCTCCATCTCTTGATGGCCTTGACCCTTAAGTCCATGAAGCTCCCCCATGCCGGGCAGATTGGTCGCCAGCGTAGTTGGTTTCCTCCGGGGATGGCCAGCTGCCCCTTGATCTAGGTCCACCAAGATCATGCCATGATCCCGACAGAACTCGCGCACCTCCTCAAAGTTCCAGAACGAGGGGATGTCAAGCTCCTCTGCCTTTGGATCGTACTTGGCCGGGTCCATCGGAGACTCCCCCAGGAACCCAACCGGTTTTTCTCTCCTCCATGAAGAGTCCTCGGCGATCAACCACAAAGCCATCTGCTTGAAGAACAGTGCCGTGTCTCCATTGACCTTCCTTTTGTCCTCTATGGACAAGCCAGACAGTCCATACCGACGTTGGTCCCGGCCCCTCAATGGCTTCGGTCCTGGTTGATTGTGCCGCAACCTGGAAATAGTCCGGCATGGTGGTCCGCCGATCACGGCCCGAATCAGTACTTTCTTCCCAAGGTACCAAAGGTATCCCCACAAGGCCGCATCATGAAGGTTCTGCCTCGCATTCTCCTCCATGTCTATCGTGATGACCTCGTAGCCTCTCCAATCTTCCCTTCTCCATTCCTTGGCATCCCTTCCGGCGAAGAGGTGAACCACCAGCCCCTTGCTTCTTTCCCATCTTCTTCTCAAGCTCCTGTTGAAAGGGCTCCGAGCGGCGGCTTCTGCTCCGTCCTCTACTCGGCCCATGAGCTCCAGCACCTCCTCCGGAAGATGCGGGAAATGCCGCAACCACCATTCCCGATCCTGGGTTACCACCGCGCTCCCGCCCGGGGCATCCAGGTAATCCATCAACTTCATCGCCGCTGACCGTTTCATGACCGGGCACCCATGACGAAGCCAACAATGAAGCCGACCGTGTCCAGGGTGATCGATGATGCAGCCCTTGGCATTCCACTTGACCACAAAGCCGGCGTCGACCAACATCCTCAGTGGTATGATGGGCTCCACCGGATCCAGCGTCAACAGGGCCGACGTGCCAGGGTGCTTGTACAACACCGTGCTTCCGCAGGCCAACTCCACTTCCACTGCCGTTAGATCGCCTCTTTAGTGCGACCTTGCTTGCCTCAAGGCATGCGTTGCCCCTCCGTCCAGGAGGGCAACTGGCTCCACCTCCTCAGCTCCAGCCTGTCTCTTGGCTGCCTCATACTTGATCTGGAGGGCCTTCATCGATCTCAACGATTTCAGCAAGCCCGCCACTTCCGACATCAACCCAGCTGCCTCCACAGCATCTTGCGGCGGCTTAGGTGTTCCTCCACCCATGTCCACCGAATTCGGCGGTGCGGTGCTGGGAATCCGACCGGTGACCTCCCGGGACGCCTCCTCCGCGGAGCCCGGTGAGCCAGCCTGTCGGGCCCCTTCACCGCCTGCGCCAGAGCCTTCTCCCGAAGACCTTGCATCCTTCTGCTTCTCGAACTTGGACACCTTGGGAGGGGCCGTTGCTGTCGTCTTGCTCGTGCCCCAGTCCCATTTCTTGACCGGGCAATCCCGCTTCGAGTGGCCCACCCCAGAGCATCCGAAGCACCGGTTGTTCTTCTCCAAGCCATCCCACGAATGGGCGTAGCTGCAACTGCCACCCTTCTTGCATCCTCCATCTGTGCCCCAAAACCTGCATGGTGCCCCGAATGACCTTTTCTTCTGGTCTCCCGTCTCTGCAACCGGATCCTTGGCTCCAGAAGTCGCCAGGGCCTTGAGTCCCGCCGCTGGCTGAGTTGGATTGGCCGCGTTGGTCGTGGATGAGGTTTTCAGGGCTGTTGCAAGTGAGAGTTCTTCCGCCTCCGCCTGCAAGTACTCCGAGAACTGCTTGATCTTCGCGAGATGAGGGCGAACATCAACTTGAAGTTCTTGGCGAACCGAGGAGATCCGAAAGCTAGCTTGAGCACCCGCTTTCCCGACTGCTTCCGCAATCTTGTTCAGGACCGTCAGCAACACCAAACCATCTGGTAGTGCCACCTCCAACTCCTCTGCCCTCGCCAACCATCTCCTCCACAGCCTCAACGTCTGCAGGGCCTCCGTCAACGTGTTCCCCACCTTCGGATCTGCCAGGTTCTTGAGCAGGTTGCCTCTCTCCGACGTCCCACCCGGCTGATATATCTGGTGAAGGCGAAACATGATCTCCGTGGCCGACATTTTCCTTGCCGAGATGATTTCTCTGCGGATTGGGTCAGGCAGTGCAGCAAGTAGCATGGAAAGCCCCCGTTGCTCCACCCGGTGATTGTGGACATGTTTCTCCCCCAACGAAGGCTTCAGCCTCAGCTTCTCCAAGGGGGTTGCAATCAGCCACTCCGTGTAGGTGGATTCTGCTCGTTGAAGAACATCCTTCCACCACTCTTGAGCTGAACCTGCAATGTCCGCCATCAACGGCCCGATCACCGTCACCCAATCTCCAAAGGTCAACGCTGCCAGATCTCCTCCAGGGGGAGGCAGACTAGGCAACTCCAAATTCCTCAGAGCCTCCGACAAGTGAGATGGAGCACTCGGCTTATTGTCGTCCAATCCCCTCGGAGGTGGTGGTGGTGGTGGAGGTGGCTGAGGTCGATTTCCTTCATCATGAAGCGGTGGAGGACCAAGACCTCCAACGACTCCTCCTTCTGATGCCGTCCTGTAGGAAACATCGTCCCTCGTTCTTGCCGCCTGCAATCTCGCCACTTCTCTTTCGAAGATCTCCTCCGCGTCCCTCATCACCCGTAGTCGCAGAGCTTCAAGATCTTCTTCTTGACCTTGTAGTCGTCCTCGGTCTTCGGTAGTCGCCCTGCCAGCAGACACAGGTTGTGCTTGGGCGGCCCTTCTTTGAACCTCAGGGCTCCAAAACGGGTTCACCCCGCCACCTGCTGGTGCGTCTCCCGGACCATAGGGACCTCTCCGATTTCCACTCAAAGTCTCCCGACCATCATAGGGCTCCAACTGCCTGGGCCTGACTTCCCATTCCTGGCCTTGACCTTGATGAGCCGTTAGTTCTCGACTAGCTGAAGGACGCCCGTCAGGTTGTCCACGCAGTTGACCATGCCCTTCAGGTTCTCCCGAATCATGACCATGCCTTACTCCCGGATGTCCTTGGTCTTCTCCACCAGCCAGGAATTGCCCTTGGGGTACTACAGCATCGTGCCCGCCGTGCGCCCCAGAACGTCCTCGGATTTCCTGAGGTAGCCCGCTTGGCCCAGGTCCTTCGCCAGACCCACGCCCTCGAGACCCACCAGGATGGAATTGACCCCCACCCCGATCTTGAATTGGTTCACCTGGCCGTTCCAGAATCCGCTCCTGTTGGCCGGGTTGTTCTCCTTGTCCAGGGGGACCCCGTAGAGCTCCTTGCCCGCGGCGTCCATCTTCGGCCAAATCCGGCCCCAGCCCGGGAGGGGGAAAAACATCCCTTCCGCCCCTAGGCTCACTCCGTTCCGGACCGGTGACCCGGCGAATCCCCCGCCGGTCCTCCAGATCCTCCGACCTCGCCCTCCGCGATGCCCGTTCCTCCTCCTGCACCCGCTCCATGATGAGGCGGTCCAAGGCCTCATCTGCGGTCTCCCCATCTCGTACCACTTCTCGCCGGCGCCTGCGAATCATGGCTTTACCTCAGAGAGTTTGGGCTCATAACCTTTGGTTATGTCTATGCAAAAGATCGCGCTTTTTCCAGCGCTTGAGCCAATGGCCGTCGCCATTGAATGGTTCCGTGTGCATCATGTTTCTGTTGAACATGCACAGTTTTTAATCACTGCTAGAAATACGTTGTTTTTTCTTCCGGGGGACTTCAGCAAATGGAGAAAACGGCTACAAAAGCAACGCGGCCAGTCTCGAAAATCTGGTACAGTCTTGTAGGTTCCTCATTTGGGTGTAGCTCCAAATTAAAAAGCCAGGGCAAGCCGCAGGTTTTGGTCTTTGTTTCCATCGGCGGGGCCAAAAAACGAGAGCGCCCACGTCGACTTTCGAGGGCTTCATGGCGCTGGGGCATCGGGACCCAAGCGCGCCGGGAGTGCCCGGAGCTCGGAACGGGACCGGCCCAAAAGCGGCGACGGGAAGAGAAGCACATGTTCAGTTGACCAAGTAAACCGGGGGCCCCCCCGGTTTTGAGGCCATGGTTTGGCGGTTGGCTTTGGGATTGATTCCGACGTCCAAACTCCGCGAAAAGTCGAAAGGAAGCCGCCCATGAGGGCGTCCACAGTTCAAGGTACGGTCGGAGTCGCAGATCCGAATGTGCTGGCTCCAGGTGGCTTCCGAAGCCCCGCGCCTGAGAAGAGTGCGGAGTGCGGCCGCCGAGTGCGGCCGCCGGCCAGGGCCGAAGGGCAGTCCGGTCACTCCGAAGGAGTTTGCGGATCGTCCGGAGCCGGCGGGTTGCTTGGCCCAGCGAGTCGTGTGTTGAGTTCTCGGGTTTCACCCAGGAAAGAAAGAGCTGCCGCGAGCGTGGAGCGGCATTCCAAGGGATTTGACTGAAATTCACGGCGCTGAGCTCTAGACACCTCCCGAAAGGAAAACGTGCCGTTGTGTGGTCAAACCACATGTGTCTTGGCGCAGATTTTGTTAGCATGCCAGCAAATCATGGCACGCCTGTCGTTTTTTTGGAGGGACTGCTCCTCCCAAACGCGCCTGCGAATCTTTGCCGTTTATTTTTGAGCCCCTCAGAAAAGTACAGTTTTTGGGAGCCCCCTCTCAGCACAGTGTTTTGGGAGCCCCTCTCGCAGCCCAAACGGGAGGCAAACCCATGCCTCCTGTTTTCTTGGCATATCCCCTAAAGAGTGCGCAAATTCCAACAAAACGCGCAAACACAACAAAATTCCGCGAACAAGCATTTGAGCAGAGACGAGTGTGCAAACAAAGACACAGGACGGCTCTCGGGGTACAACCTTGGGTACTCCCATAGCTGTATACTAAACAAGTCAGCTTGACCACTAGTTTTCGCCGCAAGAAGCCTTGCTTGGGCAAGTTTCCAGTTGTTGATTTCCCCCTTGTCTGGAATACAGTTGTTGATTCCCCTCCCCAAACAATCGGAACCTTTCACATGTATTGTTTTACTTGTCCAAGAATCAGACCCTTGGGTCTCTCTCAAAGAACCAGGCTATAGGGGGGGCATGTCCAATGCAAAAAGACTTGGTGATGAGGCCGGGCTTTTAAGCGCTGGGGCCATTGACCGTTGTAGCGCAATTTTGCTAGTCTATTCAAATGCATTTCAGGTGGGTAGTTTAGAGGTGGAGGCAAAATAAGTAAAGCACAACATGCCTTGACAGCATTGTACAGCTTGCAGTACATGTGGCACCCGCTACATATGGACTTATCAAGGCCTTGAGCCTATTGTATCGCGCCGGTACGAAAGGAGAGCTACACTGCCGGCTTGATACTCACAGGTTTACACTTCAGGTGTGCAGGTGACACAGTTGCTCCAAGTTTAACATGGTAGCGCAGCAGTGAGCACAGTTACACTGGGAAAGATCTGGCGGCCTTTCCATACAACACACAAGGAATGCAGCCCAACCAGCATGAGCTGGAAGGAATACACAAGTACAAGATAGCATCACCACGATTCACAGGAGAGTACAATTCATTCGAAGAATGGAAGTACAAGATGACAGTATATCTTGGACTACAAGACGCATCATACAACAGACTGCTGAGACAGTTAGAGCCAGCACTGGCAGTCACAGATGATCAACTTCAGACAGCAGCACCTTCACAAGCAGTAGCAGAGCAATTGACGCAACTGAGCAACAACCTACGCTACATCTTGGTGAGCGCACGCGATTTGTAATTTGCAGACAGAACGCGGAAGGCTTTTGGCTTTGAGACATGGAGGCTACGCCTGAGATACTCCATACCATTTGGTACAAGAAGCATCGGGCGCCTAACAAGGCTACTCAATCCACAGCTCGATGAACAGAAGTTCGAAGAGAGCTTTGCAACATGGGAGTTTGAACTCGCCAAGTACGAGCAAGACAACAACACACTACTACCAGACGCAGTTACAATCGCAATGCTGCTCAGTGAGACAAAGGACCACTACAGCAACACCTACAGCTGCAAGCCGGAAACATCACAACGTATGCGCAAATCAGATCTCTGGTGACAGAGTATCACAGAGCATCATCATTCAACAGACTACAAGCAATCACATCAAGCAGCAGCAACAACAAAGGACGAGCACCGATGGACCTAGGAGCAACTTGGTACAACAAAGGCAAAGGAAAGAAAGGCAGGCGCAAGGGCGAAGGAAAGTACAACAAAGGCAAAGGCTATGGCGGCCACGGGAACAGCTACCACTACAATCAACCGGTGGGACAAGGGGATTCAAAGGACAACAAGGATTCGGCAGAGAAAAAGGATACAGCAACAAAGGAAAAGGCAAGGATGCCACAAAAACAAACAAGGAGGGGAGCAAAATGAAAACATGCAACAAATCTTTCCTACAGGTTCGGACAGCCAGGACGCATGGCTGAACAATGCAGAGTGGCGATCTACAACTGCGATACTGGCAAGATGGCAATTGATACCACCAGCAGCCAACACAGGACATTTGTATGTCAGCTGGGATGTCTTCCGGCTTTACTTTGTGCGTCGAAATGATTTTGCTCTTAGCAAGTTGTTGTATGAAGGGGTGTCGCCTCTCAATGCGCTTGCTTTCTTTGATGCCTTGTTCCATTAGCCTTGTAACTGAAAGAGTCGGCTGTTTAACCTCACGTAGAAAGGTGTGACAATCTGTGGACTAACTGTGGTTTGTCACGCAAAGCCCATCTGTACTCGAACAGCGTAGACCGACCCATCCGTTGTCTTCTGTAAGTTGCTGCGCTGTGCCAAGCATCGCAAGTGTAACTTCTTGTAGTCCTGAGATGGGCTATGGAACCGCTGGTTGTGGTAGTGCCAGAGACATCTTTTGCATGACAGTCTGCACTTGAGAAGTCACGGTGACCAGGACATGGGACACCGCAAGGCTCACAGCTGGCATCTACATGCAGTTCAACTGGAACATGACAGTACATCGCCGGCGTGCAGCAAAGACACAGAAACGCCTCTCCTCAGTGACAACCTCATTAGACATGCGGCTCCAGCACAGGCCCTGAGCATCACGGCGTGAACAACATCAAGCGCCGTTTAAAGACACGATCACATTTATTCGTTCGTGGAGACTACTGTGATTGTGGACACAAGGACCGCATCGAGTACATCAAGGAGCGACGGAATCTACAGGGCGAGAGCAAGCTTTACTTGGAATACATGGCTGGCGTACAGTTGGGCAGGACGCTCCATGCAGTTTGTTTCGCATCATCCCGAACAAGGCCTTTTGTACATTTGCAAAGCGCACAGCTTGCAGCACATGTGGCGCCCGCTACATATGGACAAACCAAGGCCTTGAGCTTGCAGCATCGCGCCAGTGCGAAAGGAGAGCCACACTGTCAGGTTGACACACTCACAGGTTTACGCTTCATGAATTCAGGTTTAGCGCCTCCAAACCACCCACCTGAAATTTCACCAGGCGGTCTCGAATGTTTCCTTGAAAGCTCGACAGCAAGGAGCCCCCGTGCGCTTTTCCCTTTTTGCCAAGTGGGTCGCTTTCCCAATCGCTTCTGCTTGCGCAAAGACTCTGACTTCTCTAAATCCAACGCCCCTGGGGTCCCACGAAAGGAAACGCGCATTTTGCCTACGCACTGTCCGCCTGCAGCCATTTAGCTACGTCTGGCCGCAGCCCGTTTGCTAACTTTTTTTTACCCGATCAAGTTTGATTCGCGAAAATGGGCGTGTGCGGCAGCGCCAACTCGGCCCCTTGGCAAGCAGCCTGCAACTGGATTTATACTTTTGGGAATCCGTTCATTCTAGTCGCAAACAATCCGTGTGTTTTTTTCAGGAAGTAAGTCAGAGTATGTTTTCCACAAACTGCATGGCGACCCACCACCAGTAAGCTTATATCGCAGTTCATACCACTGAGTCCTTGCACGGACAAGATCCTGCACCAGTTGGTCCAGTAGCCATTGGGCCTTAGAACTTTATGGATCCCAAGCGGCGCGAACCAAATTGTCCGCCTCAACCCCTCCCTGAAAATGACCTTGATGTTGCTTGGGCTTGCGGAAAGCTGGCTCGTAGGTTGATGTGGTGAAGGCCCAGCCTGTTGTTCCCCAACCAAACAGTCGTGGACATGCTGTGCAGGCGCCGGCGCGGGCGGGCAGATGCCTTTGGCCAACCCTGATCCCCTTCTCTTGGAATTTTGCGGGCCGCAAGATATCTGCATGTTCAATTTTGGGGAGACGGGAAAGTTCGAATTGGGGCCGATTTGCGCCGTTGAGTGTGGGACCAGTTATGCGTCAGCAACCACACAAAGGGTCTGTTTGAATATGGAGTAGTTGCTGCGCACCCATTTGCTGGGCTGACGTATTTGGTTGCACAAACTCCAGGCCTGCAAGAATCATCCAGCTTCCCTCTAACTTGTGGTTTGGACCGGCGGTCTTGAATTTACCCTCCCAATTCATACATATATATATATATGTATGTATTTATTTATCCTTTCTCAAGAAGCAGGGCCGATTGCCGATATTACCTCCAAAATCACGCCTCGGCATACCCGAACCACGTTCTTGTGTGGGACCCCTGTGCCCGTTCGTCAGGCGACATGTGTTGCCAAAAGCCGCCGTGCCAGGACTTGCCGCTGTCCCCCTGTGCTTCGTGGCAGGGCCCTGATTTGGGCACTCGAATCTCGCGGCCGGATCGCAGCCTGCACGACAAGCATGCGGCTTGGCTCGGAAAGTCGCCGCCGACTTGGAGCGCTGTGAGGGCCCCAGGCAGAGGTCTGGGACAATTTGTCTTAGTCATGTTTAGGTGGTAGATGACCACGGACTCTGGTCCACAGTAACCCTACCACCAAAACCATTGGCTGAGAGGGAGTGCAACCCGCTTTTGGCTTTCACTTGACGCAAAAAAGGCTGAAATAAAGGTTTGCCAGTAAAACTCCGGCAGTGCCGGCTGGAGCCTTTGAAGATCTAAGTAAGATCGACAGTTTGGAGGCGTGCCTTTTTGCCCCTTTCTTTCATGTTGTTCTCTCTCTCTCTCTCTCTCACGCACGCACTCACTCACTCACTCACTCTCTCTCTCTCTCTCTCTCGCTCTCTCTCTTTCCCCCTCTCTTTCTTTGTCTCTCTTCGCTTTCTCTTAATATTTTTGCGTTGCTTTCGCTCTTTTTATCTTTCTCCTCTTTCTGCTCCTTCTGTTTTTTCTTCTCTTTCTCCTCTTTGTCCTCTTTGTCCTATTTCTCCTCTTTGTCCTCCTTCTCCTCTTTGTCCTCTTTGTCCTCTCTTTGTCCGCTTTCTCCTCTTTGTCCTCTTTCTCTTCTTTGTCCTCCTTCTCCTCTTTGTCCTCTTTGGCCGCTTTCTCCTGTTGTCCTCTTTCTAGAAAGAGCAGAAAGAGAGAAGGAGGAGAAAGAGAGAAGGAAAAGAAAGAGGAGAAAGA